TGCAGGAAATGTCTGGGGGTCAGAGATCAGCGTCCCTTTCGGCTGTGATAAATATCCCATGTAATTGGTGGACAAATGCGAGTGCTCAAGATTTATATCAATTAATTTTGGAATGTTGCTTGTTCTCACCCCTTCCCGTAAAACTGCAGGGCCGCAGCCACTCACTCGCTGGGAGGGCAGCCTTTGCAGAGCCAGCGTGTTGCTTTCATCGCCTTCGGATGCTGACTCTTGGCTTCGGGTACAAACCAGTCCTTTAATTTTGCCAGAGTTGATGTTTTAGAAAGTGGCTGTTTTACTGTGCTTTGTCTTGCAAAGTGTGCCTTTGTTAAGTTTATATTAAATGCACCACAATCACTTTTAGTCCTAAGAATACGAGAATACGAGAAAAATGCAAGAAGGGTTTTTACACTTGCCAGAAGCTCGGCTCTGCCCTCGCCGGTCTTGGAAGCATCCTTTAAAAAAGACCCATATGACCAAAGAATTTGCGCCTGTCCATTGGGGGACATAGGAAGCCCTGAACACATATTTTTTAGATGTCCCTTTTATGATGAGGCACGTAGAGAAACCATTGACCCCCTGCTGGTGAGGCTTACTGACCTCCCGGTAAAGCAAAAATTCAATCTTCTCTTGCTAGGCAAAGACCACAAGACGACCCGGATTGCCACCAGATTCTGCGCACAGATATGTAGGCGCAGACCATCCCCCGATTCAATCTAGTTTGTTAAGAAAATTCCCAAACCCGGATCCACAGGCTACTTTGGGTCATTTCTCTAAGGAAGTCTATTTTAAAGTTTTTATGTATTTATATGCCTATCACACTTTTAAACTTAAAATCTTTAAATGTTTGTTTTGCTATTGGGATTGTAGTTCCATTTGTGCTTCTCAGGTTGGTCTCAGACCGTAATAAATTTCATGTTAGACTACAAATAGTCCATCAATAGACTACGAATCTTCTTTTAAAGCCATCCTAGCTGGTAGTCTTCACTGCCTCCTGTGTGAGCAAGTTCCAAAGTTTAATTTTGCGCTGCATGAAGAAGTCCTTTTTATGGGATGAAGAAAAAGTCCCGACCAGAGAAGAAAGGCAGATCAAGTTGATGAACTATGACAAAACGGCAAAAAATGACCAGAAGAATCAGAAAACAGGAAGACCAAAATTTTAATAAGGAATGGGGGAAATTCAGAATCTGTCTTAAAAACCATTGTAAACAGCCAAAATCGTTAGTGGGATTGGAATAACACTTGTAGTTTAATGGTGAATTTTGGACATAAGGGAGATGCAAAAGATTTGGATTGTTGTAAAAGATGCAGGAGGAAAGGACTAACAATAGAAAGGGAAGGAGGGACGTCCAGGAGATTCTGTGGAATCTTGTTTCTCTATTGTATGTTGATATGTGATTGTAAAATTCTAATTTGAAAAACCCAAATAAATAAATTTACAAAAAAGAAGAAGTCCTTTTTAAAACCTGTCCCAAATCTTTCAGTCTTTAATTCTTCCATGTGTCTCTGTGTGTAATAATTTAAAAATCTTAATCTGTTTCAAGATGCATCTCAAGCTGAGCACGAGGAGCAAGGGCAGGTTGGAAACTGTGAAGTAATTGAAATAAATGACTCCAATGGCCCCAGGCGGCTCATGCTCTCTCTCTCTCCTTTAATTTCCCATCTGGGGGTGGGGAGGGGAATCGAGCGAAAAACAAGACGCCTTTGCAAGCAGCTGCACCGTATGACCCAATTGGGGCATCACTTGCAACGTCGCAGGAGATGTGGAAATGCAGGTCTTGAGAGTTGCAGACAATCCCCAGCCAGACCAGTTCACAGATGGGATATAGGTACAGATTGAACTGATGGGGCGCACACTCTGGCTTCTGCCATTGGGCAGGTGAGCCAAGGCAGGCTCCACACCTACTTCCAGGAAGACCTTGAATACGAGTTGCTGGAAATCACGTTGGGACGCGGCTGTAATTGGCTGGGGGACCAAGGCGACTGCATTGCTTGCCTTGCAGCTAGAGCACAGGGGCATGGCAAAGGCCAGCTTGGTCCATCCATAGGTGGCCTTCAACTGGTCCAGGCCCAAGACCCACCACCGACTCCCAACTTGCAACATGGACCCCATTTTCAGAGAGATTCCCCAGACAGCGATTCCTTGGTCTGACGAGCCTTAGCCAGAGATCAACATGGTGGCAACAGCTTTGCCATGACCCACCTGGGATGGCTTTGAGATTCTGACCCACTGGATGAAGAGCTTTTTGCCACACCCCACCTCCTAATAATAATAATAATAATAATAATAATAATAAGTTATTATTTGTACCCCGCCCATCTGGCTGGGTTTCCCCAGCCACTCTTGAAACATGAGCACAATAATGAGGGACTTTATGTACATAGGAATTAACAGAGTAATTTTTTAAAGAATGTTTAGAAACTTGAGGGAAGAGGATCACATCTCTGGGGAGTATGAAATGAGCCCTATCTCTGCTGTGACGTTCTGGGTTGTTGTTTTTTAGTTGAAACAAGACTCTCCCATCACGGCTACATTGAAATCCTGGATACCTGAATTGTTTTCTAGGGGTAAACTATCACTTCTCCTCTGCAGAAAGCTCAGCAGAAAAGGCCTAAAAACAAATCAAAACGTTCCTTCTCTAAAGGATAGACAGAGGGTGTCTAGGAATAAGCGTATCTTTGGGCTGTAAGATTTGACCAGGTAAAACAGAAGATCATCCAACAGCTTTAGCTGGCAGGGTCAGTTTTAATGGGAGGTTTTGAGAATTAAGGGGACATTTTTTGTCATTATTATTATTTTGAGATTAGGTGTTGCGATAAGGAGTGACATACAATTCGAATAAGGCTGGAGAGGTTTGGCCCTCTGGCTGCTGTTAGATTCCAGTGTTTATCAGCCCCAGACAGCATGGCTAAGTGCTAGGGATGATGGGAGTTGTAGTCTAAGAAATCTGGCCACAGGGTGCCCCCGAAAGATGGCCCTTTCCTTCTACCAACGCATGGCAGGGCTTTGCTTCTGAAGCTGCCATCTCAAAAGTGTGTCCAGTCTCTCAAGAAAGGTGCTGACACTGAGGGTGTGTGGAAGCACACCAGTTTAACGAAAGCTGAATCCACCAACTGGGTTAAGAGGCAAATCATTAAGCAATGGCAGAAGTTGAAACTGGGGGGTGGGGGGGTGGGGTTTGGCTGCTCCAGGTCAGACAGGCAGGAGGATCTTTTCTTCTTGCTTCTGTGATCGCGGAATGGGAATTATGCGCCCCAAACTTGCCTGATTCTCCACACTGAAAAAGTATGCCAAAGTCTCCAAGGAGAAAGGCATTAATTGGATTGGCAAGTTAAATCCTCCTGCTAGAGCTGGTCTACAGGGGGAAGGATTTAACAGCGGCTCTGAAACGGTTCTTAAACACAGCTTTGCAAGCAGAGACTGTGGCCTAGGCAAAAACCTCTCTCTCTCTCTCTATCTCTCTCTCCCTTCTCTTGATTAATTGCAAAGCTCAGGGTGACAGGAGACCATGCAATCCACAAATGCCAGAGGCTGTCCCTTGCCACATTCTTGGCCGATTTAAAAGTTTGAAAACCTGACAGGAGTGTGAACATATTAAAGGCGGCCCTAATAAGACTGTAAAGGGAGAGGCAAAAGGGGGGGGAAAGAGAGGGGGATCATAAGTGTCGCGGGGAGTAAATGTTGCAAAAGGACATTCTGCATAGAGAGAGAGAATCATAGAGTTGTAGAGCTGGGACTCAAGGGTCATCTAGTCCAACCCCATGCAAGGCAGAAATCAGGCCTAGAGAATCCCTGACACATGGCCACAGATGCCGAAACACCTCCCACCGCCATCTGAGGGAGTCCGTTTCACCTTTGAACAGCTCTTACCATCACAAAGTTCTTCCTAATGCTTCACTGGAATCTCCTTTCCTGTAATTTGAATCCATTGGGTTGGGTCTTGCCCCACATGTTTCTATTATACAGTGGTACCTCGGGTTAAGTACTTAATTCGTTCCGGAGGTCCGTTCTTAACCTGAAACTGTTCTTAACCTGAAGCACCACTTTAGCTAATGGGGCCTCCTGCTGCCGCCGCACCACCAGAGCACGATTTCTATTCTCATCCTGAAGCAAAGTTCTTAACCCGAGGTACTATTTCTGGGTTAGCGGAGTCTGTAACCTGAAGCGTATGTAACCTGAAGCATATGTAACCCGAGGTACCACTGTATAATACATCCATATCTAATCTATCTATCTATCTATCCAGCACCGGATTTACGTATAAGCTAAACAAGCTATAGTTTAGGGCCCCACTCTCTTTGGGGCCCCCAAAAAATTTAAAGGGGAAAAAACTGGATGTACAGTTCCAAAATATAAGATAAAAAACCCAAATAAAATAAAACCTACATACAGCAACAGTGTTTTGTGTTGTGTAAGCTCCTATTTGTTATGTTCAAATGGCTCTAGATTCCCATTAGGTCCATAAATTACCATATAGCGTATATTCAACACAAAAAACAGCAGCAATTTGTTGTTGACAATGGACAGCTGGACATATAAAGGGACCCATTACCTTCAGTAGCTTAGGGCCTCATCAAACCTAAATCCGGCCCTCTATCTATCTACCTCCCACCTTCCAAGACATTGCCTGCAGTCCCTCACTCCTTCAAACTGCTATATATTGGTGCAGGTGGGCAGAACAATCACAAACTATGGCAAGAACCTCCCTTTCCTGGTTCACAGCACATGCTTATTCAGAGAGAAGTCCCCATTTTGTTCAATGGGGCTTACTCACAGGAATGTAGCCGGCCGGCACGGAAACTGGTAACGTTGGGCCCCTGCTGAGGCCCCAGGATTTTCTTATTTCCTGATGAATAGCCTTTGGACTATCATGTAACTTAAACAGAAAACTATCTTTAGAAAGATTTTTTCCTCCAAAAGCATTTTATTTTAGAAATCCAATTTAAATCAAAAAAATAGATTCAAATAAAAAAAATCTGATTTAAATAAATACAAATACAAATCCATTTTTTTATTTTTTATTTAAAAAACCATTGATTTTTATCCACCCTGAAAGCAACCCTGTTGCCTCCTTCTGCTAAGTGGGATTGTGTGTCCTGAAGTCCTGCTGAGATGGTACCATCTATTCTCCCTCTCGCCTTGCCCTGCCTTGCCCTTTAACTCTAAATTGCAAACTTCTGCCCTGTCTTCCTTCTTCAGCTCCAACCCTGTTTCATGTTTGACTATATATCGACCAGACGCTGATGCGGTGATCTTTGGAGCCAGCCGCCATCAGTCTCTCCTGGGGCTGACTGTGGTCCGAAAAGGCTACGCAGTGGACTGCTGCCGTGTGGTAGTCCAGGACGGCCAACGGCTTCATCTTCTTCCAGCCGAAGAGGCGGATGCGGTGATCCCAGCCAGCAGTCGCCAGGATTTTCTTGTCTTGGCGGAGGGTTACCTCGGCGATCCCGGGATTGGTGAGTTCATACGTTTGTCGGAGCTGAGAAAAGAAGGGGGAAATCATCATCATCATCATCATCATCATCATCTATACCCTCCCCAGCCAAGACCAGGCTCAGGGCGGCTAACACCAAATATAAAAGCAATGGATTGAAATACAGCTTAAAAAACAAGATTAAATACAACATTAAAACATTAAAATGCAACCTCATTTCAGTGGAAACTCAATCAAAAACTTTGGGGGGGATAAAAACGTCAAGTCTTCACCAAGGCTAACTACCCAGTCTGGTCCTACATGGGCCAGAAAAAAGCCAGGGAAGTCCCCAAATAGGAGTTCTAACACAGAAGGAGAAAGGAAAAAAGAAAGAGGGGGCAGGGAATCAAACTGATTCCAAGCCAAAGCCGAGGACCCTGTAGAATGATTTATTACTGCACTCAAAGTACCATAGAACTGTAGGGTTGAAAGGGACCCTAAGGGTCTTCTACAACTTCCTACCATGCAGGAATCAGAGATGAAGAATCCCTGAGAAATGGCTACCCAGCCTATTTAAAAGCCTCCAAGGAAGGAGAGTCTACCACCTTCCAAGATGGTCCATTCCACTGTCAAACAGCTCTTACTGCCAGGAAATTCTTCCTACTTCCTCGTAACTCGAAGCCATTGGTTCAGGTCCTACCCTCCAGCGCAGCAGAAAACAAGCTTGCTCCCTCTTCCAAGCGACAGCCCTTGAGATATTTGAAGATTGTATCACCTTGCCGACAAAGGTCGGTGTAGTTGAAGCTATGGTTTTCCCAGTCGTGATGTATGGAAGTGAGAGCTGGACCATAAAGAAGGCTGATCGCCGAAGAATTGTTGCTTTTGAATTATGGTGCTGGAGGAGACTCTTGAGAGTCCCATGGACTGCAAGAAGATCAAACCTCTCCATTCTTAAGGAAATCAGCCCTGAGTGCTCACTGGAAGGACAGATCCTGAAGCTGAGGCTCCAATACTTTGGCCACCTCATGAGAAGAGAAGACTCCCTGGAAAAGACCCTGATGTTGGGAAAGATGGAGGGCACAAGGAGAAGGGGACGACAGAGGACGAGATGGTTGGACAGTGTTCTCGAAGCTACCAGCATGAGTTTGACCAAACTGGGGAGACAGTGGAAGACAGGAGTGTCTGGCGTGCTCTGGTCCATGGGGTCACAAAGAGCCGGACACGACTAAACAACAACAAATTGTATCTTCTCCCAGTCTCCTCTTTATCAAGCGAAACATACCCAACTCCCTCGACCGTTCCTCATATGGCTCGGTTTCCCAGACCCTTGATCGTCTGGGGAGCCCTTCTCTGCAACAAATATAGAAGCAGCCCTGTAAAATCTGACACCCTTTCGCTCCAGCGAAGGAGACCAGATGTGAGAAAGCTGCACAAGAGGCCCGTCTCCCACTACCATTCTCGTAAGAATATAAGAAGAGCCTGCTGGATCAGGCCAATGGTCCATCTAGTTGGTAGTCATCTGCCTCTTGCGGGTAGTTTAACTATATGCTTCTTGGCTTCAATACTTTCGTTTATCTGTCCTGAACTGTCCAGCGTTCAGCTTCCTTGGACACCTACAAGTTCTAGTGTTATGAGAGAAGAACTTTTTCCCCATCCACTTTCTGCATGCTTCTATACCATCGCCTTTCTCCTCCCAGTCTGCCCAAGCTTTTCCTCCTTTCACAGAGCATCCCTTTCCTGATGTGGAGTAAAGAGGGTCTTCATATCATGGGAAGATAATGAATTTGAGCTAGGCAAGGGGTAGGAGAGAAGAGTTGCTTTGAAACTGGTTAGAGAAGGTTTTAAAATTGGATTGTTAAGTATATAAGGTTTTATGGACATGCATAAACAAGTACCGTATTTTTTGCTCTGTAAGACTCACTTTTTCCCTCCTAAAAAGTAAGGGGAAATGTGTGTGCGTCTTATGGAGCGAATGCAGGCTGCACAGCTATCCCAGAAGCCAGAATAGCAAGAGGGATTGCTGTTTTCGCTGCGCAGTGATCCCTCTTGCTGTTCTGGCTTCTGAGATTCAGAATATTTTTTTCTTGTTTTCCTCCTCCAAAAACTAGGTACGTCTTGTGGTCTGGTGCGTCTTATAGAGCGAAAAATACGGTATATTATAATGGAACCAAGAGGGGGAGTGGAGGGAAGTCAACCAAAAAATTATGGTTTAATTTGGTTATGGAATTTTTCTTTTCTGTTTTGTTTTGTTGTTCTTGGAAAATCAATAAATTGTTATCAAAGGAAAAGAAAAGGAAGAAATTGGTTGTTTTCATGTGCAAAGCTGAAATAAAAACAAATGGGGTCTGAAACAGGCACCACGGGCAATTTCCAATTCTCTGTATGTACCAGGTGTAGAAGACCTTTGGTACCTCCAGATGTTGCTGAACTACAACTCCCATCAGCCCCAGCAAGTATGATGGCCAATGACCAAGGAGAGCCAAAGGTTCGCCACACCTGTATGGCTAACATTGGATTTATCCTGTTAGGTGTTGTGATGGGATGATGAGCTGCTTGTGCGTAAAATCGTATCCCCTCAGAGTTTGTTCAAGTCCACAAACCTCTGTCTGTGACGGAGCCCCTCAGACATGGCTACTCTAGTCACTAGCAGATTCCGACAGTGGTTGCTTTCGTAATCGCTTCCAACATAAAAGCTCCTTAACGGAAACACGTCTTCTGGAATCTCTGCGTGACAGTTTCCGGCGAGGAGTGGGTGTTCTTACAGGAGGTCCTGAAACCTCCCCACTGTTTTCGCTGGAAGTGTCTCTGAGCCATCCCTCCAGCTCAGCTCCTCTCCCCCTGCTGGTTCCCTCTTCAGCTGCTGCGTCTCTCCCAACCTGTGTGAGCCCTTTCACCTCCCTGCTGGTTCCCTCTTCAGCTGCTGCGTCTCTCCCAACCTGTGTGAGCCCTTTCACCTCCCTGCTGGTTCCCTCTTCAGCTGCTGCGTCTCTCCCAACCTGTGTGAGCCCTTTCACCTCCCTTCCGTCCGATGGCAGTTCCCTGACATCCACCTCCCCTCCAGGGCCCCCTTCACCCCCTCTCGCCCCCTCCTCTACGGGCGGTGAGGAGGCAAAACCCGGAATGAACTTCCTTCATCTTCCGATGTCTCGAACACTTCTCTCAACCTGTTGCGGTTCCTGGTCTCGAAGTACACCTCCTCCTCAGAGTTCATCTCCCTTCCCCTTCCGAGTCCGGGAATCCTTCCAACTCCTCCCCTTCATCAGTGGTCCCAAAGTATTCCCTCCGGAACCTCTCCACAGGCTGAGGTTTCCTTGGGAACCTTTGATGGAACGTTTCTATCAATACCTCGTCATTGATATCTTCAGCCATTACCCAAGTGTTTTCTGACTCCGGTTCTCCTTCCCACGCTACCAAATACTCCACCTGATCCCCCTTCCACCTGGCGTCGAGGATTTCTGCCACATGGCTGCTGCATTCTCTTTCTTCTACGACCGGTCCCCGAGTGGCCAGCCCTTCTCGTCCCCCTTCGTACGGTGACAGTAACGACCTGTGAAATACTGGGTGCAGTTTCATGTGGTTGGGTAACCGGAGCCTGACAGCCACTGGGTTGACCTGTTGAATGACCTCAAAGGGACCCAACCTCCTGGGTCTTAATTTCTTACAACCTCCTTTGAACGGCACCCCTTGGGTTGACAGCCACACCCTATCTCCCACCCTTATGGTTTCACCTTCCCTTCGGTTCTTGTCTGCCTGCCTCTTGTATTCTTCCTTCGCCCTTTCTAAGTTGAGTTGGAGCTGACGATGGATTGCTTCCATTTCTTCCACAAAATGCTCGGCTGCCGGGACGCTCCATCTCTCCCCCTCTCCCCCTGGGAAAGCCCTGGGATGACACCCATAATTAGCCAAGAAGGGCTCATCCCTGTGGACACATTCTCGGCATTGTTGTAGGCAAATTCCGCCAGCGCCAACTTTTCTACCCAGTCATTCTCTCTGTCATTGACATAACACCTCAGGTATTGCTGGAGGACACCGTTTGCTCTTTCCGCCTGCCCGTTGGTTTCAGGGTGCCGGGCAGTCGAAAATTGACCTCCACCTGCAGTAAGCTCATGAGCTTCCTCCAGAACCTGGAAGTAAATTGTTTTCCTCGGTCTGAGACCACCCTCAATGGCACCCCGTGCAACCTAAAAATGTTTTCTACAAATAACTTCGCTGTCTCTTCCGCCGTGACTGCATGCGAGCAAGCTACAAAGTGGCACATCTTTGTTAGTAGGTCTACCACCACCATGATGGCTGTTTTCCCTTTGGACTTCGGCAGATCAGTCATAAAATCTATCGACACTGCCTCCCAAGGTCGTTCTGGGGTTGGTAAGGGTTCTAATAGCCCCGCCGGCGCCCGCCTTTCCCCTTTGGCTCGCTGGCATTGCTCGCACCCTCTTACATACTCACGTACATCTTCCCTCACCTTAGGCCACCAAAATTCCCTGGTGACCAACCACATGGTTTTGTGTTGTCCAAAATGCCCCGCCGTAGGGCTGTCGTGCAACTGCTTGAGTACCCCCCCCTTAACTCTCCTTCAGGGATATACAGTGCCCCTTTGTAATACAAAGCTCCATTTCTTTCCTCGAAACCCCCTGGTTCCTCTCCATCACCCCTAAGACCTCTGAGCTTATTCTGGGCGTATTCATCATTCTCTGTTTCCTCTACCAGTTCTCTTTGTCCCACCAATGCCGCCCCACACACCCAGCGGTCCTCTGGAATGACATGTCTCTCTTCGGGTGCCCCTCCCCTCCAAATATTCAGGTTTGCGTGAGAGAGCGTCCGCCCTAATGTTCTCTGGGCCTGGCACGTAACTAATCTCAAAGTTAAATTTGGAGAACTCCTGGGCCCATCTCACTTGCCGTTGGTTGAGCACTCGTGCCGTCCTCCAATACTCTAGGTTCTTGTGGTCAGTGCACACTTGCACCTTATGTTGTGCGCCAATTAGCAGGTGCCTCCATCTCCGGAACGCCTCATGAATGGCTAGTAGTTCTCGGTCATACACCGTGTAGTTCCTCTCGGATTTGTTCAGCTTTCGCGAAAAAAGGCACACGGTCTCCACTCTGACCCCTTCTTGCCTGGCTGCAGAAGCACCGCCCCAATCGCTCTGTCTGATGCGTCAGTTTCCACTCTCATCGGTTTTTGTAAATCCACATGCAGGAGTTGTTGTTCCGAGGCGAAGGCCCTATATAGTACCACAAATGCTCGCTCCGCCTCCTCAGTCCACACGAACTTCTTCTTACTGCTGAGACAGTCCGTAATCGGCGCCGTCAGGTGGGCAAAGTTTCGGATGAACTTACGATAGAAGTTCCCAAATCCTAGGAACCTCTGCACATCCTTCTTTGTTTTGGGTGTTTTCCATTCCAGCACCGCCTGGACCTTGCCGGGATCCATGGCCAATCCCTTGTCTGACAGGCGATACCCCAGGAATTCCACCTCCTTGGTATGAAACTGACACTTCTCCAGTTTCACCCACAGCTGGTTGGCTTGCAGCCTGCTCAACACTTCTCTGACGTCTCTCACATGCTGCTCCTCATTCTCAGAATACACCAACACGTCGTCTAAAAAGGCCACACAATTCTTGTAAAGCAAAGGCCCCAGGACGTGGTTCATAAGCGATTGAAATGTTGCGGAGCCTGCTTGTAGGCCGAAGGGCATAACCAAATATTCAAATGCCCCTAAAGGGGTGAACATAGTGGTTTTCCATTCATCCCCCTCCTTATTCGTACCAGGTTGTACGCCCCCCTTAGGTCCAGCTTTGTGAAAATCTTTCCCTTCCGCACCCTTGTCAAAATGTCGTCAATCCTGGGCATAGGGAAGGCTACTGGTTCTGACACTGCATTTAAGGCCCTGAAGTCACACACCAGCCTCGGCTTGTTCGTGTTTTTCTTATCCACAAAAACACTGGGCTGCCCCCACCGCCCTGGACTCTCTGATGAACCCTCTCTTCAGGTTCTTGTCAATGAACTCTCTTAACTCCTGCATCTCTCTGTCTGACATGGCGTACAGCTTGCCTACAGGGAGCTGTGCTCCAGGGAGTAAGTTGATTTGACAGTCAAAGGGTCTATGCGGGGGTAGTTGGTCAGCTTCCCTTTCGCTGAAGACGTCACGGAGATCTGCATATTGTCGTGGTACCTTCACGTTCTCTGTTACTTCAGTCCCTGCTAGGGTGGCTTGGACCCCTGCCAAACCCTTTCCCTCTTTGCAGTGTTCTAAGCAATGTGCTGAACCAAAAGAAACCACTCTCTGATGCCAGCCCACCAGCGGATCATGTAACGCTAGCCAGCTCATCCCCAATATAATGGGAGCTCCTCCCAAGGTGGCCACATTAAAAGCTATCAGTTCGGTGTGCCTTGCTACCTTCATTATCATTGGGACGGTCTGCAAGCTGACTTCTCCACCCAACAGCTCCCTGCCATCGATCGTGGTCACCTGCAGGGGGCTGCTTAAAGGATTGTCTGTATCTGGTGTTCAGCTGCAAACTCTTTGCTCATGAAATTGCAGGAGCTGCCTGAGTCCAACAGCGCCTTTATCTTTAGAGGGTGTCCGTTTGGCAGCTCTAGCGTCACTTCTATCACTAGGGCGGGTTTAGGAGGTTCTGGCGTGGGCACTCTCACTGCTCTTTGGCCTGGCTGCTGTGCCCTGACAGTGGCAGCCAGGCGTTGGCTTTTACTTGCTCCGGTATTTTTCCTCTCTTCCATCCACAGCTCCTACCATCCCTTGCCATTCTTTCCTCTGGGGGCAGACTCTGGCAAAGTGACCTGGCTGTTGGCAGAGATAGCATTTCCGGGCGCCTTTTCCCTCCTTCTTTGCCCCCTCACTGGGCTTTGAAACTGCGCGCGCGCTGCTGTTCCGATTTCCATCGGCTCTGCCGGTGGGAAAGTTGGCTCTGGAATGTCTGGAATGCGGAACTCCTTCCAACGTTCCCCTTTCCCTTCCCGCCTCTCCAATGCTCTCGCCTCCTGGCGCGCTCCTATGGCCAGCGCTGATTTGGTCAGCTGGTCCATAGACTCCGCCCTGGGCGCCCGGAAAGTTCGTCTTTCACAGCCGAAGAAAGCCCTTCTTCAAAGAGCATTTGAATGGGTTCCGCCGATAAGTCCCACCCCAATCTGTGAACAAGCATGGTGAACTCAGTCCAGTACTCACGGACAGATCGGCTCCCCTGTTTGCAACCCATTAACTGTCTGCGCACCACTCCCTTTTCAATATCGCTGGAAAACATCAGATCCATGGCGCGAAAGAACTTCATCGTGTCCTTTAAGACGTCACTATTCGCTGCCATCAGGGGTCTAACCCAGTCTCTCGCCCCCTTTTCAAGATGCTCAATCACGAAAGCCACTCGTGATTCCTCGTCAGGAATTCATCAAACTGCAGATTGAGGGCATATTGCATTTCTGTCCGAAAACCATGATAGTTTTGGGCTCCCCCAAACTTCTGCACCAATCCTGGTACCTTTCTGGCGAACTGGGTGGCTTTCCCCTTTTGTCTGCATCCTGAGCCCTCCTCTCCTCAAGCCTCGCCGTCTGCATCGCTAGCTGGACCTCCAACATCTGGTACCTTTCTTCCAGGCTTGGACCCGCTCCAGCTCCTGCTTCTCCGGTTCCGGCTGGGTTGCTCATGATGCCTTCTCCTGCACAAGCTGCTTTCAAAGACTGTCGGAATGCTGTGATGGGATGATGAGCTGCTTGTGCGTAAAATCGTATCCCCTCAGAGTTTGTTCAAGTCCACAAACCTCTGTCTGTGACGGAGCCCCTCAGACATGGCTACTCTAGTCACTAGCAGATTCCGACAGTGGTTGCTTTCGTAATCGCTTCCAACATAAAAGCTCCTTAACGGAAACACGTCTTCTGGAATCTCTGCGTGACAGTTTCCGGCGAGGAGTGGGTGTTCTTACAGGAGGTCCTGAAACCTCCCCACTGTTTTCGCTGGAAGTGTCTCTGAGCCATCCCTCCAGCTCAGCTCCTCTCCCCCTGCTGGTTCCCTCTTCAGCTGCTGCGTCTCTCCCAACCTGTGTGAGCCCTTTCACCTCCCTGCTGGTTCCCTCTTCAGCTGCTGCGTCTCTCCCAACCTGTGTGAGCCCTTTCACCTCCCTGCTGGTTCCCTCTTCAGCTGCTGCGTCTCTCCCAACCTGTGTGAGCCCTTTCACCTCCCTTCCGTCCGATGGCAGTTCCCTGACAGGTGTATTTTTGTTGTTGTTGTTTAATCATTTAGTCGTGTCCAACTCTTCGTGACCCCATGGATCAGAGCACGCCAGGCACTTCTGTCTTCCACTGCCTCCCGCAATTTGGTCAAACTCATGCTGGTAGCTTCGAGAACACTATCCAACCATCTTGTCCTCTGTCTTCCCCTTCTCCTTGTGCCCTCACTGTTTCCCAACATCAGGGTCTTTTCCAGGGAGTCTTCTCTTCTCATGAGGTGGCCAAAGTATTGGAGCCTCAGCTTCAGGATCTGTCCTTCCAGTGAGCGCTCAGGGCTGATTTCCTTCAGAATGGAGAGGTTTGATCTTCTTGCAGTCCATGGGACTCTCAAGAGTCTCCTCCAGCACCATAATTCAAAAGCATCAATTCTCCGGCGATCAGCCTTCTTTCTGGTCCAGCTCTCACTTCCATACATCACTACTGGGAAAACCATAGCTTTTACTATACGGACCTTTGTTGGCAAGGTGATATCTCTACTTTTTAAGATGCTGTCTAGGTTTGTCAAGGTGTATTTTTAGCATAGTTGAAAAGGCTAAGGAGTAAACCCTCCACAAATCCGTAATGGAGTCCCTAAGACGGTTGGATGGCGCCTTGCACGCCTCCTTCCGGCAACTCCTGCAGCCCAGCTGGTGCCAAATGTATTGCTCTGCTTTCCTTTGGACCACATCAGCGAGGCTGAGAGTGGGGTCTTGTGGTCTGGGCAGCCCAGGACCTCCACACCCACTGGCTAGGTTTGCGTCCCAGGGAAGTCACTTCAGTGCCGCTAACGCAGACCTGTTGATGGCATTTTACCATTGTACTGTTGAGAGTGTATTAATTTATGGTCTCTGTGTGTGGTTTGGGAGCTGCATGGTCAGGGGAAAAACAATGCTGTCCAAGGTTGTAAAGACTGCGGAGAGAATAATTGGGTGCACCTCTTCCCACCTTGGAGCAAATCTATGCTTCCAGGTGCCATAAGAAAGCTGCAGAGATCGTGCAGGATAGTGTGCACCTCGGAAATGATCTTTTTCAGCTTCTGCCTTCTGGAAGAAGGTACAGGGTTATAAAGACTAGGACTAGCTGTCTGAGAAACAGTTTCTATCCAAATGTGATTTTGGTTTTAATGTAAGGTAGTCTCTGGGGATGTGGGTGGCGCTGTGGGTTAAACCTCCGAGCCTAGGACTTGCTGATCAGAAGGTTGGCAGTTTGAATCCCCGCGACGGGGTGAGCTCCCGTTCCTCGGTCCCTGCTCCTGCCAACCTAGCAGTTTGAAAGCATGTCAAAGTGCAAGTAGATAAATAGGTACCACTCTGGCGGGAAGGTAAACAGCGTTTCCGTGCACTGCTCTGGTTCGCCAGAAGCAGCTTAGTCCTGCTGGCCACATGACCCGGAAGCTGTACGCTGGCTTCCTCGGCCAATAAAGCGAGATGAGCGCCGCAACCCTAGAGTCGGCCACGACTGGACCTAATGGTCAGGGGTCCCTTTACCTTTACCTTTAAGGCAGTCTCTATGTGAGTATATTGTATTCAATTATGGGGTATCAGAGTTTTTAGGGGCTAACCAGGCTGGGATAGTTGGGATAGCAGGCTTGTTGGTTTTTGAATGTCTGATGTAGATTTTTCAATTTTGTTGTTCTGTATGGGACAGACAGATACCAAGAAAAAGCTGAAAAGGAGCAGGGCGTTGCTGCCACAGTCCAGAAGTGAGTCCTGACCAGCCAGTTGAAGACCACTGACCTATTGGACCCCCCTAGAGAAGGAAGAGAGAAACACCCTTTTCGCTTCAATTTCTGCACAGATGGGAAAGTAATTCGAACTCTGCAAACCACAGCAGTCACGTCCGGCCTGACAGGTTGAAGCATTACAAAAATGATGGGAGATGATTTGGCCTAGAAGGGGATGAGATGGAAGGCTTAACATGTGCGGCGATTATTTGAAAAAAGAAAGTCGTAGCTGCTCAGCTCTACCTGCTCCTCGGATGACCTGATTCTTGAGCATTCGTCCCGATTTACTGGTGCAAAGCTTATGCAGAGGTTGGACCAGGCATAAGGTTGGACCAAACATTTGGATTTGTTTGCAGGGTGGTTATGTGACAATGTGCAGTCATCTTGATTTGCTTGCAGGGTGCCTTCTATGTCTTCCTGTTAGTCATTTGATCATGCCATACTTTTCAGTGTGTTTCCTCATCAGTCTCCTAACCACAAAGCCCCCCATTTTGCAAAGTGAGTTTGTAGGGATTTAATCTGCTTCAGTTGCACAAACCTATTTTTTTTTTGAAAGGCACTTGAATCCCTTGTGCAAAACTGTTAAGAGCCTTGAGGTGTTTGTTTGTTTGTTTGTTTATAGTAGCTACTTGCCCCGAACCTTTTCACGGCACTTTAACAAATAAAAAGAACAGGATGATTTTGGCCAATGACTGGCTACTCCGAAATATCACCATGAACTGGAATTCTATTTAAGATCCTATCTTGTTGTTTAGTCGTTTAGTCGTGTTCGACTCTTCATGACCCCATGGACCAGAGCACACCAGGCACTCCTGTCTTCCACTGCCTCCCGCAATTTGGTCAAACTCATGCTGGTAGCTTCGAGAACACCATCCAAACATCTTGTCCTCCGTCATCCCCTTCCCCTTGTGCCCTCCATCTTTCCCAACATCAGGGTCTTTTCCAGGGAGTCTTCTCTTCTCATGAGGTGGCCAAAGTATTGGAGCCTCAGCTTCAGGATCTGTCCTTCCAGTGAGCACTCAGGGCTGATTTCCTTCAGAATGGAGAGGTTTGATCTTCTTGCAGTCCATGGGACTCTCAAGAGTCTCCTCCAGCACCATAATTCAAAAGCATCAATTCTAGGCAATCAGCCTTCTTTACGGTCCAGCCCTCACTTCCATACATCACTACTGGGAAAACCATAGCTTTTACTATACAGACCTTTGTTGGCAAGGTGATGTCTCTACTTTTTAAGATCCTATACAGGTACTTTATTATGTTAAATCAGAATTAAGTCCCACTACATTCAAAGAAGGTACGGCTAGCTGGCTGGAACCTTGAAGAGGAACCTGCTGCAATGTTTTGTTACAGGTTCTACACACTTATAGGGATGCGGGTGGCGCTGTGGGTTAAACCACAGAGCCTAGGGCTTGCTGATCAGGTCGGCAGTTCGAATCCCCGTGACGGGGTGAGCTTCCGTTGCTCGGTCCCTGCACCTGCCAACCTAGCAGTTTGAAAGCACGAAGTGCAGGTAGATAAATAGGTACCGCTCCGGTGGGAAGATATATGGTCGTTTCCATGCGCTGTTCTGGTTCGCCAGAAGCGGTTTAGTCATGCTGGCCACATGACCCGGAAGCTGTACGCCGGCTCCCTCGGCCAATAAAGCGAGATGAGCGCCGCAACCCCAGAGTCGTCCGCGACTGGACCTAATGGTCAGGGGTCCCTTTACCCTTACCGCACACTTATTTTTTGATAGCAGCTACAACATCCACTCCATTTTCTTGGAGTGGGAGACAGGATATGTCTCTCCTCCTCCGTCAGAAAATTTGGGATAACTTCATTCAGTCAAAGTTAATGAATTATAATCTGAGGAAGGATATAAGGTAAGTTCATAGGTCCACGTGGTGCTATTGTTAATGCATTTTTGATGCCAGGCAAAAACCTCTCTCTTTCCCCAGGCATTGGACGGATTATGATGATACATTTTTCTGCTAAGGCTTTTTTTGTTGTTGCTGATGTTTTACTGGGGCTGTTTGGTATAGATTTTTGTATAGTTTTTATTGCAATGCACTGTTCCCTCAATTTTATGTTATGCCTTAAAGTTTTTTAAAATGCTGTAAGTTGCTTAGAGACTCTTTACATAGCAAGAGACTAATGAACTGAATATGAAAAAGTTAGATATTTAAAGCATTATTTAAATGCCCTATTATTAGGGGTGTTGGTTTTTACTTACCTGGCATTTAATTTAATGTCTATTATTTATCTGGTGGATAAGGCAATTCTGATCTTTCATAGGTTTGGTTATGTAAATAGAGTTTTAGTACTTTTTAAAAGAGGTCTAAATAAGTTTATATACATACAGTGTATGTATAGTGTCAATGCATAACAATATAAAGTCTAAAATAACCAGACATACATGCAGTAAAAAATGCGAATAAATAACAGAAACAGATGTACTGTTTTAAAATGCTAAATTTCAGGGTATTAGGTCATATGCACTACCTTCCGTGCCCCTAGTTTATTATGAGCTATGATGTTTGGCTAGGGATAGATGGACCTTTCAGTTTCTCGATTTTTCCACTCTTAAATTCAGCTCTCCACATTTCCACATCAGTTTGCAATTTTTCTACAAGTAACAATGCCATCGTGAAAACTTGTCGGCGTATCAGAGCGAATCTGTCCTAGCAGACACATGTTTGCAAAGCGATCTTCTCTAATACAATGCGCTTTCATGCACGTTTTAACCAAGCATATGCAAAGTTTCCTACACGTAACTTGGCTGGAGATCTGCTTTGCACAATTTGGAGAAGTGCAAATTTCAAAGGAGGGCTGAGTTTTGGAATTGCACATTATTTCGGAAGCTGCAGATCGGAGGCGAGGTTCGCTTTCAAATGTGAAATGAATCGGTTTTCTTCTCCAGGTCTATGCCTGGCCTTTTGAGGAAGCCTCTGAGATTCCTCCCCGCAAGGAAAGAACAGCCTCAAACCCATTATCCCTTCGTTACACTAACTCGGCCTAACCACTTTCCTTTGCGGCCTCCCCACCGCGGTGCCCGGCACAGACTCTGGACAGCCTCCTGGAGACAAGAGAGCCTCGTTTCACCAACTCTTCACCGGCACACTGGACTGGTGCCATCCCAAACGGGGCCGCTCTTGCGTCACGCCTTTGGACAGCCGGTTACCGAGCGAGGAGTCGCCAAAATGCATCGAGAGTAAAAATAACGTGCCACTGAGTGGCTTTCCAAACACCACCGTTACCTCAGGGATGTGGAATGTCGAGGGAAAAAAAGCATCTGGTTCGTATTATTAATCCAATAGGAGAGGGGGGGGAGGGGATAGGTGGAAATAACCTGATGTGAGGCTCTTAATGCTTTCGTTGGAGAGACAGCAAGTAAGGATGGGGGAATTGAATCAATGAATCATAGAATTGTAGAGGTGGAAGGGACAGCGAGGGTCATCCAGCCCAACCCCCTGCCATGGCAGGAGTATTTTGCCCAACGTGGGGCTCGAACCCACAACCCTAAGATTAAGAGTCACATGCTCTACTGACTGAGCTGTCCCTCAGTCTAAATGGGGAATGTTTCAGAACCAGCCTTGGCAAAAACGCCCAGAGTTCGCTTCAAGTAACAATAACTAATTCTATTATACAGTGGTACCTCAGGTTAAGTACTTAATTTGTTCCGGAGGTCCGTTCTTAACCTGAAACTGTTCTTAACCTGAGGTACCACTTTAGCTAATGGGGCCGCCTGCTGCTGCCGCGCCGCTGGAGCATGATTTTTGTTCTCATCCTGAAGCAAAGTTCTTAACCCGAGGTACTATTTCTGGGTTAGCGGAGTCTGTAACCTGAAGCGTATGTAACCTGAGGTACCACTGTAATACTGATGACAACAAGCCCATTCTATAGTTGCTGATGCCGTGTGACTAGTGGGGCCTGCAATAAGAAGTTAGAGGCAGCTGCCTTATGCTGTGTAGATATATGTGTTATTATCACAATTTCTGTGGTCTGGTGTTTGACCATAATAAATCTTGATTGCTGCGTCAAACCATCGGCTCAGCACTGTCTACGCCGACTGGGTCTTCAGCAGTTGTTGGACTACAATTCCCATCATCCCTAGCTAGCAGGGCCAGTGCTTGGGGTGATGGGAGTTGTAGTCCAACAACAGCTGGAGGCCCAACCTTGAGAAACAATGGACTGCCCCATCACAGAATGGCTGTGTATGTGTACATGCATGGGAGGAGAACCGCATATCCAAATGTTAACTCTGCCTCGAAAAAGCTTTGCATGTGGGAAGCGAGCACATTATTATTATTAATATTATTATTAGAATTTATATACCACCCTATACCCAGAGATCTAGGGTGGTTCACAGAACAAAATCAAAATATAAAACCACAAAATATATAATCAAAATAAAAACAACCCAATAGGCCAACCCAATAATATAATCTCACTGTAAACAAGTGGTACAGTGACACTAAAGTATTTCTATTTCTTTTCTTTTCTTTTCAATTCTATTCTATTCCAATAATACCCCCCCAAAAAAACCCACATTTTAAATGGGCAAAGGATCAGGCTTTCTGTATGCTATCTTTCCACTTGCAGGGAGGCATCACATGGCAGGCACAATCCCTCCCCCACTGCATTTTTTTAAGGGTTAAATGAGGTCTGAGGCCGCTGAACATCCGTGGAAATTGATCCCTTAATGTGCAGGATTAGAACTTAATTTGGATTAAAACCAACAATGGAGATAACTCTTGAGGACTCTGCCTACTATGCAAATGACTCATCCCAGCTTTTCACATGTTCTACTTCTAAGCATCCGGGCGCCTCGTCTTTGGCCATCCAGCAACAGGAGGCTTGAGAGAACTGCCCCTAATTAAGTACGACTTAACCTCTTGGCATTGACCGGCTCTTTTGTCAATGTACAGATTACTCTGTGGCCATTACCATTTGCTGTCATTAGGCGACCTTGGCTACTCCGGGAGATGTCTTTAATGAAGGCAGCTGCTTCGTTGGAGTGGAACACTGTACACCCTGCCCTTCTGTAATAATAAACTCCCTTTCCCATTATAGACTGGAATGTCCAAAGAACAGAGACTTAATTTCAGAACGCTACGATCAAAATCGTATTAGACCTTCATAGCAAATCTTCAATCATCCACTTGCTAGCGGCTGCACTATCAGTCATAGCACAAGGGCGGAAGGACCCCTCAAGGCTCTGCTTACTGCAACTTCCGACAAAACCATCAAATTTGCAGATGGCACCAAACTGGGAGGGTCAGCCAATGCCACAGAAGACAGAATTGGGATTGAAGATGACCTTAACAGGTTGGAGAACTGGGCCAAAACTAACAAGATGAGTTTCAATGGGGACAAAGGTAAGGTTCTGCACTTAGACAGGAAGAACCACCTGAACAAATATAAGATGGTGGAAACATCTGGATTGCCAGCATTGCATGTGAGAAGGATCTAGGGGTCTTAGTAGACCACAAGCCTAACACGGCTCAACTGGGTGATGCAGCAACAAAAAAGGCTCATGCTATTCTAGGCTGCATCGACAGAAGTACAGTGGTACCTCGGGTTACATACGCTTCAGGTTACATACGCTTCAGGTTACAGACTCTGCTAACCCAGAAATCGTACCTCGGGTTAAGAACTTTGCTACAGGATGAGAACAGAAATTGTGCTCCAGCAGCGCGGCGGCAGAGGAGGCCCCATTAACTAAAGTGGTGCTTCAGGTTAAGAACACTTTCAGGTTAAGAACGGACCTCCGGAATGAATTAAGTACTTAACCCGAGGTACCACTGTATAGTGTCCAAATCAAGGGAAGTAATAGCATGACTCTATTCTGCCTTGGCCAGATCACACCTAGAATACTGCGTCCGGTTCTGGGCACCACAATTTAAGAAGGATGCTGACCAGCTGCAGGGTGACCCAGTTGATCAAGGGTCCGGAAGGGTCTTATGAGAAATGGTTGAGGGAATTGGGTATATTTTACTTTCTTGGGCTCCATCATCACTACAGATGGTGACAGCAGTCACTAAATTAAAAGACACCTGCTTCTTGGGAGAAAAGCGATGACAAACCTAGACAGCATCTTAAAAAGCAGAGACATCACCTTGCCGACAAAGGTCCGTAGAGTTAAAGCTATGGTTTTCCCAGTAGTGATGTATGGAAGTGACAGCTGGACCATAAAGAAGGCTGATCGCCGAAGAATTGATGCTTTTGAATTATAGTGCTGGAGGAGACTCTTGAGAGTCCCATGGACTGTAAGAAGATCACACCTATCCATTCTGAAGGAAATCAGCCCTGAGTGCTCACTGGAAGGACAGATCCTGAAGCTGAGGCTCCAATACTTTGGCTACCTCATGAGAAGAGAGGACTCCCTGGAAAAGACCCTGATGTTGGGAAAGATGGAGGGCACAAGGAGAAGGGGACGGCAGAGGACGAGATGGCTGGACAGTGTTCTCGAAGCTACCAGCATGAGTTTCACCAAACTTTGGGAAGCAGTGGAAGACAGGAGTGCCTGGCGTGCTCTGGTCCATGGGGTCATGAAGAGTTGGACACGACTAAACAACAACAGCATGGTAAACAGAAGACTAAAAGGAGATATGATAGCCATCTTCAAATATCTAAAGGGACAACAAGGTGGGTTAGGATGAATGCTCAATTGCTGTCAGTAAGTTTACGATGCAGTGTTACCGTATTTTTCGCACCATAGGACGCACCGGACAATAGGACGCACTTTGTTTTAGAGGGGAGAGAACAAGAAAAAAAAATTCTCCCCCTCTCTGCCCAGCGCCCCTTCAGCGAAGTGGCAGGAGGCGCTGTGCAGAGAGGGGAGAACTTTCCCTCTTGTTCTCCCGCTCTAAAACATGGGGCCTTTAAAGGTGCGTTCAGGCGGCTACCTTGGAAGCCTGGAGAGCGAGCGGGGGCGGTGTGCCCGGCCCCCTCTCGCTCTCCAGGCTTCAGGTTCCTTTCGACCTGCTCTTTGGGGCTGGCAGGGGGAAGCCCACCACCAGCCCCAAAGAGCAGTTCAGGGAGCAGCGGAAAGGCGCAGCGGAGAGGCTCCTGCCATAGCCGTGCGTCACCTCTCCAGCTGGGAGAGGGTCGCTGGGCTATGGCTTCTTTAGCCCCGCGCGCGCTCTCCCGGCTGGAGAGGTGACGGGCGGCTATAGAAGCTCCTGCCATAGCCGCCCGTCACCTCTCCAGCCGGGAGAGGGTCGCGGGGGGCTGCTTTAGCCCCGCGCGCGCTCTCCCGGCTGGTGAGGTGACGCGGGGGTGTAGAGGCGCCTGCCATAGCCGCCCGTCACCTCTCCAGCCGGGAGCGGGTCGCGAGGCTATGCGTCTTCGCTCCATAGGACGCACACACATTTTCCCTTCATTTTTGAAGGGAAAAAAGTGCGTCCTATAGAGCGAAAAATACGGTATATCACCGTTGTGGACCTTTTTCTTTCTTTCTTTGTTAAGCTGATTGCAGGTATATTGTCCAAAGTGAAACATTAATGTTCCATCGATGGGAGACCAATGGCCTCTTGATACCTGTGGCAGATTTCTGGGATGTGGGACACAGGGACAGAGAGAAACAGAGAACGAGAGAGCTTGGGGAAGATATTCAATGCCCATTCCATCCTATAAAGCGCAGAAGGAAATTCTACCTTGAAAAACAAACACATTACTCATGTGCATAAATATAGCATTGCGCATATGTTCTGTATTTTATTTATAACTCTTTTTAGTTGCCGTTCTAGCCAGAGGCAACTCTCAAGCAATAAAATGCCAAGAAAAGTAATAATGAATACTTAAAAAAAATGCAATAAACCTTACACTTTAAAGAATAGAAAGCTATAAATGAGCAACACATCAGCACCTTGAGCAACATCTTGCTCACCGCAAGTAAATGCTCCCCGGCCCAAATCAGCCTCATCTGGTGGCAGAAAGCATATAAGGTCCTGTCTGGACTGCACCTTGGAAGTATTGTTGTTGTTTAGTCGTTTAGTCGTGTCTGACTCTTCGTGACCCCATGGACCAGAGCACACCAGGCACTCCTGTCTTCCATTGCCTCCCGCAGTTTGGTCAAACTCATGCTGGTAGCTTCGAGAACACTGTCCAACCATCTCATCCTCTGTCTTCCCCTTCTCCTTGTGCCCTCCATCTTTCCCAACATCAGGGTCTTTTCCAGGGAGTCTTCTCTTCTCATGAGGTGGCCAAAGTATTGGAGCCTCAGCTTCAGGATCTGTCCTTCCAGTGAGCACTCAGGGCTGATTTCCTTCAGAATGGAAAGGTTTGATCTTCTTGCAGTTCATGGGACTCTCAAGAGTCTCCTCCAGCACCATAATTCAAAAGCATCAATTCTTCGGCGATCAGCCTTCTTTATGGTCCAGCTGTCACTTCCATACATCACTACTGGGAAAACCATAGCTTTAACTCTACGGACCTTTGTCGGCAAGGTGATGTCTCTACTTTTTAAGATGCTGTCTAGGTTTGTCATTGCTTTTCTCCCAAGAAGCAGGCGTCTTTTAATTTCGTGGCTGCTGTCACCATCTGCAGTGATCATGGAGCCCAAGAAAGTAAAATCTCATACCACTCTAAAAAGTCATGGCTTCTCCCAAAGAACCCTGGGAAGTGGAGTCTGTTAAGGGTGCCAAGATTTGTTAGAAGGCCTCTCTTCCCTGATTCCCAGGGCTACAATACCCAGAATCCCCTGCGAGGTTGTGAAATCAGGCTGAGAAGACCAAGGGTGAGGAAATTCAGTTCTGTGGGCAGAATGTGGCTTTCAGGCCACACCCACTTTCCTATGGCCGCTCCCCTCACTACCCACCTGCTCCACATCTAGAGCGTTTTATGCCTGTAATGTGTCCTCTGACAATGCCAGCTGTTTTCGGACTACAACTCCCACCATCCCTAGCTAACAGGGCCAGTGGTCAAGGATTATGGGAATGAATTGCAGTCGAAAAACAGCTGGAGACACAAGTTTGGGAAATGCTGGTCTAGGTGGTGGATAGAGAAGGGGACGTGTGTGCAATGAAGCCATCTTACTTCACCAGAGTAAATATTATTATTATTAATTTATTATTATTTCTACCCTGCCACTCTGGGCAGCTTCCAACAGAAGGTTAAAAATACATTAAAACATCAGTCATTAAAAACTTCCCTAAAGAGGACTGCCTTCAGACAGTGGCGTAGCGTGGGGGGTGCAGGGAGGCCAGCCGCACCAGGCGCAACATCTGGGGGGGCGCGCTCGCACTCGCAGCTCTCTGCCCCTACCTGGCTCACTCACTCTCTCTCACTGCAGTGCTGGCTGTGCGAATCCGATCCGAGCCGCTGGGTCGCCGCCCACTGTGGAGGGGGTGGGTGCCAGGCGTGCGGTGCGGAGAGAGAGGGACTATCTGGGGGAGGGACAGTGCAGCGGCCGCCCAGCGCAGCGCTGAGCGCGGGAGAGAACCACACCAGACCAGACCAGGCAGCAGCAAGAAGAAGCTGGCAGCGGCGGCAGGTTAGGGGTTAGGGGGCGCAAATTACTTGCCTTGCCCCGAATTAGGGGGCGCAAATCACTTGCCTTGCCCCGGGTGCTGACAACTCACGCTACGCCGCTGCCTTCAGATGTCTTCTAAATGTCATATAGTTGTTTGTTTATTTGACATCTGATGGGAAGGCGTTCCACAGGGCGGGTGCCACTACCGAGAAGGCCCTCTGCCTGGTTCCCTGCAACTGCGCTTCTCACAGTGAGGGAACCGCCAGAAGGCCCTTGGACCTCAGTGTCTGGGTTGAACGACGCGGGTGGTGACGCTCCTTCAGGTATACAGGACTGAGGCCGTTTAGGGCTTTAAAGGTCAGCAGCAACACTTTGAATTGTGCTATTACATTAATAGCTTCAACTGCTTTGCCTCTGGCTCCGCCCACCATCAACATGTGGCCCCCAAAATGATTTCCAGAAAGGAATGTGGCCCCCGGGCTAAAAAAGTTCCCCCACACTTGTGTTAAGACCTTAGTGGGGCCTGCATAAAAATGAAAAGGACAGAGAAGAACCAACGACTTAACGGAAGTTGAAGAAGCGTCTCCATCTTCACCCAGCTTTCCCCCCAGATCATAACCAGCCTGTGATTAATTAGCTAGGGATTGGCAACAGCCCCACTTCATGACTAAATATTTTTTCAGTCTATCAAGCCGTTAGCGAAGAAACAGAACAAATGGTGCGGCGAGGGCAAAGGCACTGACCTCTAGGCTCTGCTGCTCATTGCAGCTCCAGCAGCAAAGCATCTTCTCAGACGAGGCTGAGACCCCCTTGGCCTTCTCAGAGTCAAAGTCAAGGCCCATGATTGGCTCCTGATGACATGTGAGTCGGCTCTGCATTCTCCCCATTGACAAATTCCACAGAACCACTGATCCATCCTCATAGCCGACCAGAAGGGAAGGATGCGAACTGACCTTGGGCTGATAGGAAACACAGAACAGATGAGTGAAGTGGCCTGGCGAACTCCCCACCAGTTATTAGACCCAAACCCGACGAGTACCGTATTTTTTGCTCTATACGACTCACTTTTTCCCTCCTAAAAAGTAAGGGGAAATGTGTGTGTGTGTTATGGAGCGAATGAAGGCTGCACAGCTATCCCAGAAGCCAGAACAGCAAGAGGGATCGCTGCTTTTGCTGCTCAGCGATCCCTCTTGTTATTCTGGCTTCTGAGATTCAGAATATTTTTTTTCTTGTTTTCCTCCTCCAAAAACTAGGTACGTCTTATGGTCTGGTGCGTCTTATTGAGCGAAAAATACGGTAAATGCAAGCAGGGCAGAGAACTCCAAAAGGCACTGCTAAAACAAGCTACAATACCCTAAACCTTGAATACCCACTGAGACTAACTATCATAACTTGGCATGTGTAGGCAACTGATTTTTTTAAAGAGGGGAAGGGCAATTGGAACACAGTTCTATCTACCCTTAATTAAAATCTCATAACGCCGATTATTTCAAAAGCTTAATATGATGATTTAGTTTAATCTTGGGTTGGGCCCTAATAAAAAAAGCCTGGTTGGAATGCAAATTGGCAGAGCCAAATTCCTCTCTCCTCTTGCCGAAGTGTGATGTCAAACATCCTCTCAACACTTCATCGTCCCAAAATGCTTCTAGCGACACCTGCGTTCCGTCTGGACCCCAATTATTTCCCACTCAATTCACAGCAAGTTCTGTTGGTGGTCCATCCCTCCATCAAAAATCTCCTTATAATTTGAATTTTATTGGTCGTATATGGAAATAATTGGATCTGACTCAGATAAAGCATTTATGACATTATTCATCGATGGCAACCGCGGCGTTAGTACAAAACAACAGAAAAGCAGGCAAAGTAGCAGGAATGATGGGCAGGGAACTCAAACGCTGGGCCTTTAATTTAAAGCTGTTAAAACTATAATGTTGGAAGAAGAATAAGGGAGAGAGAAGAAAACGGCATTAAAATGTCAAAACATATTTTCCCTTGGAATCCTAGGAAGGATTCTGTTTTAGGGTTGGGCTAATTTAAGGAAGAATTAAAGAATGTGTTTTGAGCTAATCTGAGGTTCTTTAAAGGTAAAGGTACCCCTGACCGTTAAGTCCAGTAGCAGACGACTCTGGGGTTGCGGCGCTCATCTCGCTCTATAGGCTGAGGAAGCTGGTGTTTGTCTGCAGACAGTTTTCCCGGGTCATGTGGCCAGCATGACTAAGTTGTTTCTGGCGAACCAGAGCAGTGCATAGAAACGCCGTTTACCTTCCCGCCGGAGCGGTACCTATTTATCTACTTGCACTTTGACATGCTTTCGAACTGCTAGGTGGGCAGGAGCAGGGACTGAGCAACGGGAGCTCACCCTGTTGCGGGGATTCGAACCACTGACCTTCTTATCAGCAAGCCCTAGGCTCAGTGGTTTAGACCACAGTGCCACCTGCATTCTTTAGTTACCATGTTTTTCAATGTATAAGACGCCTCCTATTTTTGAAGACCCCAAATTAAGAAAATGGGGGGAGATTGCCTAGAGTCGCTGAGCTTTTTTTTGGCGGGGGGGGGGAAGAGTTGTTGAGCATTTTTAAGGGGGATTGCCAAAAATCGCTCACCCGCCTGGCCTATGCTGCCACCTATTGTCTGTCCCCTTGCCGGCAGAAACAGCCAATCGCGCGCCCACTTGCCGCAGCGACAGCCAATCAACACCAGCTCTTGCCACAACCACCAATAGCACACCCAATAGCCCAGGACAATCTCCGGCTTGCGGCAGCAACCAATTCCATGTTCCCCCTATGCACTATCAGTGTATAAGACGACCCCCAATTTTTAAGATAATTTCTTAAGGAAAAATACCTCGTCTTATACACGGAAAAGTACGGTATGTATTCATGATGATAGCCAACCCAGCTTGCTGTCCTCTTCTTCTACCTGCAGCCCTCACCCCATGTAGCTCAAAAGTTTTATTTGGAAGGTCCTGAGCAGATTTTGAGGGTGTATTAGGGATGCAGGGGAGAAGGAGAGGAATGGGGAGTCCAATTGCCCAGGTGGAAGTCTGTTTCGCTCTTGCAACAGAACATTTAAACTATGGTGTTTGCATTGTGATGTAACCCGATTTACATACCGCCTCATAGATTTCTGAAAAATCATTCTAAGGTGTTTACACAAAATAACGTGAAATATTCACACTGGTAACACCAACAGACTTTAAAAACAAGTAGACATTTCAGAACACTGTGTAATGGATGGCGGGTGTTTATATTCTTCCAACCTTGAACCTATAAGTCTCTTGGCCACCATAAGGGCTCTGCAAGATCCACTGCCCTTTCAACCTTTGAACGTATAGATTATATAGGTAGGACAATCTCATTTGGATATCTATTTGGACATATGAATGGTTTCATAATAATAGATACGTCTGAATTAGGATGGATTGTTCAAACTGCTAATATGAGCTGGCATTCTTATTTTCCTGTTATATTTTAAACATATTAAAACAAACAAGCAAGCAGATGTAATAAAATCTTCAATATATATAAAATCAACAGTTTTGTAAAAAATAAATAAACACCAGAGTTTTGAGCAGGCCTTGGAAAAAGAGCAAAGAACATGGCTGCTTAATATTAAATTTGTTCATATTTTCATATATGAGTTTGTATAAGTGCGGAATAAAGAATATGTATGTGTGTGGTTTATTAAAAGCTCAAGTAAAGTGCTGTCCATGGATACTATCTCCAATATCAAGGAAAACTATTTTCTTTCTCTCCCTCTCCCCCAAAAGGAAAAAACAAAAAATCTCCTGAACCCAAAGAGTTAACAGGTCTGAATCCCGCTGTAACCAATTGAGAGATATTTTGATTAATGATGTCACAGGCCAAAGGGCATGGCACCCTGGCCAGCCACCCAATTTATTTAAGTCTCTGAAATAACTCAAAGAAAGGAACGTTACTGGATTACGTGTCACACTTAAGGAAAATATTCATCATTGCACCGGCCGGTTGACGGATGGCCCCTGTAAATCGGAAGACTCACCATGTGAGCAAAAGGTTCAAAAGTCGTAATCAAAGCAAATTTAAAAAACCAATTGCCTGTTAACGCCAGCTATAGATTTTAAAGGAGAAAACACAAACCCACAAAGGCCCAAATACTTTCCGACAGAACGCAAAGATGCCCCACTTTCAGATCTGACCTCTTGACAGATCTTTATGTTAGTTAGTTAGTTAGTTAGTTAATTAGAGGTAGCTTTTGAAGAATTAAATGCTCAAGACAACCGTGCATTGACCCTCTCCCTCTCCCATTACTCCTTCAGACCGGTATCAAGACCCATGTTACAATACAGTGGTACCTCGGGTTACATACGCTTCAGGTTACATACGCTTCAGGTTACAGACTCCGCTAACCCAGAAACAGTGCTTCGGGTTAAGAACTTTGCTTCAGGATGAGAACAGAAATCGTGCTCCGGTGGAGTGGCGGCAGCAGGAGGAGGCCCCATTAGCTAAAGTGGTGCTTCAGGTTAAGAACAGTTTCAGGTTAAGTACGGACCTCCGGAACGAATTAAGTACTTAACCCGAGGTACCACTGTACTAAAATTGTTTTAAGAATCTCTAGGCTAGCTACAATGGATGACCCTGCTGGTGAAAATAGCCTCGCAGCAATCCTTCCTGTTAAAGTCTGCTTTGTGATCTATCCCTCTCCACTCTTCGTTGTAAGGGGAAGATTTTTAAGAATGCCGTAAGAATCCTGGTTGGATGATAATGACGAAGGTCATGAGTTACATTTGTCCGTCGCTTTGTACAGAGGAAAAAAGTTCCGCGGCGACTTGACAAGGCTAAAATGCAATGAACGAAAGCAATTCAGAGCCAGAAAAAAAATTAAAGGAAGAGGCAATACAAAATAGATAAAAGGTATAGCTAAGGACAGGTCCTAACCTGCCCCAAGAAATGATGAGCTCCACTGATGGAGGCAACTTCCTTATCAAAGGCCTGAGTAAAGGAAAAGGTCTTAGCCTGGTGTGTAAAGACTGAGGGGGCCAGTGATCCATGCGACGGTCACCTCCAGGCTTGACTACTGTAATTCGCTCTATGCGGGGCTGCCCTTGAAATTGTCCCACAAACTCCAGCGGGTGCAGAATGCTGCAGCGAGGCTCCTCACGGGGTCCCTGCTATGGGAGCATATTCACCCAGTGCTTTACCAGTTGCACGGGCTCCCGGTGGAGTATAGGGTCAGGTTCAAGGTGCTGGTCTTGACCTTTAAAGCCCTTTGTGGCTTACGGCCCTTGTATCTATGGGACCGCCTCTCCTGGTATGCCCCACAGAGGACCTTAAGGTCCATGAATAACCATAGTTTAGAGGTCCCGGGCCCTAAGGAAGTCAGACTATCCTCCACCAGAGCCAGGGCCTTTTCAGTGATGGCTCCGACCTGGTGGAATGCTCTGTCCCATGAGACTAGGGCCCTTCAAGAGTTAATCTCCTTCCGTCGGGCCTGTAAGACAGAGCTATTCCGCCTGGCCTTTAATTTGAATTCATCCTGATCTTTTATTTCCCTTCTCTTCCCTCCCCCTCCCCTTTTATGAAGATCACCCGCTCTGAGACCCCACAGCTAATTCTCCCCTGGCCTCCTCGCTGGCCCAAGTAGGACCAATTCAGCCACCGTTTAATTGATTTTTGATTTTTATTGTTATTCATGTTTTTATACTGTATTTTATGCTGCTTTTATAATTAAGTGTTTTAAAGTGTTTTAAATTTGGTGTTAGCCGCCCTGAGCCCGGTTTTTGAACTGGGAAGGATGGGGTATAAATAAAAAATTATTATTATTATCCCCGGGGAGAGTATTCCATAGATGGGGAACCACCACTGAAAAGGCCTGTTCTTATGTGGCCACCCTCTGCATCTCCCTTGGCTGGGCATCTGCCGAAAACTGCAGGGTGTTGGCTGGTTCATATGGGGAGGGTGGCCCCTGATCAGACCAAAGGCCTGCCTGATCTAGAATCCTGTATTCCAACCAGATACCTGTGGGAATCTCACAGGTAGCTCATGACAGCAAACAGTTCTCTCCTGCTGTTCCCCAGTGATGGGTATTCATAAGTATACTGGTTAGCTTGTTTTAGAAGGCATTCCCTGGCCTATTTTAATTTATGTGGCATTACTGGATTGTTGGTTTTTTGACTGCTATACAGTGGTACCTCAGGTTAAGTTCTTAATACGTTCCGGAGGTCTGAACTTAACCTGAAACTGTTCTTAACCTGAAGCACCACTTTAGCTAATGGGGCCTCCCGCTGCCGCTGCGCTGCCAGAGCACGATTTCTGTTCTCATCCTGAAGCAAAGTTCTTAACCTGAAGCACTATTTCTGGGTTAGCGGAGTCTGTAACCTGAAGCGTATGTAACCTGAAACGTATGTAACCCGAGGTACCACTGTATAGCAGTCTGTTTTGCTGTCTTTTCATGATGGTTGATGAATTGTACAGCAACTTGGGTGCCATTTTTTTTTTAAACGGAGAATTTGAGCCGTATGTTTTATAAATTAAAAGCGCTGCTATCTTTGGAAGAGTAGAAAGGAAGGTCCAAACAGCAGCTTGAGGTCGGATGGAACATTCCTCCCTCCTTTGAAGGAATGTGTCTTATAAACTGATGCGTATCCACTGGGCTCCTGCAAATCATAGCCAACTGGAAAGGGTTGAATCTGCAAACACAAGGATTGTTTTCCCTTAATTTTCCCAGCAGGAAAGGTGCTACGTTGTGCAATGGTGAGCATTTTTTAAAAAAAAAAACTAACAAGAATGCATGTAGAAACTGGAAATGCAGTAAGTACTTTATTATATAAACTCCATTAATGTATATTCTTGACACGTTGACAGTGATTCTCCTTTGCTTGCTTGCTTGCTTCCTTCCTTCCTGGACAGGCTTCCAAATGAAATAGCAATAAACCTCTGTCTGTCTGTCTCTGCAGTTAAGTGTAACACTTATGAATATTCTAATGTTCTACAACTACCACCTTGACTACAGCACCTTTTGATTCACATCCGAGCAGTCGATGAAGGCAGAAGCTGAAATGCTTTGCTATCAAAAAACAATCTATTTTGTTAGTCACTGTAATTTATTTACGATTTTTGTGATTACCTGTATTCTACCAGGATCTAGGACAAGGCTGTATGAAGTGCTATACAAAAGCTTTGACAACTTTTCTGTTGTGTGAACGTTTCTGTCTCTCTAGAAGACTAAATGTTATAGGCTTCCCTACCACTCTTCTCTGGAGCACTGGGGGAAGCAAGTGAAACATGGACAGGGAATCTGTGGTCTTCCAGATGTTGTTGGACTGCAACTTCTATCATCCTTGACCAAAGGTCATGCTAACTGGAGCTGCTGGGAGTTGGGAATCTAGCAAATTTTTATTATTCCTGCATTGCAGGGGGTTGGACTAGATGAAAAGGGTCCCTTCCAACTTTACAATTCTTTGATTCTATGAAAATCTTGAAGGCCCAATCCCACCTTCATTTTTGACCAAACTGCGGTCAGAGGAACCCGCCCCCCGCTAAAGCTAGTTGGTTAAAGCAGGGTCCATCTGTATTTTGATATTCTGGTTTATTAAATCAGAGAGCGATAGAAGGAACCACAGTTCCTCAAGTTTGTAAACCACCAGGGCACTATGGTTGAGGCAAAACGGAAAGCATGAAGGTTTCACTCTCCTCCTCTTGTGTGCTAAGGAGGAGACAAAGCCCTCTGCAAATAATTCCCAATCATCTAAACCAGCTTTTCTCAACCTGTGGGTCTCCAGATGTTGTTGAACTACAACTCCTATCACCCCTAGCTAGCAAGGCCAGAGCTCAGGGATGATGGGAGTTGTAGTCCAACAACATCTGGGGACCCACAGGTTGAGAACCACTGATCTAAACTATTAGTTTAGACAACCATCAGCTGAGCCACCCAAGTAAATCCTCCATTAAATATAGGTGCTATGCTAAAAGTATGAACTGGGCCTTCATGTCTTCTATTGATATGACAAAGTGTGTGAACCTTAAAGGTAAAGGGACCCCTGACCGTTAGGTCCAGTTGTGGACGACTCGGGTTGCGGCACTCATCTCGCTTTATTGGCTGAGGGAACCTTAAGACTTCTCTAAATAAGGCCCAGCGGTATAATTACATTTGAACCCTCAAAATCAGTGTTGATGGGTGCCTAGTCCAACCCCACTTGCTTAGTGCAGGGGCTGAAGAGCGCCCAACGCAGATGGCTATCCAGGCTCCAGTCTTTCTTTAATTCCAAAGACAAAAGTCCATTCCAAACATATATTAACATATATTTCGGAAAGTTATTTGCTATGCATTTGGACACCTCTTGACATATTGCAACTACATTTTGCATGATGTTTCCCAAGACCAAGGAACATGCTTCCCTCCATGTGTGGATCCATTTTGTCTAGGTTTGGGATGCCGGATGCCACTTTGAGTCAAGATGGCGCACGGAACCTTTCAAAACGTCGTGATTTCAGCCAATTTTTGCGTGATGGTCCCCAAGATCCAAGAGCAGGTTTTCGTCTTGCGTTTGGGTACTAGGCACCATTTTGAATCAATATGGTTCAAAACCGATTTGAACCACTGATTTAAAAACCACACCGATTTTGTCATCGTTGTTTCTCAGAATCCCCAAGCAATGCTGAGTATGAGGCTGCTAGTACGGGATAATGTAAGCATTATACATAAATAAATATGTTTAACCTCTCCAAATCTGAAGAGGCAAGGTAGGTAGTAACATGGTTGGTTCACACCAGACTAGAGACAAGCAAATCAAAATACAGTCATGTTGATTAAAGCTCAAGTGTTTTATTAATGCCAGGCTATCAAATGCCTTGCCAAATTCAAGTTCCATGATCGTTATTTTCCCCCCTGGATACTTCAAAAAACCAAACTACCCGGGCTAAACTTTTCAGGGAGTATTTACAAAACTCGCAACCCACACCATCTGGTGAAGTGTGGAAAGCTCCAGCGGTTATGTGAAGGATGTTCCTGTTTCCCTCCCACCCTTAATAGCATAATTAGTTGATTGCTTTTGACAATCAATCAAAAATAAATAAATATAAAAACCTCAGAGTGAAGAATGATTCATGGGCTCCGTATATAGAGAAATGAATCACAGCGAGGGAAGCGTTTTGTAATTAGCAAGCTCCCGTTGGCTTACCTGCCACATCTTCAGACACATGGGCATGCCCAACTTGGCATCGGCCTCTGGCTTCAAGGTACAGACTGAAATCTTGGATGGCAGCTCCAAAACCCGAACCTGACATCAGGAAAACAAGTTTAGTTGGCCTGGCGCCAGGCACAAGGATGAGTCTCCTAAGGTGATTTGCAAAAAAAAGGTGGTGCAAGCTCTTTTGTTGCTCAGGGATGGTGGGAGAAAACAAATCAACCCGGAGGAAGCCCCAGAAATCGTAACTGCTAAGAAAGGCCAAAGGAAGCTACCTTATACTGAGTCAGAATATCGGTCCATCTAGTTCCGTACAGTGGTACCTCGGGTTACATACGCTTCAGGTTACAGACTCCGCTAACCCAGGAATAGTACCTCGGGTTAAGAACTTTGTTTCAGGATGAGAACAAAAATCGTACTCCGGTGGCGTGGCAGCAGCGGGAGACCCCATTAGCCAAAGTGGTGCTTCAGGTTAAGAACAGTTTCAGGTTAAGAACGGACCTCCGGAATGAATTAAGTACTTAACCTGAGGTACCACTGTACTGTCTACACGGGCTTACAGCAGTGGCGTAGCTAGCCGCTTGGGTGCCTGGTGCGGGGGCGTGTCCTGCAGCCAGGGGTGGTGCGATCCGTGCCCGTGGGGGTGGGGTGAGCCTCTCCGAAGCTTACAGCCTCTCCATCTACGCCCCCTCAGCTGGGGGGGGGCTAAGGGGGAGGCGGTAGGCAGACGTAACTTCCACGCTGCCATTTCAGGCAACATGGAATCTGCAGGCGCCTAAGCCACCACATCACTCCTAAAAAGTTTTGTGAGCCCAATTTTGTTAATTAAAAAACTAATTTTGTCACCCCACCCCCCTCAGTGATGACACCCATGGTGGACCGTACCCCCTTCCCCCTTCCTCCACCACTGGCTGGCAGAAGTTCTCCAGGGTTCCAGGAGACGTGGGGGGTGTCCAACCTGGGTCCTTCTACATTCAGAGCACATGCACGAGATAAACTGTTTAGGTTTCAAACAAACTCAAAAACAGGGCTTCAGGAGCGCTTCAGCCCTGTTTTTGAGTTTCTGCCCTGTTTCTGAGTTTGTTTGAAACCTAAACAGCTTATCTTGTATTCCTTTGTAAGTTTTACTTAAAACCTTTTTGTAAAGGCAATACTAGAGTTTTTACAACCGAGTCCTCAATTTCTTATTACTACTGCTTGGTTTTCTTAAATAGGGCTATGTTTAAAACTTGTCATTGAGGTTTTTATACCTTTTTTTGTAAACTCAAGGAAGCATTTCAGCCCTGCTCTTGAGTTTGTTTGATAGCACTTAAAATCATTTAAGGTTTATAAATGTATTTATTTCCTTCTGAGGAAACTGATTAGTTCAGTGAAACGAGTTTTGTAGCCGGCATCTCGATAAGTCTTTGTTTAATTCTAGGTTAATTTTTCCTTATTTTTTTTAAATTTTCCTTATTTAATTCAATTCTATAGTCGATTACTTCTCGTTTCAGGGATTTTCACAGAAATTCTTTTGTTTTGTGTAATTTCTTGGTTCTGTGACTGTATTTTTCACTGGTTTGAAAAGTTATTGGCTGTCAGGTACTTGGATAAAAAGTTTTCTCTGAACCTCAGGGAAAGGTACCTGCGTTTCACTGCTGAATCATAGATTCATAGAATTGCAGAGTTGGAAGGGACCCTGAGGATTATCTCGTCCAACCCCCCATGTAATGCAGGAATATGCAGCCATCCCACTGTTAGCCCACAGATGGAAGGAAGATAAAGTACCCACAAGAGAAGAATGGCTGATAAAGATGATGGGCTATGCCGAAATGGCGAAAACGACCAGGAAGATGAGAGATCAAGAAGATAACAAATTTAATAAAGAATGGAGAAAATTTATAAGTTAATTAAAAGAACACTGTAAACAACTAAAAACATTGGCAGGATTTATTTTTTTAAAAAAACCACACTTGCAATGTAAAGAGAACTATGGTGAGAATTGAGTGTTAAGAAAATATGGAGAATATTATATGATGCCATTGGAAAAGAATAATTATGGAAACCATGGAGGGATGGAGGGAAGTCCAGGGATTCAGAGAATCCTATGTGTATGACTTATTTGTGAAGCTAACTGTTAAAATTAAAAGTGAATAAAAACAAAAATAATAAAAAGGACTATGCAGCCGTCCCATACGGGAATCGAACTTGCAACCCTGGCATTATCAGCACCACGCTCTAGCCAACGGAACTGCTGCCCTATGTCAATTTAGATCTGTACAGTTTTGCACCTGCTTGCATTCCCCTTTTGAAGTAATAGCTGTGTCAAAATTAAGAGCGGAGCAGCCTGGTCCCATGGGCGTGCAGTGCAGAAACAATTCTCGCTCTGTTTGGTGGGGATGACTCCCAAAGGCAGGACATGGGATTGTAGCCTCCACCACAATCCAGCAATAGAGCCCACGCTAGTCGGATTTCCCCAATGGCAAAAGAGAAGAGATCGAAGCTCAGTAGTGGAACACAGGAATTGCATGCAGGAAGTCCCAGCTTTCCAGCTAAGACTGGGGAAAGGTCACTGTCCTGATATCCCAGTGACCTACTGTCCGGTGTAGAACAAAAACAGTCAATGCAGATGTTTCTGGATTACAAATCCCTTCATCCTTGACTGCTGGCCATGTCGGCTTGGGCTGATGCAGTCCAACCAGATCTAGAGGACTCTATTGTGGACTATCCCTGGTGTGAGCAGCACCGAGATAGATGGAGCAATGGTATAAGGCAGCTTTCTCTGTAGCATCCTGGGCCAATAGCAGGAGCCCCTAGAGCATGCAGTGCTCCGTGGAGCCAACTTCTTTAGATGTTCCTCCTACCCCTTCTCTCCCCTTGATCTTCTTCCCTCTTCCTGTATGAATCATTTCCATGGCAAACCATTTGCATGAAACTCATTCAGGGCACATTAAGACTCTCGGCATTCAGAAGGGCCAGAAGGCAGCCTTACCAGCACGACGAGTTGCATTCAGTACACAACACTTACAATTTACTGGCATTCTCGTGCTGAAAACCTGGGAGGAAAAATCAAAGGGGGACCAAGCTGCTTTGAGAGCACATGCTCTGCTTTGAGCAGTCTGTGGTTTAAATCGCAAGAGCCCAAGAGGTGGAAGGCACAACGACGTCAATGTTTTACTGCTGATGAACGAGAAAGAGAGAGTGCATGGAGGGTTTGAAGGGCACAATCCAGAAGAACCGTAGCTACCAGGGTTTTTTGCCCCAGGTGAAACCTCCAGAGGGGCGTCACTGAGGCTCCCAGACTGTCCCATTTGTACACAAATGTGAGTTGGGGTGTGTGCCAAACTGGGTCTGATCCAGGTGAAACGAAGCCTAGTTTCGCCCCTGCGAACCAGTAGGAAGCTCATCTTGCCAAGTTCCACTGAAATGAACAGGGCTTGCTCAAAGCTCTTGCTAGGGCGCCCACAATTTCAATAGGGTTGCCAACGAATTGTGCCTCCAATTTATTAAACCATCTCAGGAGCAGACATAGCGCTGAGAAAATCAGGGCATTTGCGGAGGGAGGAGAAAGTACTGCTAGTGCTCTAACTAGGGGAAGGCAGCTGTCTAACTTGCTGCACAGTCCTATTCACAATGACTTGGAAGTAAATCCCACCAAGAAATGTAGGAAGGTGCCTCATATTCAGTTCATTGAGCTCAGCATCGTGCTCAAAAGGGGTGAGGAACCTGTGGTCCTCCATATGTTGGCTTTGGCCATGCTGGACAGCTTCTGCATGCAAAACACATGCTTTACAGCTGACCTTTGGTTCCTGCCTCCTGGTATGTCCCACAGAGGAACTTACAGTCTTCAAATAAAAACATCTTGAAGGTCCCAGGCCACAGAGAGGTTAGGCTGGCCTCAACCAGAGCCAGGGCTTTTTCGGCTGTGGCTCCGATCTGGTGGAACGCCCTGTCACAAGAGACTAGGGCCCTGTGGGACTTGACATCTTTCCGCAGGGCCTGCAAGACAGAGCTGTTCCACCAGGCCTTTGGCCAGGGCACAGCCTGACTCCCTCCTTTGGCAATCTCCACAGAATTCTAGCCTAATGGTTGCCATCAATTTGATTTGAATTAATTTTATAATGAATGATTTTAGAATTTTGTACTATTTTATTGTTGTTAGCCGCCCTGAGCCCAGCTTCGGCTGGGGAGGGCGGGATATAAATAAAATTTATTATTATTATTATTATTCATTGCACACAAATCAGCCTTATGCTGAGTCATTGGTCTCTACAGGCCAGCACTGTCTATGTCTTTATTTAGTTATTCATGTTATATTCCACCTTTCTCCCAGTGAAAAACTCAATGCATCTCACAACACAAACCAACGCAACTAAAAATTCACTCTCTGCCCCCGTTAAATAAGCAACCTTGTTTAAAATAGCATTGAAATCACTTTAAACCGTCATAACAGCCAGTGACTGTTGGAACAAAAACATCTCTTTGCCTGCTAGCAAAAGGAAAGCAGAGTGGGGGACCAGGCGAGCCTTGAGGGGGAATATATACCATTATCTGGGAGCAGCCACCAAGAAGGCCCTGTCTTGTGTCTCACCAAATACCTAGGAGGCCACAAGTTTGCTATTTGCTCTTATCGCCTGCCATGGTAGTTTCCCAGGAAGGGAGACATCTGAAGGCAGCCCTGTTTAGGGAAGCTTTTAATGTTTGATGTATTATAGTATTTTAATATTTTTTTGGAAGCCGCCCAGAGTGGCTGGGGAAACCCAGCCAGATGGGTGGGGTATAAATAATAAATTATTATTATATTGTTATTATTAGGAAAGTGTGTGGAAGAAAGCAGCCTGAGCCTCCTTTCTCATTTTAAAGGACAGCAAAGAGCTAGGAGCGCTTGCGTTCCTAAGGATTCTTTGCATTTCTCAGCAGAGAGCAGAACCATGCACATTTACTCAGGAGGAAGTCCCTCTGAGTTCCACAGGCCTTGCTCACAAGCAAGTGTGTTCAGGTTTGCAGTCCCGGTGCCAAGCTTAAACAAGTTGTGAAAGAGCCACCGTCAGGTTTCCCAACTTCCTTCAGTTGAAAACAGCTACAGACATGTGTGCGTATCTGAGATAATTTGGATTGGGGCAATGGCCCTTTCCCTCCACCCCCGACTCAAAAGCACATGCTTCCAAAAGTGCACCTTGCCCAGTATGGTGCCTGCAGGTTTCCTCCCCATGAGGCATGGAGCAGATTCAGGAGGGCAATTTAAATGGTGTGTTAACCTCCCCCCAGTTCACACTTTCCCCACTTCAACTCCATCACTGCCTTTTAAAAAAAGAGGAAACCTGTGATCAGATCACCCTCATCAGTGGAAAAGCCTAGAACATGGGTAGGCAAACTAAGGCCTGGGGGCCAGATCCGGCCCAATAGCCTTCTAAATCCAGCCTGCGGACGGTCCGGGAATCAGCATGTTTTTACATGAGTAGAATGTGACCTTTTATTTAAAATGCATCTCTGGGTTATTTGTGGGGCATAGGAATTCGTTCATCCCCCCCCCCAAAAAAATAGTCCGGCCCCCCACAAGGTCTGAGGGGCAGTGGACCGGCCCCCTGCTGAAAAAGTTTGCTGACCCTGGCCTAGATCATGGATGAATCTTGAGCCCGGCTTCGCCTGGGGAGGGCGGGATATAAAGAAATTATTATTATTATTATTCCAGATTCTGTTGAGCTCTAACTCCCCTCACCTCTGCCCATTGTCCATGGTGGTTGGAACTGAAGAGACCGAGAGCCCAACAACATATGGTTAGCCACATGCTTCCCCATCCACAATCTAGGCAGGGAAGGAAATATTTCTGCAGCTTAATATCTGCTGCATTCATCGCGGCTCAGGAAAGAGAAGGCAAGACCTGAGGGTTGTTGGCTGCTATTGCTGAAGACCAAAAGGCAGTGAGTTTGGGGCACTCCCTGCAGCATGCAAAAGGGTTACATCTGCTAGTATGGAAGACCCAAGAAGCAGCCTGCAATGGTTGCCACCAAGCCTCAGAAATAAATCCTGGGTCTCATGTATTTTGTCGACTGTAGCTGAAACCAGAAGATGTTCCGTGCTGCTCTTCTCTCCTTCGTTTTTGTGCTTACTAGGTGAGTTTTGTCTTTGCCTGAGGCTAATAGTGTTCCTGGGTGGCTATAGGTGGCCACAAGAAAACACACCCTTCTCCTTTTGCACATTTATAATGCTTTTTAGCATGTTTCTGGCAAATTGGCAAGAGACGTGCATGTAACTCATAATTGGTGATTTAAATGCAATCAGGAACAAATAAATGTCTGTTCAGGTCTTATTATTCATAGACGGAATCTGCTTCAAGACAAAATTACCCCCTTTGGGTCCCGGCCAAGCATAAACACATATTAAGTCTTCATGTTAATCATAAGCCTCAAAAGTACTTTGGCTCATGGTGTTACCTGTTTGAGGATAGAATATATATATATATATATATATATATATATATATATATATATATATTAAAAAGGAGCTTACACATGAATTTTGTGGAATTTTTGACTTGGGCACTTAAAAAAATAATCTGGCAAGACCATGACTGCAAACAGCAAAGCCAATCCCACCCTCTGGGGGAAGAGATTATAGCTCAAAACAGAACAACTGCTTTGAATGTAGAAGATGGCCTTGGCAATTCCAAATAGAAGGATTCTGCCTGAGAATGAGGGGAACTTACTGCCAGTCAGGATCACCATCCCAGATCCCACAGAGCACACATGAAGGTCATCAGCCACACATTTTCAAACATCAGCTAAAGCCAGGCTTGGAATATTCCATTAGCGGCCATTGTATTCTTGGCAGATCTCATTAGCCAACACAAAGAATTCATTGCGCCTCTTTCTGAGAAAAGTTATTTTAAATAGATAATGAACATTTCCACATTTTGGATCATCCAACTCATGGAAAACCAGAGCATGCCAAATATTGTTCATGCTCCACCTAGCATCTCAAAGACCACCTCCTTCCCTACAGACCCTCTTGGGTGTTAAGATAGACCAAGGAAGCACTCTCGATTGTTCTGCTGCCCTTGGACATTTTAGTGGGAGATGGTCTGGGTGGTCTCTACGATGAGGAAGTCCCTCCCCAGAGAGATGCAATTGGCTCCTTCACTCTATGGATGTTGCCATTGGCCTTTCCCAGCCAGGATGTATATTTTTTAGGGTCTATTCTGAAGTCTTTTAATGGATTTTAATGTTGTTTTGTATTATGGTGATCTGTTCCAGAACCTTATGATGGAGGGTGTCAAACATACATTACCTACCTCTTCCAGGCCTTTCCATGGCATGGCTAGTAGCCACCGTCTCTCTTCAACCTCCAAGAGGGAGCATTTGCAGAACCCAATATTCTCCGTGGAAACAGAGTCTGTGACAATGCTCCTTCCTTCGGCCAAGTCCCACAGGCAGATGTTTTGGTCACGGCCCTGGCTTTTACAATCAGAAACATTCTTTGTCATACGGCAGAATTTGCAGATTCTGAGCGTCTCTTTGCCAAGCAGCTTCATCATGGATCCTCAACAGAGCTCCATGCCAATACGTATCTAACACTCCTGTATACCCAGCCCTCGCATAAGCCACCCTGAGCTGTCAACTTCCTGGCTACCGAGAGGAGGGAAGCTGGTCTCTGTTTCCTTTACAGTGGTACCTCGGGTTAAGAACTTAATTCGTTCTGGAGGTCTGTTCTTAACCTGAAACTGTTCTTAACCTGAGGTACCAATATAGCTAATGGGGCCTCCAGCTGCCGCCGGAGCACGATTTCTGTTCTCATCCTGAAGCAAAGTTCTTAACCTGAGGTACTATTTCTGGTTAGCAGAGTCTGTAACCTGAAGCATCTGTAACACGAGGTACCACTGTATTTGCCAGTCAAATTAAAGAAAACAACACATGTCACATTAATATCATTGTTGAATGACTGTGAAGCTGAGGCTCCAATACTTTGGCCACCTCATGAGAAGAGAAGACTCCCTGGAAAAGACCCTGATGCTGGGAAAGGGGACGACAGAGGACGAGATGGTTCGACAGTGTTCTCGAAGCTACCAGCATGAGTTTGACCAAACTGAGGGAGGCAGTGGAAGACAGGAGTGCCTGGCGTGTTCTGCTCCAGGGGGTCCCGAAGAGGCGGACACGACTAAACGACAAGAACAAATCTTGCGTGTTTTGAGCTCAAGCCTCCAGGCTCAGGAGCCATGAATGTATCCTGAATCGGGCTATCGGTCTAACTAGTCTAATGTTAAAGGAAAGGTTGAAGCAGTTGGGTGTATTTGGTCTGGAGAAGGGGAGACCTGGCTGGGATGGCAACGAACGTGACAGCACTCATCAAATATCTAATCTGCAGTACAGGCCCTTCAGATATAGAAGGCACCAAACATCCTTGGGTTTAGCTCTATGGTGCCCATGAAGAAATCATGGTGGGAATTGCCTGAGTAGGAAGAGGAATGGAGTGAGAATGGGGAACTGGAAGAACTGGATCCTGGGAAGGGGCCCAGTGGGCTGAGAAGTACCGATCCAGATCCTCCAGCATCACCTGTGTGCCTAGTTTTTGTTGTTGTCGTTTACTGCAGACTAATGTTGGAATGGGATGAACTGCCAACACATGGTGACAGGGAAATCAGTACAGTCATACCTCGGGTCACAGACGCTTCAGGTTGCGCGATTTTGGGTTGTGCACTGTGCCGAACCCGGAAGTACTAGAATGGGTTACTTCCGGGTTTCGGTGCTTGCGCATGTGCTGAATCGTGACCTGCACATGCGCATACGTGGTGCTGCGGGTTGCAGACGCTGCGAGTTGCGAACGTGCTTCCTGCACAGATCACATTCGAAACCCGAGCGTCCACTGTAGTTAAAATCAGTGCAGCTTTCAAAAAGTCAGCCTGCCATCTTGATTCAAAATGGCACCCAACTGTATCCAAACATAGATGGGAACCTGCTCCTTGTTTCTCAGAACAAATTGATTACGTCACCTCAAAATGCATAGGGAACAAGCAACTTTCCGAAACAGGTAAGAGCTTTTGTTCTATTACATATATATCCCGCCTTTCTTCCATTATGGAACACAATGTGGTGCACATGTGGCTCCAAGCACTTACCACACCTAGACCTGCTTAGCTTCAACAAGGCAGCTGCTAAATTTACCTCAGGCCTGGCCCAGCCCATCCACAATGAAGCAGCCGAAGCATCGGTGCCCATTTCCAGTGAGAATCGATGAACTCTCGTGAGATATCGTAGAGTACACGAAATCTCGTGAGATTTTGGCAAGATCTTCCCAGAAATTGGTACAGATGCCAGCAGCCGCGGGGTGGGAAGTGCAGCAGCGGCAGAGAGGGTGGCAATTTCCATTTCACCTCAAGCTCTGAAATGGGACGAGCCGCCCCTGCTTCAGGCCACAGGGCAAACAAGTTTGCAAGAAGTCTGGATGGCTTTCCCCTGTTCCAGCCAAAAGAACATTGCCGCCTGTCAGTTTTGGATGAAAGGTCAAAGTACATAAAATGCACCAGCTCCCCCCACTCACAAAAAGCACGTTTTTGACCATGTCTGGATACAACTGGACACTGTTTTGCATCAAAATGGCGGACTAAACCTTTCACAATAGCACTGATTTTTTTGTTTCTTAGAATTCCAGAGCCACGTCAGGTATGAGGCTGCTAGTAAACGACAACAATGACACGCCACAGACAAAGATAGCATTAATAACTGCAACAAACAAAACATTTGCATTGTGTTGCTGCAATGTAATTTGAAAATAAACAAAACTTATTGATCTGCAGTACAATTAACATTACAGAAGACAGATGAGATACTTAAAATTATGAGAACCAAACCTCATATGAAGTACAGTAATAGACACTTTGAAATGTGGGTGTTAAGATGGACTCAGAAGTCCATCAACACAAGTGAGGTTTCTCAGGTATTCTGACCGAATTGCTTCTTCAACCAACCCCAGCTAAGTGCAGAGACCAACCTATACAGACATTCTCTTATGGAGATCGAGAATTAAGGAACACTACCCAGAAATAACTGTAGTCCTGAAAGATTTCTGTGTCAATGCTTCTGAGCACAGAGTGCATGCGAAATGAAAACCATGTAATTATGTTAACAACTCAGATTTAATTCTGGGTTGTTAATTGTGGTTATGCAGACGACAACAAATATAAATGCTAATAAGGTCTGCTACGGAAGATGTCTTTTCTTGATAAACATGTCAAAACATCTCCAAATTACCCTGACGCTTTGGCAATCCGCTCCAGAAGAAGGTGGAGCGTTCTGTCAGTCAAAACAACCGAAGGCCTTGTGGCACCTAGCAGATTTATTGTGGCAGAAGCTTGTGTGGACGACAGCCTGCTCATCCAGACGCAGGAAAAGTTATCTTCAGCTGATTCTGCGTGTGCGCATTAAATGGCCTGTATCCAACATTAATCATACCAAGGCCCCATCCGCACTATACATTTAAATCAGTATCATACCGCTTTAAAAAGGCATGGCTTCCTCCCACCCAAAAAAGGAATCCTGGGAACCGTAGTATGTTAAGGATAGTGAGAGTTGTTAGGAGACCCCTATTCCCTTCACAGGACTTCAGTTCCCAGAATTCCCCAGCAGAGGGATTGATTGTTAAAGAACTCTGGGAATTGTAGTTCTGTGAAGGGAACAGCGGTCTTGTAACAATCCTTCACAATCCTATGTGGTATGCCCCACGGAGGACCTTAAGGTCCATAAATAGCAACACCCTTGAGGTCCCGGGCCCTAAGGAAGTTAGATTAGCCTCAACCCGAGCCAGGGCCTTTTCAACACTGGCTCTGGCCTGGTGGGACGCTCTGTCTCATGAGACCAGGACCCTGCGCTCCCTCTTCGCTCAGGAGGCTTCTTATTTCTTGTTTTCCTCCCCTTAAAACTAGTGCGTCTTATGGTTGGGTGCGTCTTATAGAGCGAAAAGTATGGTAATTCTTGGTGGCACCTCCAGGTTGCAGCTGGGAAAGACTCCTGTCTCAAACCCTGCAGAGCTGCTCCCAGTCAATGAAATCCAGAGATGTGGAGCCTGTGTCCCTCTCCAGATGTTGCAGAGACTTGCCTACCATAGAAAGGAGCCATGCAATCTGTTGCTCCGCCCACTTTGACCTCTGGCCCCACCCACCGCTACCATGTTTGCCCAAAAGGGTTGCCCAGAAGGGAATATGGGCTCCTGGGCTGTAAAATAATTCCCCTCTCCACTGCTCCAGCTTTTCAATCTTATGCCCTTTTCTAGAGACATCGTTAATTCTGCAATCTTCTAAGTGTGCGCCTTCTGAATTGCATCACTCACCTAAGAAGTGCATTTCTTCTGTTGCGTAAAGCTTTCACCCAGTACACTGATTTCCCGCCATGCCCATCCAGTGTCCTATCCACCCTGTGTGTTTTCAGATTCCAGATATGGACCAGCCCATTAGAAGATCTAAACAAGAAAAGAAAAATGGGTGGGAGGGAGACAAATGCTAATTTCATCAGCAACCGTTTCAAAGCATGAGCAATCTGGTGGTAATTCCAAACTTATCATAGAATCATAGAATCATTGGAAGAGACCACAAGGGCCATCGAGTCCAACCCCCTGCCAAGCAGGAAACACCATCAGAGCACTCCTGACATATGGTTGTCAAGCCTCTGCTTAAAGACCTCCAAAGAAGGAGACTGCACCACACTCCTTGGCAGCAAATTCCACTGTCGAACAGCTCTTACTGTCAGGAAGTTCTTCCTAATGTTTAGGTGGAATCTTCTTTCTTGTAGTTTGGATCCATTGCTCCGTGTCCGCTTCTCTGGAGCAGCAGAAAACAACCTTTCTCCCTCCTCTATGTGACATCCTTTTATATATTTGAACATGGCTATCATATCACCCCTTAACCTCCTCTTCTCCAGGCTAAACATGCCCAGCTCCCTTAGCCGTTCCTCATAAGGCATCGTTTCCAGGCCTTTGACCATTTTGGTTGCCCTCCTCTGGACACGTTCCAGTTTGTCAGTGTCCTTCTTGAAGCTTAGATTAGATCCTTCTTATCTAAGCTGCCTACGGACTTTCTACACTGCAGAGATGTTTTTTAAAAAATCACTACCAGCTTGCTGATTTGATCATTACTTTCCCTTCGGGCGGAGGGAAAAATCAGTAAAATGTTGGGATGTTCCTTGAAATTTACATTTTATGGCAGGGATGCCTAAGCCGCCGCACTCCAAAACAAAAACAAAAAAAAATCTGCATACAAAGAGAATCTGAATATGCTTGCTTTGCTTGTCTTACACAGTCACACACCTTTTGGTTTTCTTTTTAGATGTTATTAAAGTTAGAAAAAGAACACAGGTTTCAAAGAAAGAAGAATGGCAGCTGAAAATAATGGAATACGCAGAGCTAGCAGGTCTAGCCAGCATGGTAAGAGAACAAGAAGACTGGGTATATAAAGAGGAATGGAAAATATCTGTGGAGTAACCGGAAAACAACTGCAAGCAAATGAAAACGCTAGCAGGATTATTGTAAATTCAACAACAATAATAATAATAATAATAATAATAATAATAATAATAATTTATACCCCGCCCATCTGGCTAGGTTTCCACAGCCACTCTGGGCGGCTCCCAACAGAATTAATGATAATAATAGTAATAAAAATGATAAAACACCAAACATAAAAAACTTCCCTAAACAGGGCTGCTTTCAGATGTCTTCTAAAAGTCAGAAAATTGTTTTAATTCTTTGACATCTGGTGGGAGGGCTTTCCACAGGGCGGGCGCCACTACCGAGAAGGCCCTCTGCCTGATTAAGATATAATGGAAAGGGGGAAACTAGATGGCGGGAATAAAATATGCAGCTAATTTTGGAAGTACAAGGAACCATGAAAGGAGAAGAAGGGAAGTCATCGTAAGTACTGTTGTATATTTAATGGTGGAAAATGTATATCTGAAATTTTAAACAAATTTTTTTTGAAGAAGAACACAAAGGTTAATACCAAACATCCATTTTCAATTCAATTCTTCATTGCGATCCAAAGACCCAATAGACAGAGTTCAATGCATACATTCATGGCACATAAAATACTGTATTTTTCTGTGTATAAGATGCCCCCATGTATAAGATGCCCCCTATTTTTAGGGATTCCAATTTAAGAAAGCAGAGGGGAGATTGCCCCGTGTATAAGACAACCCAGAGTTTTCCACATAATTTTAAAGTAAAAAAACTAGCCTTATATACGGAAAAGTACGGTACATTAAAAGCAAAGTGCTGAGCAGATCGTAAGACTATGCTTGTTTAAGACTTTTTTCTAATATAATTTGATCTCCCATCCTGACACCCCCCATACTCACCCAGAGAAAAGAATGGGAAATTCCGGTTCTGGATCTGAACAATGAAAGCACAGTGCATTGACTGCATCAGTTGTTCCCCGCAGAACATACTGGGGATCCGGGGAAGGCAGCGCCATTACAGCAATAATGTATTAGAAGCTCCTGTAAGAGGAAAAAAAAATATCAAAAGGAAGCACAAAGCACACATACACACACACCCAGTTACTGAAAGGAGAAACAAACAGCTATTGACATACATCATTGTACATATGTCATTGATCAGGGGTGTGGAACCTTTTTTTGGTTCCACGGGTCAGATCCTTAGAAGATCCTAGCCTCGCGGGCAAAATCTGACGGGTGGGTGGGGCCAGCCACCTGTCAATCGTCTGGCATCATAATGATGCTGTGTGATTTCATGCTCTCAAGTCCCAAAGCTGGGAATTCAAAGAATCTCCTAATGGGTTTCCAGACAGCCCTGCGCAATGCTTTAAAGCAGCGGTTCTCAACCTGTGGGTCCCCAGATGTTGTTGGACTACAACTCCCATCATCCCTGAAGCTCTGGCCTTGCTAGCTAGGGATGATGGGAGTTGTAGTCCAACAACATCGGGGGACCCGCAGGTTGAGAACCGCTGCTTTAAAGCATCTCTGGTGCCCATCAGCTGAGAGCCAAAGCCTGCTTTCCCATGCAAATTGGGAGCACCCTGTATTTGCACATGGGTCTCTACCTGCCCCAGATGTCAGGATGTGGGGCAGGTGACGTGGCTTGTGGGAAATGGCCTCGCAGACCGAATTTGAACCCCTGGGCCATCTTGCCCATGTGCCAGAGGTCCCCCACCCTTGCCATAGATGGAAAACTTGGATACTCATATACAGCCCATACTTTTACTTCCCCAAAGCTTCAGTGAATTCAAACACCTTGATTTAACAGAAGTAATAAACCGAGACTGATATTTGGGCTCGCGGATAGGAGAATGAACACTCCTAGCCCAGTGGCAGATCACCGAATAATTGATACTTTTGAATTATGGTGCTGGAGGAGACTCTTGAGAGTCCCATGGACTGCAAGAAGATCAAACCTATCCATTCTTAAGGAAATCTGCCCTGAGTGCTCACTGGAAGGACAGATCCTGAAGCTGAGATTCCAATACTTTGGCCACCTCATGAGAAGAGAAGACTCCCTGGAAAAGACCCTGATGCTGGGAAAGATGGAGGGCACAAGGAGAAGGGCACGACAGAGGGCAAGATGGTTGGACAGTGTTCTCGAAGCTACCAGCATGAGTTTGACCAAACTGCGGGAGGCAGTGGAAGACAGGAGTGCCTGGCATGCTCTGGTCCAGGGGGTCACGAAGAGTCGGACACGACTAAACAACTAAACAACAAAGCCAAGTGGTGTCCAAACTTTTGAGGGCCAAATTTGATGAAGTAAAGGGCCGTGGGGGCTGACCAAAGGGCCAACCAAAGTTGTTGAGCTTCTTTTAGGACTGAAGTTGTTAGGATTTTACCCCAGGAAATAAACACAGGGGCTAGATTAAACAGGGGAAATAAACACACTGCCACAGGGGCTAGCTAGATTAAACCGGCAAGCCAGCTGGATTAGGCCCCAAAACGGACTTTGGACATGCCTGTCCTAGCGAAATTGTGCCCCAACACCTATTGCTAAATGTCAAAACACTCCCCACCACCACGATGCTTCCGGGGCTCGCTGTTGGTACAGCACCATTTCAAGAGAAAACTGTCAAACCGTAGCACACAAACCGCTGTATATTTAAAAAACAGGCCAACTAGATCTTTGTGAAAATAATTAAGGGTACAATCATATGGCATCCCAGAGGTCACAGGGTGTCTTAGATCTCCATGTAGGGCAGAGAGACAGGTCTGACCTTGGAGGGGGAGATCTTGTTGGAATGTGAATAGTACTGGGAGAGGATATATTTATTAGACATTATGCTTCCTTCCTCACGTTTGTGAGTTTTCAGCAGAGTGCCACCCCTTTGCAGCTTAAAGGGAAGCTTATATAGGCTAGTTTTAGGCTTATCTGACTGCATTTTATATATTCCAGAGATCTGACCTCAGAACGCTTCTTGCAGAACCCTCCACTGGCCTTAGTTTACTGACATTGGAGCTCCAATATTATCAGAGGCAAAAAAAAAAAAAAAAAGATTTGCCTGGGGCTGACTGGGTGTAGGCTTTGAACCAAAGGGCCCAACATCTTTCCGCTGCCAAAGCCTTTCTGTTCTTTATAAGGGAGGGACAATGGGAAGGAAATATGAAGTTTAAAAAGTGCCGTCTCAAGGGACTGGGGAAAGGCCACTCCCTTCTTTTTCGCCATGCTTGCCTAGAAGACTTTTCAAAATTTCGGATCATAGAAGCCAACTCCAAGGGAATGAGGTCCCTTTGCCCCCCACCCAAAAAAATATTTGAAGAGGCTAGGCCCCCCAAAGATGTTGGGCATTGCCATTCAAACGGTAAGTGTGCAACACATCATGTGATCAATTATATGTGGTGGAGGTCACCTGCCCCCCCCATATTTTATTAAAATTGGCACCCCTGTTGCGGATCCCCGCAACCCACCGGTAGGATTCCTCTGCCCTCAAGCCTCAGTGGGCTTGACTTTTGAGAAGACATGTCTAAGGTTTTGCCGCGGAGTATGTTTCATTTAAAATAAATATATAAATCAATATATCCTTAAAAGGAAAGCCTTTCGCAGATGTCCAGATACAGACATGATTTGATCTGGGATGGTTTTTTTCCTGGGTATTTCAAATTATATTTTCTGAGCATTCTCAAGGGTTTTTTGTTTTTTTTAACAGATACTGCTTTTCGTAGGAAAACAAACCAACCCCAAAGCATCACGTGTTTTATTTCCTGTATACCGCTTTCCTAAAAAAAAAAAGGTAGGAGATATCATCATGATGGATGTCAACTACTATGAATCTGTCAAAAGAGTTTGTTTTCAATGTTTCCTGAGATGGAGACTTCATTAAAAAAGGAAGAAAGTGGCAAAGGGATCCTTTTCTCTCTCTGCCAGTTGCAATCAAGTATCCCCAAAAAGAACCGTATCGCACCAACAAAACTTTCAACCCAACAGAAACATGTCGACCGAGAGGCAAGTCTCACTGATTGCGGCAGGATTTATTTGAAGATAAGCATGCTTAGGATCACGACTTTAGTGTGTCATGGGAAATTAAGGTGATTTTCATCCCAAATCCTTGTTTAGAGTTTGGATTTTTCTCTCTCTTTCTTTCGTCGTTTCATTGCTGCATTGAGTTACATTTGAAGGGAAAGATCGATTTCTGTCAGGGGTTTTTATGCGGCATAAAACCCGGCGGCTTGATGCTCTATCTTGACGCGTTTCGTGTAAGATTTCATAGAATCACAGAATTATTTGCTTTTGTGGTTTCTTACTTATTTTACTTCGGTACATTGCTCTGAGATATTTATTGTTGCTCCATTATGTCACTTAAAATTATTATTGTTGCTGTTTTTAGTAGTAGCAGTTTAGTTTGGGATGTGGAATCTATACAGTGGTACCTTGGTTTTCAAACAGCTTAGTTCACGAACAACTTGGAACCCGAACACTGCAAAACTGGAAGCAGGTGTTCCGGTTTTTGAACTTTTTTTTCGGAAGCCGAACATGCTCTGTTTTGTGTTTCCTGTTGCGTTGTTAATTTGTGCACCCCATTGTAATTCAAGTCTTCCGTTTCCGATTGCAGTGTTCTGAGGTGATATTTGGAGTTTATATTTGGTGCTTTTGTTTTTGCTATTTGTTTTGCTATTTATTGTTTTGAGGCTTTTTCGGTTAATTTGTTTTTATGACTGTGTGGATCCCAGTTCAACTACTGATTGATTGATTCATTGATTGACTGCAGAAATCGATGAAAGCCCCCAACCAAACAATGACTATCATCGGTACTGGTAAGAAAAAAAAACAATTTAATTTTTTTTATCATCTACAATACTGCTTTATTTATTTTATAGTACAGTACATTGTTTATTGCTTTCATTTTATGGATCAATAGTAAAATTCATGTTAAACTGCTGTTTTAGGGGTTGTTTTTAAAAGTCTGGAATGGATTAATCCGCTTTGCATTACTTTCTATGGGAAAGCGTGCTTTGGTTTTGGAACAGACTTCCGGAACGGATTAAGTTACAGGTAGGGTAGCCGTGTTGGTCTGCTGTTGTCAAAACAAACAAACAAAAATTCCTTCCAGTAGCACCTTAGAGACCAACTAAGTTTGTTATTGGTATGAGCTTCGAAGAAGTGTGCATGCACACAAAAGCTCATACCAATAACAAACTTAGTTGGTCTCTAAGGTGCTACTGGAAGGAACGGATTAAGTTTGAGAACCAAGGTACTGTATTGTATTATTTTTATATACAGGCGGCGACCATTCTGTGCGGGGGTTTCGCTCCTGGCCCCCACGTGCGTCGGTGAAGTGACCATTACTCCCTCTTCCCACTGGAGAGCCAGTGTGGTGTAGTGGTTAAGAGTGATAGACTCGTAATCTGGTGAACCGGGTTCGCTTCCCTGCTCCTCCACATGCAGCTGCTGGGTGACCTTGGGCTAGTCACACTTCTCTGAAGTCTCTCAGCCCCACACACCTAACAGAGTGTTTGTTGTGGGCGAGGAAGGGAAAGGAGAATGTTAGCCACTTTGAGACTTCTTTGGGTAGGGATAAAGCGGGATATAAAATCCAAACTCTTCTTCTTCCAGGTCCAAAACGACCTGCACAAAACGACACCGTTTGAACAAGGTTGCTTCCCTCAATGCCTATAGCAAACTTTCTCTCTATTATGATGCCTTTGCAAAAAGAACCATGTTGTGATGGTTCAACATCTTTATCAACAACTTGGATGATGGACTCAAGGGCATCCTGATCAAATTTGCAGATGACACCAAACTGGGAGGGGTGGCTAACACCCCAGAGGACAGGATCACACTTCAAAACGACCTTGACAGATTAGAGAACTGGGCCAAAACAAACAAGATGAATTTTAACAGGGAGAAATGTAAAGTATTGCACTTGGGCAAAAAAAATGAGAGGCACAAATACAAGATGGGTGACACCTGGCTCGAGAGCAGTACATGTGAAAAGGATCTAGGAGTCTTGGTTGACCACAAACTTGACATGAGCCAACAGTGTGACGCGGCAGCTAAAAAGCCAATGCAATTCTGGGCTGCATCAATAGGAGTATAGCATCTAAATCAAGGGAAGTAATAGTGCCACTGTATTCTGCTCTGGTCAGACCTCACCTGGAGTACTGTGTCCAGTTCTGGGCACCACAGTTCAAGAAGGACACTGACAAACTGGAACGTGTCCAGAGGAGGGCAACCAAAATGGTCAAAGGCCTGGAAACGATGCCTTATGAGGAACGGCTAAGGGAGCTGGGCATGTTTAGCCTGGAGAAGAGGAGGTTAAGGGGTGATATGATAGCCATGTTCAAATATATAAAAGGATGTCACATAGAGGAGGGAGAGAGGTTGTTTTCTGCTGCTCCAGAGAAGCGGACACGGAGCAATGGATCCAAACTACAAGAAAGAAGATTCCACCTAAACATTAGGAAGAACTTCCTGACAGTAAGAGCTGTTCGACAGTGGAATTTGCTGCCAAGGAGTGTGGTGGAGTCTTCTTCTTTGGAGGTCTTTAAGCAGAAGCTTGACAACCATATGTCAGGAGTGCTCTGATGGTGTTTCCTGCTTGGCAGGGGGTTGGACTCGATGGCCCTTATGGTCTCTTCCAACTCTATGATTCTATGATTCTGTGATTTAAAGTCCTTTTATCTTCCACAGTCGCGTCAATACCCTCGCGAACACCTTCAAAACAGGGGCACGTGCATGCAGCGCTCTGTTGACTCGAAAGACGGCAACTTTGCAAAAACACACCCAAAAGGGTGTTGTCCTTGAAGCCAAAAACGCACAGCTCTGAAGTTTTACAGGAGGAAGACGGAGGCAGAATGGAGAAGAGAGTCACCCCAGAGGCTATCTGGAATTACGAGGAAGGATTTAATACCAGGTTTTTCTTTTTCTTTTTCACACTTCTAATTACCGACACACAAGTGTTTTGCTGACAGAAGGAAGGTTTGTGTGTGTGAATCTGGGGAGGGTTATTAAGCTGGCATGAAGTTGGAGCTCCAACTGCATGTCCCTACACGGAGAGCATCATGGAGGATTCTTAGACACACAGCACCAGGGAAGGGAGGGAGAGGGGAGTTAATCTCAAACATACGCCGAATCCATTCATAAATAAAGCTGAATTTCCTTTTTCTCACCCGAGAGCTCTTACTGATGCAATGAGCTAAGGTGTGTTGTGAAAGCCTTGTTTTCCATTGTTTTACAGCCTTCCCATTGTTGTTCAGAAGCCAGTCTCTGCCCCTACGCAAAATAGGGCACACACCATATATGCACCAGGAAATGGTGTACATTTCAAGCCTTGGCAGGATTAGGCTCTGGGCAACTGAATTCTGGGCGCCATGTGCTTTAACTCACAGATGACAGCCTTTTGCTGGAAGAAGCCCTCAACGTGATGTGCTGTCTCGCCAAGTTTGGTTTAAAGATAAAGGTAAGCCGAGAACGGCAGCAGAGGCCTCAAAGTTTCCCATCGACAGGTCAACTGGCCACAGAATTCCTCCTGTGGTGAGATGGACTGAATTTCTATTTAGTTATTTTCTGCGGCAGCCCCATGGCTGTTGAACTCCCCCCCTGCCATTGGCACCAACTCTACCGGGTTGAGGACAGCTCAGCCCCCACAACGTATGTGGGGATGAGGCTGAGCATCCGTAATCTTGAGGGGCCGGGCTCTGTCAAGACTACCCAGCCAGCAGAGGTCATCACTGGGGCTCCCCACAGTAGCAGAGGGCCTCCCTGGGCCCCGTGGCCTCCTCCCAACACACGTATGCGACAAGCCTCCCCCCCCCCCAATGTTGCATGCAACTTGGAGCCTCTGCTCCCCGCATACAGTGGTACCTCGGGTTACATACGTTTCAGGTTACATACGCTTCAGGTTACAGACTCCGCCAACCCAGAAATAGTACCTCGGGTTAAGAACTTTGCTTCAGGATGAGTACACAAATTGTTCTCCGGCGGCGCGGTCGCAGCAGGAGGCCCCATTAGCTAAAGTGGTGCTTCACGTTGAGAACAGTTTCAGGTTAAGAACGGACCTCCGGAACTAATTAAGTACGTAACCCGAGATACCACTGTACAGTGGTACCTCGGGTTACATGCGCTTCAGGTTACAGACTCCGCTAACCCAGAAATAGTACCTCGGGTTAAGGTTCTTTTGGGCCCTGCAAGCATTTTCTCATGATAAGCATAAACAAAATTAGCAGAACTAACAACTCTTGGTGTGAAACATGCTAACCCAGAAATAGTGCTTCAGGTTAAGAACTTTGCTTCAGGATGAGAACAGAAATCGTGCTCTGGCGGCACGGTGGCAGCAGGAGGCCCCATTAGCTAAAAGGGTGCTTCACGTTAAGAAGAGTTTCAGGTTAAGAACGGACGTCTGGAACTAATTAAGTACTTAACCCGAGGTACCACTGTATTTGTATCTGGCACCTTCAGTATGCAGCAGGCATGTATACTCCCAGTATAAAAAAACTAGCATTGATCTACCCATTGTCATTGGAAGAAGCAGGAGCGTGCGTGGGGTGGGTGGGTGGATTGCCCGGAGTTGTTGAGCTTTTCTTAGGAGGATTGCACAGATTTTTAGCTTTCCCCCCAGTAAATTTTTGTACACGATAAGGATCCCGCGATCTGCCAGGATCAGCCAGGGATCTACTGGTTGGAGATCCCTTGCACAGTGGTATTTCGGGTTACATACGCTTCAGGTTACAGACTCCGCTAACCCAGAAATAGTACCTCGGGTTAAGAACTTTGCTTCAGGATGAGAACAGAAATCGCGGCAGCAGGAGGCCCCATTAGCTAAAGTGGTACCTCAGGTTAAGAACAGTTTTAAGTTAAGAATGGACCTCTGGAATGAATTAAGTTCTTAACCCTAGGTACCACTTTATACAGCTTCTGATGAATGCTGAAGCCTGGCTTTTAACACTTGAGGTGTATATTTTCAGGACGCAGCTTGTTTTTATGATTGTAGCTGCATCCTTCAGGAAATGCAACAAGGGTGGCCCCAGACCTGCGCAAGGAACACCTCCCTGTTCTCATGCAGAATGTTCCCACTAAATATAGGAAAGTCCTACTGCAAGAAATCTAGCTTCCCACAATCCTCCTGTCTTTTAAACAAGACCCAGCCAGTAAATGGCCCTCCATCTTCTTTAAAGAGTCATGCAAGTCCTGGATATACAAAACCGGCAAAGCACTACGTACTGAGTAGCTTTTAAGGCTCTGATAGTGTAAGAACACGTCATTTTTCTGGTGGCGCTGAACCTCTCCATCAGGCAGACTTGAAAGTAAGCTAAAACCTTCCCCCCCCTTTTTTTAAGATAATAGGCTAACTAAACACCCAACATTTGCACAGAAAAGGATTACTGCAAAACCAAGAACCTCAAATGTCACACTGGTGCTGTTTAATGACTGTTCTCCTTAATGCTCAACATCTGTGCCTCAAAACGACCCATTCTTCATTCCCATTCTGCTAGAAATGGTTTGCGTAACTTGAAAAATGGCAAAAAAAGCAGGGGAGTTGGGTGAGGTGGGGGGAAATAGGTGCTTTAGGCTACAAACCTACACACACGCGTACTTAGGAGTACAGTGGTACCTCGGGTTAAGTACTTAATTCGTTCCGGAGGTCCGTACTTAACCTGAAACTGTTCTTAACCTGAAGCACCACTTTAGCTAATGGGGCCTCCTGCTGCTGCCGCCGCTCCGCCGGAGCACTATTTCTGTTCTCATCCTGAAGCAAAGTTCTTAACCTGAAGCACTATTTCTGGGTTAGCGGAGTCTGTAACCTGAAGCGTATGTAACCTGAAGCGTATGTAAGCCGAGGTACCACTGTACGTGCATCAGAATGGCAATCAAACCATTCCAGTGTCTAAAATACATAGGGATGGGGATATTGACTTTAAAAAGCTCTTGCAAGATCAACGGAAAGGAAAAGAAGAGTCTAAGCAAAGAGTCTTCAGAAACGGTCTGCAAAGCAGCGGAACCAATTTCAGGAGGAAGAGAAATTCAAAGACAAGGACCATTCAGAGAGCGCAAAGACCTGAACAGAAGTGAGGTTAGGTTTAATAAGACTTGCTCCAGAAGGCTGGAGATATCTGGAGCTGTCGTTCTCCTCCCTTCTCCACCCACTTTTGTGGATTCCTTGAGACAATCCGTTCCGTATCTGTCGAGAAACAACCATGTTTACACACAATCCTGTGTCCACTTAACCTGGCAGTAAGCCCTATTGAACTCAATAGGTCTTATTTTTGAGTAGATGGGTAAAGGATTGCACTATAAAAGAGAGGGAAGTAAAGGGATTGTGTGTGTTGTGCCAGCACTTTGAAGATCAGCCTGCTAATTCTTTAATCTTGCTTTCCTTTGTAAGGAGGGGCACCTGGTGGGCTTGGAATTTCCAGAGAATAACAGGGATTTCATATATTTGATCAGTAGCACACCTGGATGTTTCAAATACTTTTGCGGCCATAATTATGGCTGCACACCTGCTGGTTTGAGTCCTCCCAATTGGTTTGCCAGATGTACCTTGGAGAGATTTATTTCTGGTATACCTGACAATCGATTTGTTTGTTTTTCCTTGGGCACCATCTCATGACTATTCTAAAAGTGATTAGAAAAATCATACTTTTGGGTCTTGGCTCTAGATGTCGGGATTATTGGGCTGGAAGCAGCCAAGACGGAGGGGATCGCATGATATTTTACCAGCAATTTTGTTTTTGCTTGAATGTGCGATGGAAATGCAAGTGACAGGAGTGGGAGCAGGAGAGTTGCTGAATTCTGCTGGAATTTTTCCTGTGGGAAACAGTTAATGTGGTGGGTTTTTTTAAGTTGTTCTTTTTTCTGGTCTGACCCCCACCCGCCCAAAGATAATCTTTCTAACATTTGCATATATATATATATATATATATATATATATATATCACGCAAATTAGGAAACTTCTTTTGTGATTACATGGCGAAATGACAGCTTTGGAATTCCATAAATACAATAACAAATGGTAGTTTCTGAGTTGGTCTGGGATTCGAAGAACAGCAACCAAGGTACGGCAATTAGTTTTTTTTTCTTCCCTGCTCCAACTTGTGTTTCTGGATGTAAAAATGTGCCTGCTTTCAAAATTCCAGAGGGACATTTATTTATCTATTACGTTTGTATCTCGCCTTTCCTCAAAGCAGCTCAAGGTGAGATACATGGCTTCCTTCCTTCCCACCTTATCCTTACCACAACCCTGTAAGATAGGGGCCTCAGAGGCTGAGAGTGGCCCAAGGCCACCCAGTGAGCTCCATGGCACACCCGATTTTAACCAGGTGGAATCCATTTTCCTCTTAGCCATCTAATGGGGGGGGGGGGAGCTCCTTGCCACAATCTGAAGGCATATGGTACAGCAGCTTTGCTGAATAGTCAGCAGGTCCAGATCCGGCCAGTGGCTGGATGGGTGCCTGAGAATCCTAAACCTGGTATCCTATGATGGAAGGTGGGCTACAAATGAATCATAGGGGTGTCTCCAATGGCTCTACAGTGGTACCTTGGTTCTCAAATGCCTTGGTTCTCAAACAATGAAAACCCGGAAGTAAGTATTCTGGTTTTCGAATATTTTTTGGAAGCCGGACATCTGATGTGGCTGTCAGCTATTGTTTCTGGGGCACCTGCACCAATGAGAAGCTGTGCCTTGGTTTTTGAACATTTCGGAAGTCAAATGGACTTCCGGAAAGGATTAAGTTTGGCACTTTTGTTTTTGCTATTTATTTTGCATTTTTGTTTTTGAGGCTTTTTAGTTTAATTTGTTTTTGTGACTGTGTGGAACCCAGTTCAGCTATTGATTGATTGATTGACTGAGTGTGACTGTGGAAATCCAAACAATGACAATCATCGGTGCAGGTGAGAGAAAAAAATAATTTTAATTTTTATCATCTACAAAACTGTCTTATTTATTTTATAGTACACTACATTAGGGACGCGGGTGGCGCTGTGGGTAAAACCTCAGCGCCTAGGAGTTGCTGATCGCATGGTCGGCGGTTCGAATCCCCGCGGCAGGGTGCGCTCCCGTCGTTCGGTCCCAGCGCCTGCCAACCTAGCAGTTCGAAAGCACCTCCGGGTGCAAGTAGATAAATAGGGACCGCTTACCAGCGGGAAGGTAAACGGCGTTCCGTGTGCTGCGCTGGCTCGCCAGATGCAGCTTGTCACGCTGGCCACGTGACCCGGAAGTGTCTGCGGACAGCGCTGGCTCCCGGCCTCTAGAGTGAGATGAGCGCACAACCCTAGAGTCTGGCAAGACTGGCCCGTACGGGCAGGGGTACCTTTACCTTTACATTGATTATTGCTTTCGTTTTATGGATCAGTGGCCTCGTTAGATAGTAAAATTCATGTTAAATTGCTGTTTCAGGGGTTGTTTTTAAAAGTCTGGAACGGATTAATGCATAAGTTTCTATGGGAAAGTGCAACTTGGTTTTGGAATACTTTGGTTTTGGAACGGAGTTCTGGGACGGATTAAGTTTGAGAACCAAGGTACCACTGTACTTAGACCCACTGGTTAATGGCCATGACTAGCTTAGGTTCCTTATTTCAGTGGGTCCACTCTAAGTAGGATGTAACTGTACACAACCCATTCAATCTGAGTTGGACAGGATCCTGGAGGTCATCTACAACCCAGTGCTCAATGCAGGATTTAGGATCCACAGCATCCCCAAACAGGTGGCCATTCACAATGAGTTTAAAGATCTCCAGCGTGGGAAAGCCTTTCAAGGCAGCGTATTCCATTGTCAAAACAGCTCTTCCCATAAGGAAGTTCCTTGTAATCTTTATCTGAAATCTAAAGATTAGGAAACTGAAATTTCCACCCACTGGCTCTAGTGCAGCAACCCAGGTGAAGTCTGCTCCACCTTCTGCACTACAGGCAGCCAGATATTCAAAGGTTTCTATCCCATCTCCCCGTGAAAGTCCCTTCTCCAGGCTAAACATGGCCAACCCTTTCAAATAAATGCAGAAACTACCGAGTCCGGCAACCTTCACTCAAGAGTGGCCAGAGAGTGAGTTAAAGTTATGGCCTCCATCTTTTTGCATGTACCCGTAACCTAGTATTCGGTATTTTGGTAAATTGAGAGGCAGGATAAACATGATTAATCCCATGTTTTAAAATTGCTGAACTGTTTTGTTTTTTTTTAAGAATGAAGCCTCATCATTTTAATCTGCCACACCATTCATAAAATGCATTGCATTTTAAAAATGTCTGCAAACTAAATTTTTCTGAAGGTATTTTAAAATAAGGTAAAGGACCCCTGGATAGTTAAGTCCAGCTGAATTCAATATGGGGTGCAGTGCTCATCTCTGTTTTCAGGCCGAGAGAGGCATCGTTTGTCCACAGACAGCTTTTCAATTATCAATACATAAATCCTACCATACACCTATTGTAGACATTTCTGCTTTGAATTCTGCTGACCAAGCTTCTTTTAATTCAAATTCTAACTTGTATTCCCACCCCAAAAAAACACACACACACTCCAGAAACATGTCAAAACTGTTTGCAAATTGCATTTGGCATAAGCGAAGGACGTTGGCCACATTAGTCTCGCTGCGGAAATGATATTCTTAACTTAAGCCTGATGAACGCACACACAATTCTGATGGCACAGTACAGTGGGAATGATTCGGCTCCTAAGAAGACACACACACACATACCAAAAATGATGTGTATTCTTAAAAACCATTATTTACAGCAGTGGAACTTGTTTGCGAGCTTCTGTGCATTACAATTATGCCTTACCCTTCCGGTACACATGTTTCAAGGAGGTCTCCCCTTACGGGCACAGACCAAGCTCAGATCTCCTTAGTTCCAGAAAGTTTGAAGCATCAAATATATTGTCTATGTTTTAGCCCAGGGCTGGGAAACCTGTGGCCCTCTGGATGTTATTGGACTCCAGTTCCCATCACCCTTGACTGTTGCCCCATGCTGGCAGGGGCTGATGGGAGTTGGAGTCCAATAACTTGCAGAGGGTCACAGATGTTCACCCACCCTTGTTCTATCCCAACACCTGTCTCCTTTGCAGGTAATGATGCCTACTAGGCAACAAACGAGACTCGGTGAAGTTACCTTAGCCCATTAAAAAATTAAAAGGTCTGTAATTGGAAAACATGCTGCGATAAGGATTACTTTGTTTTATAAACACTACTAGTCTTGGTTCAAGAGTCATATGAAATGACATGACACTGTTGCCTTTGGAAGTTTTAAGTAGACATTAAGAATGTCATCAAGAGATTGCCGATTTTTATCATCCGTCTGTACGATAATAGCTGCTACTCTGTACTTGTCATCACCTCTGTCTTGATTGACCAAATGTATTTTTTTAAACAGCCTGGAAACAATAAATGCTGCCAGCACCCTGCTTTTTAAAACAAGACACTAGACAGGCTGTAATGACCATATCTTCTGTTCATTTAAACATCCATCAGCAGCTCCACCCTATATGGAAGACCAGGGGCAGGAAGCAATTAAACACATTTATGCAAACCAGAGTAAAAGTTACAGCCACACTCCACTTAACCAGGGCCAGTCTGGGGAAACCATGGTTAGCACTACCTGGCATTGCTTCCAAACCATGCTGGGTGTTAACCATTGTTTGCCTAATTAGTATGCCACAGCAAACTGTGGTTAAACGAAACAAGAAATCGACATACTAACTAGAGGATACATATGAACCTATATCACATGCCTGATCCTACTTCACTTGGTGCCTTGCAGATGTTTCCATCAGCATGGATAACAGTCAGGCATGATGGGAGCTGTAATCCAAAACATCTGAAGGAAGCCTCCTCTAAACCATGGTTTAGAGGATTGTCTGCATTAATCTAAGACATCTGATTGAATCAAATAAACTGTGAGTTTAAAACAGCAAGATATGAGACCAAGTTACGTTTTTTCAGTCACCTCTCTCACTGACCACAAACAGGCAAATAAATAAAATAAAATAAAAAATAGAGTATTTTACTTTGGGTAACTAATGTCCTATAAGGAAAATCACGCTGTATCAAATGTGACTTTCAGAAAAATTGGAATCTGAGCCGGTGCCTTGAGGATCACTTTCAAATGCTTCCATCTGTGTGTTGTGAAATTTCAACTATAACTATTTTCCATATGAAAACACGTATTCAGCATGGGAGCAAAACTAAGAGTGATGGTAATTATTTTTAGGACACCGAGTTAGCATATGGATCTCATTGCCATTTATATATTTTAGTCAGTGAAACAAAAAAGTGCTATTAATCAATATGTACACCCCATATATTAACATAAACATTCATCATTCTAATACTCCCGGTGTGTCACAGTGATAATTTTTTTTCAGTCTTTCATTCTGACACATTTGCCTTCAGCTATCAGCTGGTTGACCTTTCCGAACACAGTAAAACATTTTGGGCACTGAAAGCAAAGTCTTCTAAGACAGCCAAATAGCACGGCAAGATGAAAATGTCCCCCCAAAAAACTGTGGCGGGGGGTGGGAGTGGGGAGAAGGGAGAGATTGAAACATAGCTGAGTTTCACATTTGGCGTATGCTTTGAAATATGTAACATTAAAATGCAGCATGAAAAACAGCTGAAGTTAAGGAGACTTTATTTTTCCTACACAGGTTCAACTTTGTAGATTAGCTTATTTTGGGGGGGGGGGGGGAAGAAGAGAGAGAGAGAGAGAAATGCAGCTGTTCTGTTTTACGAAGCCATAAATTCCCTGATAAAATGCAAGGATGAAATTGAAGAAGGACTAAAACAAACCCCACAATAATTTAATTCCGAAAGGCACAGGGCTTGCTTTTGCACCACTTTCTTCCCAAGGATGGATCTCTATTTAATGTGAATGTTAACGCATGTAAAGGCATAGCTTCACAAGCCGCAGCTGGGAAATGGTCCAGCAGACAGGAGTCAGACACAGGCAAGGCAGAAAAACAATGCATTAGCCACTGGGTCCTGAGCTTGCAATTGGATGGTTTCCCCTCTCTGAGAAGTTGGGGTTCTCCATGAAATTGACTGGTGGGAGGTTCAGAGCAGGTGGAGGGGAAATGTACTTCTTCACAAAGCACATGTAAAGAAGTGGGACCGGCCACTAACTTGCATGGCTCACAAGCAGACTAGACAAAATGCATGGAGAAGTCTATCAGTGGCTACATCACGTTCATTATGGAACCACCAGGATGAGGTAGTCCCCCAAAGCAAAGCTGGAGAACCTCTGGACCTCCAGATGTTACTAAACTCCCAAGTCCCATCAGCTCCTGGCAGCATCGCCGATGGCCTGGGATGATGGCAGCCGCAGTCCAGGAACATTTTGAAGGCTACAGGCTCCCCTCACTCCTGACTCCTAACCTAAAGCATGGAACTCCACCTGGAACCTTCAGTCTTTTTTCAGGCAGTTGGCAAAATCTGTCCCTGAGTCTTTAAGGACATTTGATTGCTTTTTGTGGGTATTTTTTAAATACTTTCCCCATTGAAATTAGCTTCTATCTTCTCAGCTGATTTCATGCTTGGTGCCTCTAAGCTTTATCATGGGATATAAAACCAGGCAAGTAAACCCCATAGACAAAAGGGTGCCCTCTGCACTGTACTACTGCATTATGTACTGTTCCTCTGGAGCCTGAGAGTGGGGCAATTTAACTGGTTATTAAGGACACTCAAGCACCTTAATGCTGGAAGGAGAGGTCTGCCCCACTCCTCCCCACGCAATGTACAATGGACAGAAGACAAAACTCAGCTGGCAGCTTATGAGATGGCAGATGTCCTTAAACATAAGGAAGATGGGAAGTTCTCAGATATGTGGACTCCATATGCAGATTTATTTGGCTGAACGTTTGAGCGCTGGTCTGGTCTTGACCTCCAGTTGTTTCCTCCCCTTAAATGTATGCACAGAATGTATTGTTTTGGCTATATTTTAGTTTCCTTGTTTTTATACAGGCGACGCCTCAATTACATGGGTTTTATGTTCCAGGCCGCAACGCGCATGAGCGAAATGCGCTTACATAGGGAGCCCGCAGCTTCCCACCCAACAGCTGTTGAGTGGGGTAGCGTGGCAGCAATGAGAGCTCCTGTGCGCCATTTTGGAGCCCTTGGGAGTCTATACACAGTTTCCCATAAGTGGGGCAACCCAATCTGATAGGCAGGATACAAATAATAAATAATGACAATAACAATTTTTGGGTTTGCTTCTTTTTGGAAAATTCATTTTTTTTAAAAAAAAAAGCAAATAGTAATAATAATAACAACAACAACAACAATAGAAGAAGAGGATGCCTCCCCCACAACCCCCACTCATTCACAGAACCAACCTAGCCATTGGTGCTTGTGGGGAGCAGATCAGCCCCAAACAAGCACATCTAATCCCTTAAATGAGAACCGTGTGGATGGGAGCTAAAAGAAGTTCACAGGAAAATGGCTCATCTCATTAGAAAATTTAAAAAATGCAAAAATGTGCAATGTTAAGGGGGGGGGGAGAGTTGAGGGTGGATCTGTCCCTTGGCGTTCACAGCTTAGAAGTGCATTCGGGCCCTGTACACTTGATAAACCATGGCAATCTAGCAGAAAATTGATAAGCCAAGGACCACTGCAAAGGTTATTTTCGAGAGGCTTTCCCGTTCAGCCACGCAGAGTCATCTGTCAGCTAGAGATCAGTCGGCCCAGCCCCCTTAATTAGGGGTGCAGCAGCAGCAAGCACAAAGCCTCATGTATCCAACAGCAAGATCTAGCTAAGAACGTCCTTAGACAGCACAGATTTAATTAAACACCTTCCAGTCATTTTAGCAGACGTTTCCTGAAATAATCTCATTTGAAAGAGCAGGCTTTTTTAAAAATACACACACACACAATGAAAAACAATAAAAAGAAGGGGAAATGACAGCAAGAGTAGTATATCATGTTGTTACAATATCTGAAATTAATCGAGCCCGCACTGCAATTAAGGACGCTATAATTTTCAGCAATTTGAAGCTACACTTCGTTTGCAACCTAATTAATCCTAGACAAATATTTTTCCCATGACAAACTTTTTTTTACGAGCGCCCGATTTATTCCCTTCTAATTACCTTTTAATTAATCCAGCCTTGGTATAACATTATCGTAACTTTTGGCACTTCCCCAGTGGAAGACGTTAAGCTGATTGCAATGTGGTTGCGCAACACCCCCCCCCCCCGACTCACGGAGCGCCACTTTCAACACCCCATTTATTTATTTGTCTGTTCTGTTACTTTGCTTTCCCACCCACGGGGCATAAGAACATGAGACATGATAGACAACCTCGCATCGCTCTCTTCCTCTCCAAACGGCGAAGCACGTCCTTAAAGAAAGAAAACACATTTCTAACCTGAAGGAGAACAATGGGCCCCGTACCAAAATCCTAACTCCTTTAAGAATGCACACCACTTACCCAAGCTGCCTATTTGCAACCCAGGCAGGAAAAAACAAAACAAATCCTTTTGATAGGTACTTAATGGGTCTTAGTAGCGCCAGCTTCGGCTCAAGCAAAGATGTGGGCCACATTTTCTTATAAGCAAGGTTTTAGAATCTCTAAAGGTCCAAAAAGTAAGGAGAAATTGCTTTCTGCTTAGCATGAGGTTATTGTTTACGTCAGGCATAGGCAAACTCCGGCCTTCCAGATGTTTGGGGCTACAATTCCCACCATCCCTAGCTAACAGGACCAGTGGTCAGGGATGATGGGTATTGTAGTCTCAAACATCTGGAGGGCCGGAGTTTGCCTATGCCTAGTTTACGTGAATAATGCTGAACTTAACCAATCTCTCTCCCCAAATACCCAGCCTATAAATGGCTGTGGATCACAGGCACCAAACTCTTTTGGGGTGCTGGCCCCTTTGGCATCCCCAATAAAATATTTAGGAAGGCCACTCCCCCCAACATTTTCTGCAAGTTGGCGCCTCCCTCTCTCCCTTGGGCAGCCGTCTCCCCTCCAGCCGGGTGCCGCCCAGTGGTGTGCGGTCAGTGGACTGGGCTAGTCCCCTAAATGTTCCTGGTAACTTAGAGTATTAAACCTGAGAAGCCTCTGCCCAGCTTAGGGAGGGAGGTGTGATGTTCATGAAAGGGACATCAGGACATCCCCCCCCCCGAATTGCCCTCGCAAGCTGGTGCCTCGGACCCTAACTGTTCCCTTACAAAAATCTGCACCGCACACCACTGGTTCCGCCCTCTTTTCCCACCTTGGCTCCTGGTTTTCGGTGACATTTCCGAGCGTGTCTGAGCCGTGGCAGCTGGGGAGAGGCAGGAAGGCCAGTAGGAGAGGCGAGCAGGTGAGGGGGGAGGTGGGTGAGCGAAGAGAAACAGAAAGAGGGGGGGAGGCCTGTGCTCAGTTGTGCGCAGTAGAAGAAGTGGGGTGGGGAGTTGGGACAAGCGTAGGCAGCCAGGTCCCCCAATAATTTGTTCAAGGTGGAACCTATGTTGTGGATATACTGTTGTACCTTGCTTTTCGAACAGCTTAGCTTCCGAACGTTTTGACTCCCGAATGCCGCAAACCGGAAGTGACTCTTCCGGTTTGCGAACTGTTTTTGGAAGCCGAACGTCCGGCGGGGCTTCCGATTGGCTGCAGGAGCTTCCTGCAGCCAATCGGAAGCTGCGCTTTGGTTTCCAAACGTTTTGGAAGTCGAACAGACTTCTGGAACGGATTCCGTTCGACTTCCAAGGTAACACTGTACAATAAGATAGGAAAGGTGGAGAACTTCAGAGTTTAAAGCGTGCTACAAATGAAGCTCATCCCCTTGGGGGGAAAAGGGGGTATCAATGTTAAACTGGTTTATTTTTATAATAATTTCTATAATATCAGAAGTCTGTAATGTTTCTAGCCATACCTGTCTCTGTGATGATATCGCACTTAAGATAAATAAAGGAAAGGTTTCGAACATTTCTCGTTTATTCCCAAAGGCACACAGTGCCATACATTTTACTGTGATGGACCTAGTCCTGTCCTCTTCTACTTTTAATGAGACAGGAGGTTCAGACATGAAGACCTTATACTGCTTGTTTGCAACATTTCAATCTAATTGTGTCTTGGCCAAAAAGACCACACAAAACCTTCCTTAGGAACGTAAGGATTGAAAAGGTACATAGGAACTTTGCCTCACACAGAGGCAGACCACTGGGTCCATCTCGCTTAGTATTATCTGAACTCCAGCAAAGAAGGGGTAGTCCCTAGATACCTGGGACCTTCTGCATACAAAATAAAATTGAGATGCGACTGAGCAATGGCCATTCTTTGTTGCTGTTGTTGTTTAGTCGTGTCCAACTCTTCATGACCCCATGGACCAGAGCACACCAGACACTCGTGTCTTCCACTGCCTCCCAAAATTTGGTCAAACTCATGTTAGTAGCTTCGAGAACACTGTCCAACCATCTCGTCCTGTCGTCCCCTTCTCCTTATGCCCTCCATCTTTCCCAACATCAGGGTCTTTTCCAGGGACTCTTCTCTTCCCATGAGGTGGCCAAAGTATTGGAGCCTCAGCTTCAGGATCTGTCCTTCCAGTGAGCATTCAGGGCTGATTTCCTTCAGAATGGATAGGTTTGACCTTCTTGCAGTATATGGGACTCTCAAGAGTCTCCTCCAGCACCATAAGGTGATGTCTCTGCTTTTTAAGATGCTGTCTAGGTTTGTCATCGCTTTTCTCCCAAGAAGCAGGCGTCTTTTAATTTTGTGACTGATGTTATCATCTGCAGTGATCATGGAGCCCACGAAAGTAAAATCTCTCACTGCTTCCATTTATTCCCTTTCTATTTGCCAGGAAGCGATGGGACCAGTGGCCATGATCTTAGTTTTTTTGAGGTTGAGCTTCAGACCATATTTTGCGCTCTCCTCTTTCACCCTCATTAAAGAGGTTCTTTAATTCGTCCTCACTTTCTGCCATCAAAGTTGTGTCATCCACAAATCTTTGAATACATAGGTTCAATCTTTGGCATCTGCAGGGAGGGCAAGGTTAAAAACTCCTGCCAGAAATCCTGGACTGCAGCTACCAGTCAGAGTGGGCAATACTGTTAGATGGACCAGTGTTCTGATTTTGTACAAGGAAGCTTCCTGCAGTTTGCTGAGATATTTATAGGTTACACACTTTTCACTTTTTCTGTCTTTCCTTTAAGGAATTCTTCTCTGTGTGTGTAAACACCAACACAAATACACATACGCACACAATTTTTTTAAGTGCCTTGAGATCTGTCAAAGGTATTAGCTTAGAAATTTAATGAACATCCCCCCCCCATCCACAAAAAAGGATTGGTTTTTAAAAAAACGCCTCTTATGTTTACTAAACGCATCTTGCTTCCAGTGCACACTACTGCAACAGAGAGGGGTACCCACCTTCAACTGATGGTATATAGAAGGATGCAGATATGAGAAAACCAAGGCAAAACAAAATTACAAGGAAGACCTGTTTTCATCAGTGGGTTATGACCCTGGTTTCAAGTGAACCATGTTTAACATTAGAATAATAGAATCATAGAGTTGGATGGGAATACAAGGACTTCTAGTCCAACCCCCTGCAATGCAGGAATCTTTTGCTCAACATGGGGCTCGAACCCACAACCCTAAGATTAAGAGTCTCCTGCTCTACTGACTGAGACACCAAGGCAGAGAGTAATCACTGCACCATGGTTGAGTTTGAAAGGGATGGGAAACTGTTATGTACTGAAGTTCTCACCCTGGGCCAGCAGGGGGATACTGTAGATAGTTTTCACTCAGGTCCACATATGCAAATAAGGGATCGAAAGTGACATTCAGTGATTGGATAGTTACAGAAAGTTGTTATAGTTGTGTTGTACTGGAGCTCTATATAAGCAGGCTGGCTGAACCCTTCAGTTCAGTTCTGTTCTGGCCTATGAATAAACAAGAGCTGTTTGAAGAATCGCTGTGTCGTCTGATATGTTCACCCACAACTTAACAGAAACGTTTGCATTGGGAAGGAGAGGGAGGAAGCCTGTAAGTTCCAGAGTTCTCCAAACCATCGTTAAGAGACTGGGAAATGTTATTTCTACACCGGGTACAAAAAGTCACTGCGAAGTTAAAAGTGTTTGCCATCGCCTGAATTTCAAATCCTCCTCCGGTACCTGAATTTGAACCATCAGCCTCCAAATGCATTCTGAATAGTCCCCTTATTGTGTTGCACTGTCAAGCTGGCAGGAACTACACTGTCAATCTTTCATCAGATAATCAGATCATGTTGTGTTCCAACCAAATTTATTAAGGACTTTTACCAGCGCTATTAGCTCAAACCAGAACATCTAGATCAAAGTATGACCAAGTTTACCGCACAATGAAACCGTTATAAATGTTTAAAACACTAGTTTAAATGCCTCCATTGTTGCAAGGTATTAATAATTGAAATCTACGTCTCTAATATCCATCATGATGGGATTTATCTGCAGCTAACAGGGTCAAGATTGGTTAGCGGCTGGAAAATGGCATCTGTTAAGGGGGTCATCACTTGAAATCCTGGAGAGCTGCTTAATTTATACATGACTTTTGAGTTCTAAGGGGCTTACTCTTAGGTAAGTGGGCATAGAATTGGAGCCCAAGACATTTGTCTGAAATAAGACGTGGAAAAGTTTGCGTTCCTTCTGTCACCTGGTACCACCTGTAGGTATCTTACTGAACTATTTTCTATATGATTATATGTTATATGTACAAATACTGAGAAGGTGGGACAAAAGCAGTGTGACTAAAGTGGTCCAGAAGCAATCTGGAGGTACTTTTCCAAGTAAACACATATAGCCATCTAGGTGTTGTTGGACTCCAACTCCCATCAGCCCCAGCCAGCATGGAGAACAGTCAGGAATAATGGGAGTTGTAGTCCAGCAACTACGACAAATTACGCAGTCGAGTTTCCTGCATTTGGGGAAATCGCAAGGGTCAGCACACCTGGAATACAATGGATGAGTCTCACCCTGGGAAAACCACTTTTTGTGATCATGGTATCTCCAGGTCAAAGTTCCCCCAGCCCTGACATACAGGATTGTAAAACAAACCATATGGCTCCTAGATTTGAAAGACCAGTGCCCAGGTTGTCTAATGTTTTTAAATGTTCAGTGGTAACATTTTTATTTTATGTTTATCAGATGTCAAGGAGCTAAGTAACTATTCAACCTTTAAAAGAAATCTGAAGGCAGCCCTGTTTAGGGAAGTTGTTTATTATTATTATTATTATTATTATTATTATTATTATTATATCCCACCTGTCTAGCTGGGTTGCCCCAGCCACTCTGGGCAGCTTCCAACACATATAAAAATGTAATAAAATGTCAAACATCAAAAACTTCTTGATACAGGGCTGCCTTCAGATGTCTTCTAAAAGTTGTGTAGCTCTTTATTATGTCCCTGACATCAGATGGGAGGGTGCTTGTTGTTTTATTATGTTTCTGTATATGCTGGAAGCCGCCCAGAGTGGCTGGGGCAACCCAATCAGATAAGCAGGGTGTAATAATAATAATAATAATAATAATAATAATAATAATATTGCCTTACTACTTCGTTGTTGCTATTTATTAAATAGAAATTTAATAAATAATAATTATCATTATTGCAAAAAATTATTCTCTCTGCCCTGGGATCACATTTCCCCCTTCTTTCTAAATTGTTTATTTTGGTGTGTGCCTCTTTTGGACAGTTTCCTTATTTCTTTGCCAATTACCATTGTCAGCACCCAAATTGTTACTTGCCAAAATGCCAAAGGAAGAGCCGAAAATTCTAAAAGTACCTTTGATTTCTCAAAGGGGACAGTGAGCAGGACTTGGGGAAAAAAGAGGGGAGAGAAAATTGCTATTGTCACCATAACAGGAAAGAGAGAGGGGGGAGCCACTGCTTAATCCACAAACTTCCACAGTCGCTACCAAGACAAGCCATTGATACTTGGTTGACTTCATTCCAAGTACTCCAAATCAGATTCTCCATCTGTAATTCAAACTTAAAAAAACAAACAAACCCCGCGACAATTTACGGAAAGGGGATTAATTTAGCCATTTCTGAATCAAAGACTTATTTCATAGCTTCGCCCCAAATCCTGTATATTGTTAGGATCCCTTTTGCCTCCCTCTGAAGACTTAGTGAATGATTGAAGCGTCTACTTTCTGAGAAACAGATAACACAAGCCTAGTAATCCGACTCTAAGCTACTGGATAAAGGCAGTTTGTTTCCTCTTAGCCCATCTGTCAACACCTCTTCAGTAATTAGTCCTAATTATTACAAAGGGCTAGCCTCTCGTCCGCATTATTAAATCAGAAATAGTATCATAGCCAGGTATCTTTCAACACTGCCCAGACCAGCGGCCTTCGATTTCATTGAATCTTCTATCAGTATCCGCCTTTGGAAGAAGCGAGGCCGTAATTTTAGCAGCAGCTTCAAAAGATGGCAGACCCCACGGTGAAATTCCAGGGATGCATTCATGTACACACAAACTTCATGCGAAAAGGAGAGGCAAGAACCATCACAAACTGACCTTTGCATTGTGCTCAGCCCAGAAACACACAACCCACACCCTTCATTTAGTGCAAGAGGCATTTTTCCCCCCGTGGAGTTTCAAATATTCCCATCAGAATAACCATCAGCAGGGAAGCTATGGCTGAAGACAATGGAAGGCCAGAAATTTAATCTTTCTTTTTTTTATGATGCTGCATTTATAATACAACCAGAGTCCTGTTTCCTCTCTCCTCCAACTCCCCCCCCCCCCAAACACAGCCCTCTTCCTTTCTTAAGAAGGGGCCTGGATGTGTCTGCTTAGAATGCATAAAGGTGGCTTTGTAGCTCTTAGAACTTTTGTCTTTCATATTTCACCATCTCATGTAAATTAGATATTCATGTGCAGGAAGAGATGATCAGACAACTGATTAGAAGCTGGCAAAGAGGCTGAAGATTTTTTAAAAAAGAAGAACTGAGAAGAATTTTTGCTGTGGTTATTGTAGGATACACACATAATCAAAATACAGTCATACCTCGGGTTACAGACGCTTCAGCTTGCGTGGTTTCAGGTTGCGCACCGCGCCAAACCCAGACCACCGGAATGGGTTACTTCTGGGTTTCGGTACTCGCGCATGCGCAGAAGCGCCGAATCGCAACCCGCGTATGCACAGACGCGGTGCTGTGGGTTGCGAACGTGCCTCCCGCACGGATCACGTTCACAACCCACGCAGACGAAAACTTTAAGGCAGTGTGAGAACCACAATTCAGCAAGAGGTTAGGCGTTCTTCAGCCTATTTAAATCAATAAGCTAAAGCGTGCTTAACTGCGCGCAGGATCGTAGCCAATATTTTAACTACAAAATTGAAGTAAAGTGCAACTCCATCACAGCCAGTGTGGCACAGGGGTTAAAGTCTTGGACTAGGGCCTGGGAGATCAGGGTTCGAATCCCTACTCAGCTATGCAGCTCACTGGGTGACCTTTGGCTGTGGTCACTGCCTCTCAGCCTTACTTACCTCACAGGGCTGTTGTGGGGATTAAATGAGGAGCGGGGAGAACCATATTGAGCTCCTTGGATAAAAGACAGGATCTACAGGCAATAAAATAAATAAACAAACTCCATGTCAACTGCTGGCAAATAAAAATAATAAAAAATGTGTCCTTCAAAAGGCAATAAGTAGCATGATTACTGGAAATGGGCTCGTCTGTCAAGTTTCTCCCAGTTTCTCATTCTGCAAATCTTAAGTTCAGTTCTATGCATTTTGATGCCTCTTTGCTTTTTTTTTTAAAAAAAGCCCTCTTTTCAGTGTCCATTTCTCCTGATATATACATTTGGTACTCAAATTTGCCTAACGTGCCTGCTTTTGCAGAACAATTTTTCATAACACGTTTTAATGTTGTCTTCGTTAATAAAGCCAAATTGCAGCAGGCCAGAAGTGAACCACTGCCTTCTTTTACCCGCCTAAAGCCAGGTGTGGAGCCATGGAAGATACAGTGGTACCTTGGGTTAAAAACTTAATTCGTTCTGGAGGTCCGTTCTTAACCTGAAACTGCTCTTAACCTGATGTATCACTTTAGCTAATGGGGCCTTCCACTGCCACTGCACGATTTCTGTTCTCATCCTGAAGCAAAGTTATTAACCCGAGGTACTATTTCTGGGTTAGTGGAGTCTGTAACCTGAAGCGTCTGTAACCCGAGGTACCACTGTATGAGAAAACCCTCTTCTGATGTGTCCCTTCTCCAGTGATATTTCTGTCCTTTCCTTTTCCCCCTGCCTATCTTTCTGTCCTTCCGACGAGGTCCATTACAAAAAAGTTTGCAGAACTCCCCTAGAGTCGGCAAGACTGGAACTTCCTTGAAAGACACTGCTCTGCTCTAGATGAGAGAAACCAGCTGGATGAGCAAAGGAGCCTTTTGACAGCAAGAGGCATAACAAATCATGTGCAGAATCCGACCCCTACAGCACAGTTGCCTTACAAAAGTTAGATAATTTGTCCACCCAGCCCAGTATTGTCCAATCTGACTGGCAGTGGAGAGCCAGGCTCTTAGGCAGGAGATTTGGGTCACCCAAACTGAACTGTAGGTGTCAAAATCCAGAAGCTATTCCCAGGGGTGGGGGAAGGTCCAATCCAAGAAACGAAGCCAGGAGCCAGAGCTGATGCACACAGTGAAACATACCAGAGCCATGAGTACCACCCTGCGATGGGATGTTTGCCCAAGGAACAAACAGGAAACTCTTTATGGCTCTTCCTGTCTAGGAGGAAGTGTTTTCTGGGTTTGTTTTCCTTCTGCCCCACGCCCATGGATTAGTCCACCACTGGCTGCATTCAAACTTAAGAATAAAATATCATTAAATGAATGAGCCTATAATTCACAAACTCCCTACTCCATACGAGTGTGGAGGGGACTGGAGGTTTTCACTTCCATTTTTGATTAACCATAGTTTACTGTTATGCTCACACCCTAAATTATGATTGAACTCAACTACAGTCGTACCTCGGAAGTCGAACGGAATCCGTTCCGGAAGTCCGTTCAACTTCCAAAACGTTTGGAAACCAAAGCGCAGCTTCTGATTGGTTGCAGGAAGCTCCTGCAGCCAGTCGGAAGCCCCGTCAGACGTTCGGCTTCCAAAAATAGTTTGCAAACCGGCGTTCGGTAGCCAAAACGTTCGAGAACTAAGCTGTTTGAAAACCAAGGTACGACTGTATCGTTTTACTGAAACAAGCCAGCCTAACTAACTCGAGTCTGAAGTTGGTTTGTTACACTAAATCTTAACAAAGACTGACCCGCGTTGGTTTAAAACAGAAGCAAAAGCCTCCAATCTCCTCCGCGAAATTGCAACAGAGGAAGAGAGTGGAGGGCAGAGGGGATGAGCTCAAAGCTCGTTCACAGAACAAGACCACCCTTCTTACATTATGACCTGTGTATTTTTCTATATAATGGCTATTTCTTCGTAGGTAAAACAGTGCATAAATGGACTCCTGCTTCTGTAGAACTGGAACTATGTGTGATTACATTATTCACGTGCTTTGCAGGAGAGGCCCTTTTAAAAAATGCTTATTGTTTAGTGCCCTCAAATATTAAAAAAGTCTTGAGACAAATAATTATATACTGAATAACTGGAGATCTATTGCAAAATTTTATGGACATGTAAATTCCTCATGTAAAGGGTTTATGGTTGTACTTTGTAATACATTCTTTCTGAGTGAGGTTAGGGAAGTTTCCCCCCCACATCAATGTATGGAGTTTATGCTTGCAAACTGCTCCCCCCCCCCACCTCATGAATGGACTGAACTCAGTCTAAGTTACTTATGCTTTCTTGCCATTTCAAATCAGTGCAAAAAAACCAAGCCTCACTGGTTTTTTAATGAGATCTGAGGCTGCAACCCTATGCTCATTTACCTGGTCTTGCTCCAAAACTATATGTTCCCATTAAATTACATGAGACATAATTTTATATTGTGTTCTTAGGTTGTAACCTGCCCTGTGATCTTAGGATGGAGGATGAATAATAATAATTCTGAAACAAAAATTCATTTAACAATGATAGAGATTCCGCCCCCACCCAGAAAATAATGCTCAATAATTATACCAGCAAAATGCACAGGTAAAGAGACATATACGCAGATAATCCCCTAAAACGAATAATTAGATATATTTGCTTTTAACCTGACCAGACTAATGAATGAAACGGAAAACCTGACATTGCGGGCTATATTTATTTATAGGTAATTTATGGACGCGGGTGGCGCTGTGGTCTAAACCACTGAGCCTCTTGGGCTTGCTGATCAGAAGGTCGGCAGTTCAAATCCCCACGACGGGGTGAGCTCTGTCCCAGCTCCTGCCAACCTAGCAGTTTGAAAGCACAAAGTGCAAGTAGATAAATAGGTACCGCTGCTGCAGGAAGGTAAACGGCGTTTCCGTGCGCTCTGGTTTTCGTCACGGTGTTCCATTGCCCCAGAAGCGGTTTAGTCCTGCTGACCACACGACCAGGAAAAGCTGTCTGTGGACAAACGCCGGTATATATACCACCCTATTTTAGTCTCACAACAGCCCTGTGAGGCAGGTTAGGCTCTGTGTGTGTGTGTGTGTGTGTGTGTGTGTGTGATTGGCCTAAGGCAACTTTCGTTGCATTTCATGCTTGAGTGCAGAACCCAAGCCTGCTATGGCCTAGTCCAAAGTGCTCTTCTACATCAGTCTTTCCCCATTTTGGTACCCTGTGGACAGGGTACCAAACTCCTATCAGTCCCAGACAGCATGGCCAATGATCAGGGATGAAGGGATTTATCATTCAACAACCTCTAGAGGGCACAATGTTGAGGAAGGCTGCTGTAGGGCATGTTGGCGCTCACAATCATCAGTCTGAATATTCTCCCGCAGAACATCTGGAAGGCCACAGGTTCCCTCACTCCTGCCCTATAGGTTTCCTCTATAGACCTCTCTGTCTTATAGGGTTTGGGGGGATGATTAGAGATACAGCAAACTTTGGCTCTGTTTGCTTATTGGTCTGCATTTATGATTTGGCAACACAACTCCTTTTTAAAAGTAAATTGGATATTTTGGGCATTAGCTATAAACTATGCACTTAATTGCCTTTGTAGAAGCCACCATTACACACACACACACACACACACACACACACACTTATATAATCTTTATGGAACTTGGCTGGTTTATGGGGGCTGAACTTTTTAGGTATTTTGCTAGTTCTGCTACATTTGCAATTCCCTGGAGGGCCTTGGTATGGAATGTGTCTGTGTGATCCTATTACACCTACTCAAACACCCCAAAGTTTGCAGCTAGTGCTCCTAGATGCATTTGGGGCTTTTGGATTTGTTATGCTTTTTTGGCACAATAAAAGAAAAATGAAACATTCCCCGTAATTCATTAAGCTGCGGTGGTACCAAAAACGTTTCAGCGACAGGCAAACCAACTTCAAGCTCATTAATTGCAACCTCCTTTGCATACAAAGAAGCAACAATCATGCCACCCTCTGTCTGTGAGAACCCCAGCTCCTGAAACTGCTACAAGAGGCGATGGGCCGAGCAACATGATAATAATAATAATAATAATTATTATTATTATTATTATTATTATAATACCCCCGCCCATGTGGCTGGGTTTCCCCAACCACTCTGAGCAGCTTCCAGCACATATAAAAACATAATAAAACGTCAAACATTAAAAAACCTCCCAATACAGGGCTGCCTTCAGATGTCTTCTAAAAGTTTGTAGTTCTTTTATCTCCTTGCTATCTGATGGGAGGGCGTTCCACAGGGAGGGCGCCACTGCTGAGAAGGCCCTTCTAAATGCCCTATTAAACTTCATTAAAAAGTAATGATCGTCAGCAAGCAAGATTTTCTCTGAAATATTCGTGATTGGCCTAAATCATGGGTAGGCAAACTAAGGCCCAGGGACGGATCTGGCCCAATCACCTTCTAAATCCAGCCCGCCTGGTGTTTTTACATGAGTAGAATGTGTGCTTTTATTTTAAATGCATCTCTGGGTTATTTGTGGGGCATAGGAATTTGTTCATTTCCCTCCCCCAAAATATAGTCTGGCCCCCCCCACAAGGTCTGAGGGACAGTGGATCGGCCCCTGCTGAAAATGTTTGCTGACCCCAGGCCTAGATCAAGACTTTAAGGTGTAGAGGGGCAATGTGGCAGAATGCAGCTGTACAGAGCTCTGAAAAAAGGTCCAAATACGGAAGCCACAAAATGTGCCTTGTTCGCGCCTTGATTAGTCAATCCATAAAGAAAAGTCTAGCAATCAGTTGTTTTGCTGTTACTCTGGGAGGGGGAAAAGGAATGGCCGTGCAGACTAGGGCCAGATTTAGGTCTGATGAGGCCTTAAGCTACTAAGGGTAATGGGGCCCTTTATATGTCCAGCTGACCTTTGTCAACAACAAATGGTCGCTGTTTTTTTGTGTTGAATATATGCTATAAGGTAATTTATGGACCTAACAGGTATCTAAAGGGGCGTGGGTGGCGCTTTGGGTTAAACCACTGAGCCTAGGGCTTGCCGATAGAAAGGTCGGCGGTTCAAATCCCTGCAACGGGGTGAGTTCCCGTTGTTCGGTCCCAGCTCCTGCCCACCTAGCAGTTCGAAAGCACGCAGTGCAAGTAGATAAATAGGTACCGCTGCAGCGGGAAGGTAAACGGAGTTTCCGTGTGCTGCTCTGGTTTCACCAGAAGCGGCTTAGTCACGCTGGCCACATGACCCAGAAAAACTGTCTGTGAAGCAGATAAACGCTGGCTCCCTCGGCCTTTAAAGCGAGATGAGCACCGCAACCCCAGAGTCGTTTGCGACTGGACTTAATTGTCAGGGGTCCCTTTACCTTTACCTTTAGGTATCTAAAGCCATTTGCACATGCAGAATGTAGGCACCCTATATATAGAAATGAGCAAACCAGTGATATTTTAGGAAGCAGGCTAGCAGGCGGGGCCCATTACTTACATCACAGGAGCCTACACAACACAAAACGCTGTTGCTGTATGTAGGTTTTATTTTATTTGTTTTTTATCTTATATTTTGGAATTGTACATCCAGTTTGTTTTTTTCCTTCAAATTTTTTTGGGGGGCCCCAAGAGAGTGGGGCCCTAAGCTATAGCTTGTCTACCTTATACGTAAATCCGGCACTGGTGCAGACCCAACACAGAGGACATAGCAGGATCGGAGACAGTAACATGGTCGAAGCAGAATTTCGGTCATTAGTAGAGACCAGCAGGGAAGGGGGGGTGTTGTTTAGCTGGTTTCCCAATATGGAGGTTGTGGCTGGTAACCGAGAGAGGGGGGCTAAGCAGTGGTGAGGCTAGAATGGCACTAGTGCAGTGGCAAAGCCAATCAGGCACTCTCGCCCAGCCTGCCCTTCTCGGTTACTTGCAGCAATGTCCGTGTTGAGAAGCCAGGCAAGAAATGAAGAGTTGTCTCCTCCGGCTTAAAGATGAAGAACTCTACGAAGTGAGAGCAGGGGTCTTTATCAAACCACCCCTTCTTTCTTCACTTTCTTTCAAAAGCACTTTTTATGTGTTGTATTTAAATTTAATAAATAAAGTTTTTCATCAACAGTGAGCAACAGACTAAGCAAGCATGTGGCTCACCCAGTCACGGTCTTTTCCCATTATGGTGAGATTTCTTTAACTTCTCAGTTCTCTTTTGAAGCTTCTTAGTTTGCACCTGCATATAAAAATTAGCATACAGTGGTGCCCTGCAAGACAAATGCCTCGCAAGACGAAAAACTCGCTAGACGAAAGGGTTTTGCGTTTTTTGAGTCGTTCCGCAAGACGAATTTCCTATGGGCTTGCTTCGCAAGAGCGTCTTGCAGTTCTTGCGAGTTTGTTTCCTTTTCTTAAAGCCGCTAAGCCGTTAATAGCCGCTAGCCGTTCTTGCAGTTTGTTTCCTTTTCGCTAAGCCGTTAATAGCCGCTAAGCCGCTAAGCCGTTAATAGCCTCTAAGCCGCTAACTTCGCAAGACGAAAAAACCGCAAGACGAAGAGACTCGCGGAACAGATTAATTTCGTCTTGCGAGGCACCACTGTATGCAAATCTGCCTCCTTTTCCCCTCTTTTGGGGGTGATGCATTTAGTGGCCACCCTAGCGCAAAGGCAGGCTAGCAGCTGGTGATCAGGCAAAAACAAGGGGAGGCGAGCCAAGAGAGATGAGCCGCAGTACCACTTCTGGCCACCCTGGCAGGGGGCACTGCAGCACAGATTAGACAGCTAGCTCCCTCTGCCAGAAATCCTGCCAACACCCCTCTATGCAAAAACACAGAATTTCAGCCTAGGCTGCGTTAAAGGTTCCACATCCACCACATAACTACGCCAGAGCTACAAACAACTGGCGAACCAAACTGAAACGTTACTTAATAGAAAGTGACACTTAAGAAACATGCTGCAATAACTCGCCATGCAGCTGGCTGACAGATGAAGATGTAAACATTTGATCTCCTGGATCTGGAGCATGAGGAAGCGTGATTAAACTCTTAATGATAGATTCAAAGTTTCCACCGCTGTTTTGCTACTTGCAATTAAGGACGCTACCTAAATAACCTTCCCAACAGCAGTTTTATGGAGCCTCAGCAGAAAACATCTCCATTATGCAAGTGGAAAAATGCTTTGCTCTTATTTATCAGGGATCGGGCAGGGACATCAGGGATCAGGAAGTCCTCAAGGTCTCTCATTTGCCATGGTGCAATGCATGCCACTCCTCATTCTGCTACATGCATAGAGCCAGGCCCTGACTTCTCTCTCACACCCTTATGGCACAGATGGGAACCTGTGGCCCTCTAGATCAGGGTTTCCCAAACTTGGATCTCCAGCTGTTTTTGGACTACAATTCCCATCATCCCTGACCACTGGTCCTGCTAGCTCAGGATGATGGGCGCTGCAGGCCAAAAACCAGCTGGAGACCCTGTTCAAATGTTCCTGGACTACAGCACCCATCATCCCTGACCGTTGGTAATGTTGGCTGAGGCTGATGGGAGCTGGAGTCCCACAACATCTGGAGGGCTGAGTTTGCCTATGCCTGCCTTGTGGCAGCTGGCACTTCCCTGGTTCACAGATGGGAGAAGAGCCTACAAATTATGTGATTTAAGTGCTGCCTTTTAACTGAACTCGCTCATGGGTGTCAAGGCAATGTGCCTAGCTGTTCATCCCTACAGGGAGAATCCTAATTAACCTATCAACTAATTTTAATAATTACTAATTACAGTAAATTTAATGGGGTTATGTAAGACAAATACATTTTTTTTTGGAAAGGCAAACCAATTAATTTTCACCCCCACCCACCCCGCTAATAAATCTTGGATATTCAGAAGATCAACTGAGCATGGGTTTGTACAAGTCTACCCATTCCAATCTGTAAACTCATTAAACTCTTCATTGAAAAATAAATCAGATACAGGGAAATAAGCAACAAGTAACACACCAGAAAATAAGTCTCCAAGCTGGAAAGGGAGTCATTTTTATGAGCAGACCCAACATTTAGGAATGCGAGAGAAAGTTTCCGATCGTTTTGTTTGGGGAGGATGGAGGTCTCGCAAGGAAGTGCAATCGCAAATGGAAAAACTTGCTATAAAAAGCTTTTCTTCCATGAATGGAAGAGGAAACAACTGAGTCCTTTAATTGTTAAATTGAGAAAAGAGGCTTCTCCAATGTCAACTTTATAAAAAACGAAAACAGAGAACGCGTACAAAAGAAAAACACAAATTGGTCCGAGGTAGGCCACTTTTTCCACAATGCCCCAGACATTTTGAGGTTTTAGAGTCCAAATCCATGAACTCACTGCCAAGCGCAAGAGCGAAGGAGGTGTCATATGCCAAGGAGGAAGACAATTAGAAGGATGAATGAAAGCCTTCTGAGATAACAACTCCAGCCGTTTCCTTTTAATCTTGGATGAGCAGTCAACCTGGATGTTCCATATACATGCCAATTCCTGGATTCCCTCTCTCTTTCAAAAAAGGATTATTTTGCTCACTTAAAACAAAATGATTTGTTATCCTGGGAAGCTTGTTATACGGCCATGAGAAAATAAAATGTGTCTAAGGGATTCGCTTGGATTTGCAGAGAATGCTTTCATCCTATCCAACACTTCTTAAATGAAAAAAGGAGAAGATTGCTAGGAGCCAACAGATCTTGGCTCTATGCGACGAGAAGAAGGAAGAAAGTCCCAGGTTCATCACAGTCTTCTACAGTTTAAAAAAATAAAAAGGAGGACCCAGTAGCAGGAAATGGGAAAGGCTTTTGCCAGAAACCCTGCCATCCAGGGTCAACTCTCCTGGGCAAGATGGCCCATCTGACCTGGGAAATGGTAGTGCACTATATTCCTGTTGAGTGCCAGGATGAAACAAAGATGGATTTGAATGCAAAACTAGGACACATTAGGCCCTGGACTTAGCTCCATCGGAGGCAGAAGAGCAGGGCCAAATCCAACTAGTCCAGATTGACTGCTTTGTGGCACAGGCCTTGCATATGTGACAGTCTCACCCATTCTTAGGAACAAACTCGGAAGCTTATCTTCAATCTTCAGAGAGGTTAGCCGCGGGATAAGCATGGCAGGGTGTGCATAAGAAGCCAAGCCCTATCACCCCACTGCAATTAAAGAACAATTAATTCTGCCTCCACCCGCTATGGAACAGCACCAAAAACTAGTTGGGAGAAAGAAGATTTCAAATGCTCGTGTATGTCCACATTTGCATTCTGCCCAAGTTTTCCATTCTTCCTCGCTTCATTCAGTTCCGCAGGCAGGATGGGTGCTTGGGTGTCGATTGATGATTTATCGATCCGTTACATGCTTTACCTTGCTGGCAGGAGATGTTTCTCCACCCTGACATCTAACCTCTGTTTTCTAGCAGTATATATAATAACTATATTTAAAGACTCGTATAACTGAAGGGTTGGGAGTCTAGTCTAACCATCTGCTATGCAGGAATCACAGCTTAAGAATCCCTGGCAGATGGCCTCCCAACCTCTGTTTAAAAACCTCCATTAAGGTGAGCCCACCACCTTCCAAGGTAAACCATTCCACTGTCAAACAGCTCTCACTGTCAGTATTGTCTTCCTAATGTTAAGTCGGAATCTTCTTTCTTGTACAGTGGTACCTCAGGTTACATACGCTTCAGGTTACATATGCTTCAGGTTACAGACTGACTCTGCTAACCCAGAAATAGTGCTTCAGGGTAAGAACCTTGCTTCAGGATGAGAACAGAAATCGTGCTCCGGCGGCGCGGCAGCAGCAGGAGGCCCCATTAGCTAAAGTGGTGCTTCAGGTTAAGAACAGTTTCAGGTTAAGTACGGACCTCCGGAACGAATTAAGTACTTAACCTGAGGTACCACTGTAATAAGAATCCATTGTTATAGTTCCTATCCTCTGAAGCATGGGTAGGCACAAACTAAGGCCTGGGGGCCGGATCCAGCCCAATCGCCTTCTAAATCCGGCCCGTGGATGGTGCGGGAATCAGTGTGTTTTTACATGAGTAGAATGTGTCCTTTTATTTAAAATGCATCTCTGGGTTATTTGTGGGGCCTGCCTGGTGCTTTTACATGAGTAGAATGTGTGCTTTTATTTAAAATGCATCTCTGGGTTATTTGTGGGGCAATTCGTTCTCCCCCCCCCCCCCGCTCCAAAATATAGTCCAGCCCCCCACAAGGTCTGAGGGACAGTGGACTGGCCCCCTGCTGAAAATTTTTGCTGACGCCTGCTCTGAAGCAACAAAAATACCCAAGTTTTCCCCATCTTCCATGTGACGGACCTTCAGATATTTGGAGATGGCAAACATATCACCACCTTACAACCCTGTTTTGGTCCATTGCTTTCGATTTCCATTAACTGTACTACTTGATGGGTATCATATACATTTTTTAAATAAACAAAACAGATTCTGAAATGCATCCATCTGAAGTTGTTCGGAAGGCATTCAAGATGTTGGAAGGTTTGTCCTATGCAGAGACCGGATCCCTCATCATCACATCTCTTGACTCATAAAAATAAATTGCTTCAAGTATCTGAAAGGATGATCTCAGGAAATATGCATGTAATAAGCCTTTGGCTTAAGCTCTTCAGGCGGAACGGCTTGCATTCCCAAACCTGCACTTGCCAAGGGAGCGCCCACGTGGGGGCGGGGCATTTGTCAGTGAGAACTGGCGGGTGGGCGGAGCTTAACCCTCCCCCGCACCACCACATCAACCTCATCTGCACATATGCTCCAGCCTCAAACACACTTTCCCCTCAGCTGGGCTTACTTCTGATCGCCAAGCCGCCACAGGAAGAATGGGCTAAAATGGGCAGGGGTGGGAGAGCAAATCTGTAGGGGAGACCTGGTGGCTAGGGGTGGGGGGAGAAGACTAAATATCCTCTTCCTCCCTACCAATTATCTCTTTCAAATGCCTTGGCCTGAGCCGGCCCAACTATTAGACAGAGTCAGGAGGCCGCCTTGGGCAACTGGTTTTTGGCATTATGAAAGGGCAAATTTATTACCACTATATTTTTACTTCTAAGGGTAGGGGTAGGTGGCCTCAGGTGCCAAAACCTGGGAACTTACTATGTACTTTTGTGGGGAGTTGTGACATTTGTTCTTCTGCCTCAGACAGCAAAATCTCTTGGCTCAGCCTTCCCAGGCCCTTACATAAGTAACCCTGTGTTTGCCTCGTAACATGTGCTTTATTCATTTGTTTAAGCCAGCCTGCCACCAATGTGCTGAAGGTGACATATGTAGCTGAAACTACTCAGTTACTTCAGAGTACAGTGGTACCTCGGGTTACACACGCTTCAGGTTACAGATGCTTCAAGTTACAGACTCTGCTAACCCAGAAATAGTACCTTGGGTTAAGAACTTTGCTTCAGGATGAGAACAGAAATCGGGCTCCGGCGGCACAGCAGCAGCAGCAGCAGGCCCCATTAGCTAAAGTGGTGCTTCAGGTTAAGAACAGTTTCAGGTTAAGTACAGACCTCCGGAACGAATTAAGTACTTAACCCGAGGTACCACTGTAGTTACAAAAGTTGTTCCAAACACCGGTCATATCAGAAGTCTTTTTAGGCCTCGTCACCTCTATGCTCAGTCAACTTATGCTGGCAGTGTCAATTCTATGGTTGGGTTTCTGATTTCTGAACGTCTGATAAAGCAAACAGAGACACCTGAGAAAGAGCTATGAGCCTGGCTTCTCAAAGGTTGTCCCCAAAAAAGTTCCCGAAGTGAAAAGGGTAAGGGGAGAAACACACTCCTGAGCATGGGTAGGCAAACTAAGGCCCGGGGGCCGGATCCAGCCCAATCGCCTTCTAAATCTGGCCCACGGATGGTCCGGGAATCAGCGTGTTTTTACATGAGTAAAATGTGTCCTTTCATTTAAAATGCATCTCTGGGTTATTTGTGGGGCATAGGAATTCGTTCATTCCCCCCCCCCCAAAAAAAATATAGTCCGGCCCCCCACAAGGTCTGAGGGACAGTGGACAGACCCCCTGCTGAAAAAATTTGCTGACCCCTGCTCCTGAGATTCTCCAAAGATAATTAACGGCATGACAAGGATGAACCGCTCAGCCGGCAACACCCTTGCCCAGGTGTGAAAACTGGCAGTCACTTGGGCCCAAAGTATAACGAAACACCTATAATTTTAAGAAGTAGGCGAATTATCCCAAGACAATCCATCACAACACACAGCGTCAGGATGATTCATTAGGACAAGGAAACACTTGTACAGTGGTACCTTGGGTTAAGAACTTAATTCGTTCTGGAGGTCTGTTCTTAACCTGAAACTGTTCTTAACTTGAAGCACCACTTTAACTAGTGGGGCCTCCTGCTGCCGCTGTGCCGCCACTGCACAATTTCTGTTCTAATCCTGAAGCAAAGTTCTTAACCCGAGGTACTATTTCTGGGTTAGTGGAGTCTGTAACCTGAAGCGTATGTAACCTGAAGCATATGTAACCTGAGGTACCACTGTATTAATGAATGCCCACATTCAAAGATCGATTAGGAAAAGCCTCCTGTTTCCATCCAGCGGCTACTTCAGACTCTGAAAGCAACAAGTTCGGATGAATAGCTTTTGACTTTCTAAGACCAGGGGTCCATCTTCATCATGGGGCCCCCTTTTAAGCATTTTTGTGCAGACATCCCATCTCTCACTGTCTCCTCCTCCTCACCAAAAATTATTAAAGAAAGAAAATATCTAAGGTTACATAATGTAAGAAGACCCTGCTTGGTCAGACCAATGGCCCATCTAGTCCAGCATCCTGTTTTCACAGAGGCCAACCAGATACCTAGGAAAAACCCACAAGCAGGACCTGGGCACAAGAGCACCCTCCCTGTCTGCATTGGTATTCAGAAAAGATGTTGTCTCCATCATGGCTAGTAGCCATTGAAAGCCTTTTCCTCCATGAATTAGTCTAATCCTCATTTAAAGCCACCTAGGCTGGTGGGCATTACTGTTTCCTGTGGGAGCGAGTTCCACTGGTCAGTCACCTTAAACCAGCATGCGACCCCAGTGTAGCTTGTGACCCACTAGCTGAGAATCAATGGAAGACCAAGGATGGGGAACCTGTGGTTCTCCAGATGTTGCAGGACTGAAACTCCCCACATCCCCAACCATGATGACCGGAACAGATGAAGTCCAACTGCATATGGAGGCCCACAGCTGATGGGAGATGGGGGCGAACAACATCTGGAAGGCTTATGGGTCCCCCAACTGTGATACAGAAAAACATGGAGCAAGCTCAAGCTTTGTCAGCCAGTGGCTAAATGAAGTGAAATATTGTTGGGCTAAGGAAAATAATGAAAAGCCTAATCTGGCTGTGCATTTTTGGATGAGCATTCCAACTCATGTGCCTTTCAGTTTCTGGGAAGATTACATTAAAAAAGGAGTTTCTCCACCCTCTCTCATGCGAACCATAAAATAGATTTATGGCCCAGGTTGGGGAAAAGAATATTTAGGAAAATAATGCATCAAACTCATTTATTTTTACAACCAGGATTTTCTTTCTAATCAACACAGAGCCAAAGTTTGGCCTTCCACTTAATACTCTGGTTACTCTTTCTACTATCAGCCTTGCAGAACAGACTGCTTCCCTGGGGAAACTGCTGCAGCTGTGTGGGTTTGGAAAGTCTTGCCTAATTTTTAAAGGCAGTATCTTTCTCTTGAAGTACCGAACAAGATGCAACAGGGAGGGTGCTCAATCCTCGCAGAAAACATTTGGCCTGGGACAGTAAACCTGAGACTCGTGGTTGTTGGCGTTCATTGGGACTGGTTGGGTATAAGGCCAACAACAGGGGCAGCCATAACAAATGACAGGCAGAGTCAATTCTAGTTCTGTAGCCATCTTCCTCCCTGCTGAGTTATTTAACACTGAGACTAAGCAGCAGTAAGTTGATAGCCAAATGCCACCTTCTAGACTAGTTCTAAGAAAGAAGGCAGTCAGGTCGGGGCTGCCTGACTTTGGTGGGGCCAGATGTCTGGAAAGGTGCCAGCAGAGGCTGGGTAATTCACCCTTCTGGAGGAGACAGGGAATGACTGACAGCCCATAAACACCACCCATTCAAACATCATCATGTGATTCATCCAGAGATCTTTATGCCCAGTCCCTGGTCCACCAGTAGTCCTAGGTCCACCAGTAGTCAGGATTCCTCAACCTCGTCCCTCCAGATGTTTTGAGACTACAATTCCCATCATCCCTGACCACTGGTCCTGCTAGCTAGGGATCATGGGAGTTGTAGGCCAAAAACATCTGGAGGGCTGAGGTTGAGGAAGCTTGCCTTAAGTGCTTTTGCCAGGCTTGAGCGTGTCCTTGAACTGTGATGGCATCTCTTGCTTGTCTGGATGAGAATGGAGAGATGGGGGAGACAATGTCATATAAACATCTGGCAATTTTTTTGTATCTGAAATACAGCAGCTAAGAATTGCACATGTTGCTCCATCCACTTTTGCCTCTGAGCCCACTATCTGTGCTCTCCCACTGAGCTGGGTGCTTCCCTCTAACACCTATGGGGGAGCTATGGGTGCACCAACCCTTCTGCCCCTGAGGAACATTCCCCAACTACCTCCGCAACATCAATACTAACAGAGCCAGCGTAAGACCCATCAAAATGCAGCCACTGTGTACGGCCAAACCAAAGCCCACAGAACCCACTTTTGTCCATGTTTAAACAAAGATCCTGGGAGAGAAATTTGCCCTCAAGTCTCAGGAAGATCGAGAACTAAAAAGTGTTTTCATAGGTTCATTTTATTCTCATTTTTAGGGGGATCACTTTAACTGCTCCAGAGAGGCTCATAATTTTGAAACGGCTCAGGAGTTTAAACAATGGATGTTGAGCCTGTGTTAATTCGAAACCCTCGACTCATCCTGCCAACCTCACTTTTTTCATATGTCGACATTTTAATATTAAAGAAGCAGTAAATCCATCCATCTGGGTGTGTTGGATCAAAGTAATATTCCTTCCTTTTCAGATCCTATACACACACAGACACACACCAAAAAAACCCCAAAAAACACTTGGGTTAGATTGGACATTTATGCAAATTTCCACTTGATGGTGACTTTTTTATATATATAAGCAAAAAAGAGAGAAAGGGGGAAAGTTTGAATGTTGACTTTTTCACCGCTCAGAACTTACTCCTCCTCCAAAAGGGGCAGAGCACATTCATCTATCTTGGAAAATGGAATCCTGAGAATTAGTTGTTTTTTCTTGACAAAAGCCAACTCGTTACAGCTGACTGGTTCACAGTTTTTAGGCTGCCAGTGAAACAGATCTATGTGTGTTTTTTATGGATAAGCTTATGGAAAATCTTCACCCTGAGGGACAAAAAAGAAATTCTATAAAAAGACACGAGAATACGCAATACAATAGTGTCTGCAATTCATAGTTTATACAGAAAGAACAGGAAAATGTCTGGCTAGGAACCTTAACAACATGTGAGGGACAATGATTTAAGGTTATGAAGAAAATATTACAGTGACTGAATAATGCTGTAACATTTAAATAAAGAAATAAGCTGTGTTCAGACAAATGCCCTCATATGCTAAGCACGAGTGTGTGGAGTACAATAACTTTATAGACTTTGTAGGGAAGGGGCCATAGTTCAATGGGAGAGCCTCTGCCTTGAATGCAAAAGATCCCAGGTTCAGTCCCCGGCATCTTCAGGTAAGACTGGAAGCAACCCCTGCCGAAAATCCTAGTTAATTTAGATAGGCAATACTGAGCAAGACGAACCAGCAATCTGACTCAGTATATACCATACTTTTCCATCTATAAGACGCCTCCATGTATAGGACACCCCCTATTTTGGGGGGACTCAAATTTAAGAAAATGGGGGGAGATGGCACAGAGTTGTTGAGCTTTTTTCAGGGGGGATTGTCGAAAATCGCTCGCCTGCCCCCGTCGCAAAATCCGCCTCCCATCTGTCCCCATCGCCAGCAGAAGCTGCCAATCGCCCGCCCAACTGCCAGAGCATCAGCCAGTCAACACCACCCATTGACGCAGCAACCAATAACACGCACAATAGCCGCTGACAGCCGTGGCAGCAAGCAATCAAGGAGAGCCCCACTTTTTGGCATGATTTTTAAAGGAAAAAACATAGTCTTATACATGGAAAAGTACGGTATGTTCCTAGATAATAAACAGAGTCTTTCTGTATGATCAGTACCCCATTCAACTACTGTTTTCATTGCTTAACCCCAAATATTAAAAGATACAAAAAAGAGAGAGAGATTATCCAAAGCTCATAAGTAATTGGTAAGGTTTATGAGATATGGCCAGCCTACAAATTTTTGGGCACCAAATCACAAAGGCAGGCTGCAGTGTTTACAGCACTATCCTAGACAAGTCTACTCAGAGTTAGATCCCACAATCTGGTGCCTTTCAGATGTTCTGGCCTATAGTTCTCAGCAGCTCAAACCAGCAGCAGGTGGTCTCCTGTCAATGGGAAGCAATGTCCCACCTGGACTGTCAGAGGCAGCATGCCTCTGAATGTCAGTTCCCGGGAATCACAGGTGGGCAGAGTGCTGCTACATGCATGTCCGGCTTGCAGGCTTCCCACGGGCATCTGGGAACAGGATCTTAGACTACATCGGGGTCAGCAAGGCTTACCGTGCATGGGTCAGATCACTCCCATGGAGATCCTCTGTGGGCCGGACCGGCACAGTGTGATGCCAGAAATCGCATCTGGTCATGTCTGCGGAGCCGGAAATCACTTGTGTGCATGCCCAGACATCGAAAATCACGCCTGTGCAGAAGTGATTTCCGGTGTCTGAGCATGCACAGAAGTGATTTCCAGCGCCGCAGACATGCGCAGACGAGATTTCTGGCATCTGGGCATGCGCAGAAGCAATTTCTGGAGCCGCAGAAGAGATTCCCCATGCCGCGCTGCGCCAGTTTAGCACAGCGCATGGGGACTCGCCAAGCGGGCGGCTAGGTTCAGGGGCGGCTCATGGGCCGGTTAAGAAACCCTCATGGGCCGCTTCCGGCCCATGGGCCTTAGGTTGCTGACCACTGGACTACATGGACCATTGGTCTGATCCAGCAGGCTCTTCTTAGGTTCAAAAACATAATCTGAAGGTTGTTCTCTAAATCACCAATAAATTAATTGCTTACTACAGCAGCGATACTCTAGTTTTCATCTCCTCCTAAACTACAATACTCTCTAAGCGGTGATTTGACCATTTCACCATGAAAACACATACTGAGAACCAAGCCTTTCAAGTCCCACCAATCTCAAACGGAGCAATCTAAGCCCATATTTAATCCTCCCATTGAGATCAATGGAATTTAGAAGGGCTTTTCTTGCCTGGATGGTAATACTGCTCTTTAACTTTTCAGCAAGGTCTTGAACCACCGGGTTGGTCGTTAGCATTCAAGAGTCATAAGAGAGAGAGAGACCATCAAATTCAAATTGCACAAAATTATAAGGTGTGGGTCACTTGTTTGGGCATTTACAGGTCACTGAGATTAAATATCTGGGAGGTGTTTTGATATGATCTCATGGTACAAAGATCCCAAGCACCAGCTGCTAGCAGAGCATGTTGCCCTCTGGAGCCCTAATGATGCCAGTTCAAGACGTATCCAAAAATTGCATTTGTAATAGTCCAAAGCAGCTGTTTTAATCAGGAATAAAATTGGTTTGCATATCCATCAGCATTTCATAGGCTTTTGACCCTATTGATCAAAAGATATTTAAACTAAAACCCAAGTACATTGACTAGGGAGTAAACTGTATTGAGCAAAACATTTAAAAACACGCATAGGATATTTGCACAGTGCAAGTGCAGTGGTACATATTACGGAGGATGAGGCCTCATTGAACCCAGTGGGACTTACCTCCAACTAAAATGGACATACGACTGGGCTCTGCTAACCCCCCCCCCAAAAAAAAACCCCTGTACCTGCTTACACTACTACCCTCCAAAACTCTGTTTTTTTTCCCTTAGCACAAAATGCCTGCATCAGTGTAACCTGTTAACTACATCCGAGTGATCCTTATCTCGGCTTAATAAGCAGAAATACGAATGAGCCTTTTGCCTGCCCAAGTAAACTCTTTGTTCCTCCCTTCGCAGTGCAAGTGAACAAACCAGTCAAGATACAATTGCCCAAACTCTCCTACTGCGAAGTAAGTGACATTAGCAGTCGCGTCCCATGCATGCTTGCATAGAAATACAGAGTTCAGAGGATCTTCCTAGCACATGCGTTTAGGATCGTAGCCTAGGACAGGCTGGGGGATGTTTAGTTGAGGTGGAGGAGTCCCTCTGCACTGTGCTGCCTCAACCAGTGAGGGAGTTGATCAATGCACCTGCCCGGAAGCCAGCTGCATTGTCAATGGCGATAGCAGAAATCCCTGAAAAGGGTGTTTCAACCTGAAAGCTGGCATAGCAAAAGAGGAGGGGTTTTTTTCCTTCTTCCCCTGACCTTCTGCACAGGGGTTTGGAGTGCTCTTAAGATGATAATTCCGAACTGGGACAAGAATGCTGCCTGAAACGAAACTCTTCATTGCACCCAGTGGAGGCTGGGTCCATTAAGGTGAATGCCCCACCTGCCTGCCTTCTTACTTGCAAAAAGGTCTTTGGGGTGGCCATGAAAGTAGAATTCGTTGGCTCTGCCTGCCATTGCCTCTGGCTCCACCTACTGTCTGGGTTCCCTGCCTGTCCAAATGGGCCCCAGCCACTACTGATCACATGTGTGCACACCTATTCTGATGTACTTCTGATGTACTGCTCCTGATTTAAGTTACCTTGCTGGTCTCCAGCATGTCCAAACATCCCTTAAAAATTGTTCCTGCTTATTTGCAAAGGACCCAAAGGCACCAGAGGCTGCTTTGTGTAAAATTACACATTTGGATGCGCTTATTATCTTGGCTCGCTGCCTAAAATGAGGTGCGCCAAGCAATATTATAAGCTCAGGTAAATGAGGCAAAAAATCAGCAAACTGATTGACCTAAAAAGGAAATGCTCCAGGTCATGGGCAATTTGCATTTTTTCCCCCCTAAGCCTACTACAAGAATTGATGAACAGATATAACTACAGGAATATTATTGCATCCCTACTTGTAAGCTTGAAAACAACCACTCGCCTGGAGCAAGTAAGAAATCATCTTTACATGACCAGGCAGGGAAGTGCATGTAGCACATCAGACAGTACACAGAACTTGCATTCATCTGAACCCCTTCTCTGTGTGTCCCCCTCTGATGCAGCTGCATATGGTTGCGACACAAAGACAGGCCTTTTTAGTGGTGGCCCCTCACTTGTGCCCAAGCAAGACTTATTTGCTCATGCACTTACCGTATTTTTCACTCTATAACACGCACCCAACCATAACACGCACGTAGTTTTTAGAGGAGGAAAATCTGTAGGCATGCCACCCGTAGGCATTTCCTCCATAACACGCACAGACATTTCCCCTTACTTTCTAGGAGGAAAAAAGTGCGTGTTATGGTGCAAAAAATACGGTATTCGTTGGTTATTAATACCGAGCTTAAGGTTATAATTTAAGTGGCTGCTATAGATGGAATTTGACATAATTTAAATATATTTTTATTGCTCCTTGATCATATTGATGAAGACTGGTACGGCACCTTCTCTTTCTACACCTGCTGAAAAAATTTCCGTCCTGCCAGGCCTACGCAAGAAATTAATAATACATCTTCCCAGAATGGTTAAGTGATGCCTGTTTTTAACTTTCTTATGTGGTTTTTATTGTATGGTCTTACGTATTTTTGCTGTACACTACTTTCTCATAGTTTATGAAATAGCAATCTATAAATATTTTGAATCAATCCATCTCTTAATGGCCTAAAACAAGACCACCAATTTAATGACTTTAACAGAAGAATAGACAAATTCATGAGGGACAAGCCTAACATTGGCTATGCTCTGCCTCCACGGTTGGAGGCAGTACAGTGGTACCTCGGGTTAAGTACTTAATTCGTTCTGGAGGTCCGTTCTTAACCTGAAACTGTTCTTAACCTGAAGCACCAGTTTAGCTAATGGGGCCTCCCACTGCTGCTGCGCCGCGATTTCTGTTCTCATCCTGAAGCAAAGTTCTTAACCCGAGGTACTATTTCTGGGTTAGCAGAGTCTGTAACCTGACGTGTATGTAACCTGAAGCGTATGTAACCTGAGGTACTACTGTAATTGTTCTGAATACCTATTGCTGGAAACTACAGGGGGGAGAGGCTCTTGTGCCTGGGTCCAGTTGAGAATTTCTCAGAAGGATCTACTTGGCCACTGTGAGAACAGGATGGTGAACTATATGGGCCCCTGGCCTCATTCAGCAGGCATTGGCGGAGCTTCATGCTCTGGCACTGGGGGGGAGGGGCGGAGAGCAGGCAGGGGCAGGGCTGGCGTGCATCCCGGGGGCAATGCACTCCCCCCGCACACCTCTTCCTCCGCCAGTGTCAACAGGCTCTTGTGTTCTTGTGGACGAGCAGATATTTCAAAAATTGCAAAAAGGTTCATTATTTTAAGCCCAGATACTTACAGAAACTGTAGTTGGCAGGTCCTAGTCCTTGAAGAGGCAACCTCCCTTCTCTCACACACACTTGAAAAAACATGCAATGTCTAAAAGAAGGAAAGTTATCTATTAGCTATTGAACCATTCAGTATCATCTCTATCATTTCTGATTGCCAGATTCACTTTCTGCAAGTGCTCCTGTTTCTTAACTGGCATCAAGGGACAGGCAGAAATTCACTGTATGTCAATGAAGAAGATGACACCTGTTGGATTTTTTGCCAGCATTCGGTTGGTAAGGCAAGGGGAAAATGCTAGGGAGGAGGGACAGGTTCAGCAACAAATCCTGCCTCATACCCTGTATTCACACGGAAAGACCACACCTTTCGGATTCCTGCCTTGCTCACTCCTGTTAGAAACACAGCTTCACCTTCAAAGGGTGTATCTTTATTTGGTTATTTAAGAAAATTATTCCCCACCCACCATATAAGCTTAGTTTTTACACACACACACACACACACACACACGACAGCAATAAAACAAATAATAGAAAAATAATAAACATGGTCAATGCAACAAATGATCTAACATTTTAAAAGCCTGGGAAAATGAAAAGGCTTTTGTCTGACACTGTGAAAGCATGAGAGTCACAAGCATCAATGTGCAGAAGGTTACCACCAGTTCACTATTGGGTTTAAGCTTCTTTATCATTGTATTAATGTTATTTTACTTAGATGGAGGAATCCTCCTCATTTTATGCTGGAAAGCCCTCACCCAGAATATCTAGAAGGGAAGTAATTCCTGTTGGGTTTTTAACCTCTTGTTAAAGCCACTGTGGTGTCCCATCTGTTGAACACCCCTCCCATTTCAGGTATGTCTGGCGCCACCATTGTTAGCTTTCCAATGCCAGGCTAAGACATATTTATCTGCGCAGGCATTTTAAGTTTTGTAAGCTGATCATTGTTCAACCCGCTCTGTTGTTTTTAGCTGTCCTGTTTGTTTGATGGTGTGTTGTGTTATGTGTTTTTGCTTATGTTATGAGTTGCTTAGCTGCTTTTCTTTCCTTTTCTATTCCATTCCATTCCATTCCCTGCCCTGGTATTCACATTCTGCATCACTGGGCGGGCAGGAAGGGGGCACCATGCAGTCGAAAGAGCGCTGTGCCATATACAGTAAAGATGCCAGCTCTACCTGTTGGATTCCTGCTCCACAGCTGCAAGAGACTCAGCTCTGCCAGCAGGAATCCAAAGAACGCCCCTTACCAAATAAAATAGCTCTTGTCCCTGCAGGCAAGGCAACACCTGTTGAATTCCCTGCGTCAAGCCCCCTTCCGCCCTATAATACTGCAACCTTTCTATAGGAAATTGCACCTGTTGAATTTCTCCCTGCATTCCAGCTGTTGAAGGCCACGCCAAAGTACCAACGGAAGAAGAGCAGCAGGTGAAAATGATGGACTTTGCGGAACTGACAGGAAAAATCCGAAACCAGCACGATCAAGTATTCCAAAAAGACTGGAGTAAATTTATACAACATTTGAAAGATCATTGTAAGCAATTAACAACACTAGGAGGGTTATCTGAAGACTTGTAATGAGAAGTGTTTTTTACCTTTCTATATTTATTTAAATTTTGAGGTATTTAGCAATGAGTTATATTAGAATTGGAAAATATATAGAATGCTGTGATATAAAGGTTAGTTTTGAAAGCCAAGAGGTGGGAGGGAAGGAAGTCGACAGGCTCTAAAGAGCCAAAGAAGTAAAGTGGATAATAACGATGTGATTATATATGTTTAAATGGAAAATTAATAAAAAATATTTTGAAAATAAAAAATAAATAAAGGCCACGCCAAATGAGGGTGGGTGGGCTGAGCAGAGGACCACCATGCAACCCAAAGCATGCCTCACCAGGTAAGATTAAAGGCTTGACCTGTTGGGTTCCTGCCTGCCTCACAGCTGCTAACTTAGGCCTGCCAGAGGGGGAGGAGTATCCAAAGAGTGTCGCATTACTGGAGGCGTCAAAGCCCACCCCCCTCACCACAGGCAAGGCTAGACCTGTTGAATTTCAACCTGCTCTGCAGCTGTTAAAACTATAACTACGGAGCGTGGGGGGAATCCAAAGAAGGCCTTACTGGGTAGGGGAATGGCCTCCTCTCCATCAGGCCTCTCTCCCCCCCCCCCATTAACTGAAGCACAAGAGCCCCCATTCGCCCCTCCCCACAAATATCCCCCCTCACTCGCTAACTACATTACATTCCTCACCCATGAGGAAGACGATCGATCGGCGATCTGCAGGCGATGCCTGCCCGGCTGCACAGCACGCAGGGCGCAGGGCTACGCATGGAGCACAGAGAGAGAGAGAGAGAGCGGGCGCGCCGACAACACCGTCACGTGACAGGGACTCCGAGGCGGCTCGACCGCCTCTGCGGCAAGGCTTTCCCTGCTCCGCGGCGCATGCGCGGGCTTGATTCCTCGGCTGGGCTGCAGCCCGGCGCGGTGGAACGTTGAGGAATGTTGCAAATCTGGAGTTTTGGAGGGAGGGAGGGCAGGTGTTAATGGGGGCGCTAGCAAACGGGTGCGTGTGGGAGGGGGGTATTTAATTGGCAGCTATGGCATTTAGCGGTAGGTGGAGTTGGCCGGTTGCAAAAGGAAAAGGGGGACACACTCACTGCGCTTTTAATAGTTGTCTTCGATCAATCAATCAATCCCCAGGTGTAGATTGGAGGACAAGCTGCCTGCACCAGTAGAATCTCTCTCTTCTCTTTACTGCTCTGCACAACTGTTAAAGGTCCAGTAGCCTTTGCATTCTTTTGCACGCTAAAAGGTAGAGCTCCTAAAGGTAAAGGGACCCCTGACCATTAGGTCCAGTCATGGCCGACTCTGGGGTTGTGGCGCTCATCTTGCTTTATTGGCTGAGGGAGCCGGCGTACAGCTTCTGGGTCATGTGGCCAGCATGACTAAGCCGCTTCTGGTTTACCAGAGCAGTACACGGAAACACCATTTACCTTCCCGCTGGAGTGGTACCTATTTATCTACTTGCACTGGCGTGCTTTCAAGCTGCTAGGTTGGCAGCAGCAGGGACCGAACAACGGGAGCTCACCCCGTTGCGGGGATTCAAACCGCTGACCCTCTGATCGGCAAGTCCTAGGCACTGTAGTTTAACCCACAGCGCCACCCACGTCCCAGAGCTCCTACTTTGCACAAAAAAAGGCTCAATGTTCATTCTTCCAGTGAAACTCTTTTAAGTCTCAAACCCAGAGCGTTGCTGCCAGTTTGCAGTACATTACTCAGCTAGATAGAGTCTGGTCTGACTCTGTAGAAGAGAGCTTCCTATGTGAATCAGCCCTTTTGGCAAAAAAGAAGAGGACTAGAATCATGGAGTTGTATCCAGCTAAGTCCTGCGTAGATTCATTGACATTAAGACTTAAGTCACATCCATTGACTTCAGTGGATCTAATGACTAATGTCATAAGGGGATGGACCATAAGGGGATGGACCATAGTTAGATCTAAGAAGAGCCTTGTTGGATCAGGTCAAAGGTCATAGAAAAGGGTGCACGATTGATTGATTGATTGATTGATTGATTTTCCATTCCACCTTTCCTCCAAGGAGCTCCGGGTGTCTGACCTGCAAGACAAAAATGTCTACAGAACCCTTGGCTACTGAAGGCCTGCCCCACCCCTCCCAGGCTGTGGGTTCACCAGACAGTGGTCCTTGGTGGTTGGGAGCCCATTTTATTTCCCACAATGCCCTTTGCAAAGCTTCAAGAGGGGAAAAGGGGGTCTCCTAACCACTTTTAACAAACCACTTCCCAGGATTCTTTGGGGGAAGCCGTGACTGTTTAAAGTGGCAAAATACTGCTTTAAATGTATAGTGTAGGTGGGTCCTGAAGTTGTCTAAACCCCTTCAAGCCATCTTAAGTTAGCGACCATCACAACATCCTTAGTCACAAATTTTACACTGTGAACTATGGGCTGTATGAAGGACTGCCCTTTTGCATTTACTGAATCTTCTATATTCAGCTTCATTGGATGGCCCTGAGTTCTCTTGAACAACTTTCTCCACACTGTACATCATTTTGCATACCTCTATCACCTATCTATCCCATTACTCTTTTTTCCTAAAGCTAAAACCCCCCCAAAATGTTGTAACCTTTCCTCATAGGGAAGTTGCTCCAGTTCTTTGATTCTTTTGGTTGACCTTTTCTAGGTGTACAATACACTTTCTGAGGTGCACGGATCTGTGCCCAGTAATCTTCTTATTGTTATTGTTATTAATTATCTCTATCCCACCCTTCCTCCCAAAGGAGCCCGGGGCAGCAAACATCAAAATGGCAAAACTACCATTAAAAAACACAAAACAAGTAAACAAAAACAAGTAAAACATTTTTAAAGCATTTAAAAGCAATCCAATAACTCACTGTTACTAATCGTTGCTATGACTAGGGTCTTTCAGCCATCAAATGCCTGGGTAAATGGGAATGTTTTAAAATTTCTGCTGAAAGTACATCATGAGAGAGGGAGAGATAAGCCTCACTAAGGAGGGCTTTCCACAGATGAGGAGCCACCACCATGATGACCCTGTAAGAACAGCCAGAAGTGGCATCAGTAACGGGGCCTCCCCTGCCAACCAGAGGGCCTGAGATGGTTAGGTACTTGGGTCCACTGAGCCTCTTGGGCTTGCCTATCAGAAGGTTGGCAGTTCAAATCCCCACGATGGGGTGAACTCCCATTGCTCCATCTGCGCAGATGTGATTTCCGGCACCACGGAAGTGAGTCGATGTGCTGCGCTGGTTTGGCACGGCATGTGGGGACTCGCCGAGTGGGCAGCACATGGGCCCATGTGGTGGGCCTTAGGCTGCCGATCCCTGTCCTAGTGTGACACCATCCACAGAAAATCGGGATGGAACGGAGTATCCCAGAAATGGGCAGGGCTGGCTGGCGGATTCTGATCAAGAGTACTCCCTGCTACCGCATTTTGCTCTTCTTTTTTTTGTCACATTGGTCCCACTTGTGTTCTTGCAACACAATGCAGCTGTTTGGCCAACCGGTGCGTATTCATTTGCTGCGAAGCAATCCATGGTTTTTACCCACACGCCATACCGAGCCCTTGGTCCGTTTGTGCCGTAGATATTCAATTTACTCGCGTTCGTGTTGAGGGTGGGGGGGTGGGGGAGAGTCATAAAAACGATACCCCTGCTTTAAACCACTCAGAAGCTCTTTGGGGGCAAGGAGAAGGGACCCCAGGTTTGCAAGCGATACGGCAGTACTTAGCTAACGCTCAGGTTTCGACAGCACCCTCCCACCCCCTTCCCTTCCCTTGCTCCCCCCAGTGGTTCCTTTAGTCTTTCTGGGAAGCTGCCAAACACCTGTGCAGCGAAGAGTGCAACAAATATTCTTGCTGTTTAATTTAGCTTTGCACAGAAAAGGCTGCATTAGGCCTGATGTAGGCCTAATCCCGGCCCTCTAAAGAGGTTTAAAGCGCTCTGGTTTCACCTAATCCCGAAACCTAAGCCAGCATCTTTGAAAACTTCCATGACACCACAGAATGAGCAAATAAAGGGGCATTCGACTATTAAATTATTAGAAGGGACACAGTGTGTCTTTTGGATTTTCAGACTTAAAGCTCTCCCTAAGGAGCTTGGCCGCGGCCACAATAAGAATGTTTATTTTGCAGACAACAGGGTGGGGGTCTCGCTGACGGTTTATTATGCCTTGTCTGATTGCTTGGGTGGGTGAGTGGGGGGAGAGCGAGAGAAGAAAGAAAAAGTGGTAATATCGCTGTGTGGTGGTTGGGCATGTCGAAGAAAACGAAAGAAGGAGCATGTCTAGACATTGCAAGCTTACAAAAAAAACCCCCTCAAAAACAACCACCCTGAGCTGGTTTCTTATTTTATAGATCGTTCAAACTGTCCAAAATGCCACATTTGAGCCTTTAAGCCTGATTCCTCATAATGCTAAATACGAGGGCTACTAAACAAGCAGAAAGGGAGCTCCTGGCAGCTTGCCCTAAGAGCAGTAGATTGAAGCACAATTTGGCTGGTAATTGGCAATATGGACCTATTGTTTTGCAGAATAGTAAAGGAGGACCCCTGCTGACAGGCAATTTAATGTGCTTAAAAAATAAGGTTGGGTTAGAACTTTGCAGGGAAAGGAGGCATCTGAGAGTTCTGCAGGCACCCTGATGGGCAGGTTTGGGATTTTTTGCAGATATTCTGCAGGTATTCAATGCAACAATAGCACATTAAAAGGTAAAGGGACCCCTGACCATTAGGTCCAGTCGTGACCGACTCTGGGGTTGCGACGCTCATCTCGCTTTATTGGCCGAGGGAGCCGGCGTACAGCTTCCGGGTCATGTGGCCAGCATGACTAAGCCGCTTCTGGCGAACCAGAGCAGCGCACGGAAATGCCGTTTACCTTCCCGCCGGAGCGGTACCTATTTATCTACTTGCACTTTGACGTGCTAGGTTGGCAGGAGCAGGGACCGAGCAACGGGAGCTCACCCCGTTGCAGGGATTCAAACCACTGACCTTCTGATCGGCAAGTCCTAGTCTCTGTGGTTTAACCCACAGCGCCACCCGCGTCCCTAATAGCACATTAGTGGTGGGTTTATAGTGGGTTTAAGGGTGCTGAGAGTTGTTAGAACCCCCGTTCCCCTCCCAGAACTACAGTTCCCAGAGTGGTTCAACAATCAACCCCTCTTCATAGGGTACACTGGGAATTGTAGTTCTGATTAGTGGCCTACTAACAGCTCTTAGCACGCTCAACAAACTACAGCTCCCATAATTCTTTGGGGGGAAGCCACAACTGTTTAAAGTAGTATCATAGCGCTTTAAATGCTTGGTGTGAATTCAGCATTGCTCAATTTATGGTGGCCAGTCTTTACCCTAATATATGCCTTATTTGTACACGTCACCCACTGAGAGTCGCCAAGATGCTATCACAGGTGGCTGAGATTAAGACCTGTCAATCTAATAAATTGTATACTTCTTTTATCCCATTGTAGCTATGGTTTTCCCGGTAGTGATGTATGGAAGTGAGAGCTGGACCATAAAGAAGGCTGATCGCCGAAGAATTGATGCTTTTGAATTATGGTGCTGGAGGAGACTCTTGAGAGTCCCATGGACTGCAAGAAGATCAAACCTATCCATTCTGAAGGAAATCAGTCCTGAGTGCTCACTGGAAGGACAGATCGTGAAGCTGAGGCTCCAATACTTTGGCCACCTCATGAGAAGAGAAGACTCCCTGGAAAAGACCCAGATGTTGGGAAAGATGGAGGGCACAAGGAGAAGGGGATGACAGAGGACGAGATGGTTGGACAGTGTTCTCGAAGCTACCAACATGAGTTTGACCAAACTGCGGGAGGCAGTGGAAGACAGGAGGGCCTGGCGTGCTCTGGTCCATGGGGTCATGAAGAGTCGGACACAACTAAACGACTAAACAACAACAACAATCCATTCCCTGCCAAGATATCTGGTAGATTTACCAAATGTTAAAATGAGGATAGCCTTTACACAGGCAAGACTAAACGTCCTTCCATCAGCAGACTGGACAGGCCGACATAAAGGAGTTCCTAAGAAGGACAGGGTTTGCAGCTGCAACTCTGTTATCAGTAGAAGACATAATTCATGTACTCCGTGAGTGCCCTTTCTGTGACAATCTCAGAAACAATCACATCCACCCATTGCTAAGATCGCAGAAGGGAAGGCCGTCTCTTGCAAAGACCTGTCTTTTGCTGTCCGATGTTGAGAGATATATATGCTGCACATGTAGTTTCATGGTGAATTTTGGATATAATGGAGATGTAAAAGATTTGGATTGTTATAAAAGATGCAGGAGGAAATGATTAATAATAGGGCCCACAAAGGGGAGGAGGGAAGTCCAGGAGATTCTTTGGAATCTTTTTTTTATTATGTATGTTGGATATATGATTGTAAAACTTTAATTTGATAAACCAAATAAATAAATTGAGAGAGAGAGGCTTTAGATTTAGAAATCTAAATTTCTTGTTAAGGCTTTACAGATTCATGTAGCAAAACTTGAGGTGGGGACGGGAAATACTGTATTTTTCCATGTATAAGACTATGTTTCCCCCCCAAATTTTTTAAGTTTAAAATTGGGGGTCGTCTTATACACGGAATGTTGCAATTATTTATTTCTTGATTTGGGGCTCAAAAAATAGGGGTCGTCTTATACATGGGGGGGCGTCTTATACACGGAAAAATACGGTGATTCATCCACTAGGGCTCAGCAAGCGGAAATGTAAACCATTATTAGTAGCAGTATTCCTGTTGTTGTTGTTGTTTGTGAAAACACAATGCTTGCTAAACACAATAAACCAAACTGACTTTTGGAACTGACACATTCCCCAGCTGGAGGATGGCCTTGCAAAATTGGGAGAAGTTTAAATTTGGAACGGTGGCTGTATTCCAGTTTGCATATTGTTTTGGAAAGAGCAAATTGGGTATTTCCATCTTTAAACGTGAACGGAATCCTTAGCTACAGATGATTGTTTGTGTGGAATGAAATAAGCCATGACCCTGGGTTTGGACCTAACGCTAAGCCAGGAATCATGGCCAAGACCAGCACGTTTATAGTTCACTGCAGGCATGGCCAAACCAGGCCCTCCAACTGTTTTGGGACTACAATTCCCATCATCCCTGACCACTGGTCCTGTTAGTTAGAGATGATGGGAGTTGTAGTCCCTAAACATCTGGAGGGCTAAGTTTGGCCATGCCTGGTTTACTGTGATATGTGGATGAGGCCACTATGGAGTGGAGAAACTGGCCCTCCAGATGTTGCCGAAATATGCGCCTCCCATCACCCCTGACCATTGGCTAATGGGAGTCCAACATCGGGGGGGGGGCACAAGTTCCCCTTCCCTGCATTACATGGCTGATTAATTTAATAATAAAAGGTAAAGGGACCCCTGACCATTAGGTCCAGTCGTGACTGACTCTGGGGTTGTGGCGCTCGTCTCACTTTATTGGCCGAGGGAGCCGGCATACAGCTTCCGGGTCATGTGGCCAGCATGACTTAAGCCACTTCTGGTGAACCAGAGCAGCACACGGAAACGCCATTTACCTTCCTGCCAGAGCGATACCTATTTATCTACTTGCACATGATGTGCTTTTGAACTGCTAGGTTGGCAGGAGCAGGGACCCAGCGACGGGAGCTCACCCTGTCGCGGGGATTCGAACCGCCGACCTTCTGATCGGCAAGTCCTAGGCTCTGTGGTTTAACCCACAGCGCCACCCGCGTCCTAATAATTTAATAATACAATGCTTTAAAAAAGAAGAACTGGTGGGAAATCTTGCAGGAGAGTATAGCAGTGGGGAGGAGGGGGGAATCAATCACTGTTGCCAGCTGAAAAAAACCTTAATATGTGAGCTAGGAGGATCTATTAGAAGGACACTGCAAGATATGATAACTAGAGTACAGTTGATTTATAGCATAGGAGATGCAAGTGACTTGACATTATAGTGGAACTTCTCCAAATGGTTAAAAAGAAAGGAGAGGAGGATTTTCCTACTCCCTTAGTGGGTAAAGAAAAACACAGACAATGCTATCAGCTCCCCAGTCAAGGCCATCATCATAAAAGGATGGAAATATTTGAGAGCCTAAGTGGGAGTTTTCTTTCATACATGACTGTTCTGCTTATGAAAAGAAAACAGAACAGGCACTCTGAACTGGAAATTAAATGGTGGAGCTTAAAGAGCAAATCCATCAACAGATACGCCTCCAACCTAATATGAGGCCAGCCTGCAAATGGAGTCAGTGGCTTGGTTTCCACACTCGCGGCTCAGTTTGCTAAGCTCAAGGCCAGCCAACGACTTTTTGCTGCTTATGGCGGACACTATTCTAGTTCCCTCCATTCCACATACATTATTCAGCTGGAGTGACAGTTGAAAATTATGTCAGTATATTGCCCTGTATGGCCATTAAGATCAACAAATGAGACCTTGCCACAACCTACTGAAAATGAACTTGTGGCGATGCAGAGGTGAGTTTTTCCACTGATGACCTACATCTTGAAAGACTCCCTGTACATTTCCAAGCACAATTCAAAGTGTTGGTGCTGACCTTTAAAGCCCTAAACGGCCAAGGTCCAGTATATCTGAAGGAGCGTCTCCACCTCCATCGTTCTGCCCAGACGCTGAGGGCCTTCTGGTGGTTCCCTCGCTGTGAGAAGCCAAGTTACAGGGAACCAGGCAGAGGGCCTTCTCGGTAGTGGCGCCCGCCCTGTGGAACACCCTCCCACCAGATGTCAAAGAGAAAAATAACTACCAAACTTTTAGAAGACATCTGAAGGCAGCCCTGTTTAGGGAAGCTTTTAATGTTTGATGCATTACAGTATTTTAATATTTTTTTGGAAGCCGCCCAGAGTGGCTGGGGAAGCCCAGCCAGATAGGCGGGGTATAAATAATGTATTATTATTATTATAAATTATTATTAAGACAGTGGCATTACAAAATGGCCACACTGCTGAAATATGAGAAGTCCCATCTGCACTGGCATTCTGCCGACTTTTGAGTATGCACCTGTTACCGTAGGTGTTCCCTTGATTTTCAAACCTGAGTCTACTGTTTTAAGTGCTGTGTTGTTTTAAATGGATTGTTTCGTTATGCATTTTCATTGTGAATGTTTATATTTTAATACTCGTGCAATTGGTTTTTATACCTGTAAACTGCTTAGAAGCCCATTTTGGCATGGAGCGGCATTATAAGTTATTTAAATAATAACAGTATCCTCCATAACACTGGAGGGCAGCAGGGCAGGCTCTGTGGCACATGCAACTCTATCCTCAATGGAAATCTAAGGCCAGGGAACAACCTCCTTCTGCCTAATGATAGGGCCGGCCCTGGCTAGAACATAGTTTAGCAGCTGGGATCAAGGAATAAATTCAGAGAAAAGTCAAGTCAGAGGTGGCACGAATGCATAATTTCATACTTCTCTATAATGCCACCTCTGACTTGCCTATTCTCTGAATTTATTGCTTGTTCCTAGCTGCTAAACTGTGTTCTAGTCAGGGCCGGCCCTACCGTTAGGCAGAAAGCAGAGAGTGTGGAGAAAGCGGACAGCAAAAAATTGTTTTCCCGCTCTCATTACTCAGAGACATCCAGGGCAGACAAAAGAAAAGATTTATTCACACAGCAGAAGTCAAACCAGATGTCAAAGAAAGAGAACTACTACTACCAGACTTTTAGAAGACATCTGAAGGTAGCCCTGTTTAGGGAAGCTTTTAATGTTTGATGCATTATTGTATTTTAATATTTTGTTGGAAGCCACCCAGAGTGACTGGGGAAGCCCAGCCAGATGGGCGGGGTATAAATTATTATTATTATTATTATTATCTTTATTATTATTATTATCATTATCATTATCATTATTATGGGATTCACTCCCACAGGTGGTAGTGATGGAAGCCAACTTGGATGGTTTTAAAAGCAGGTCTGTCAGACAAATCTGTACAGTGGTACCTCAGGTTAAGTACTTAATTCATTCCGGAGGTCTGTTCTTAACCTGAAACTTTTCTTAACCTGAAGCACCACTTTAGCTAATGGGGCCTCCTGCTGCTGCCGCGCCGCTGGAGCCCGTTTTCGGTTCTCATCCTGAAGCAAAGTTCTCAACCTGAAGCACTATTTCTGGGTTAGCGGAGTCTGTAACCTGAAGCGTATGTAACCTGAAGCGTATGTAACCTGAGGTACCACTGTAGGTGATAAGGCTATGAAAGTCCATGATGTGGTTTTGTTCTCCCTCCACTGTTGGAGGCAGTCTGCCTCATAATACAGTGGTACCTTGGGTTAAGAACTTAATTCGTTCTGGAGGTCCATTCTTAACCTGAAACTGTTCTTAACCTGAAGCACCACTTTAGCTAATGGGGCCTCTTGCTGCCACCACATCGCCGCCGCACAATTTCTGTTATCATCCTGAAGCAAAGTTCTTAACCCAAGGTACTGTTTCTGGGTTAGCCGAGTCTGTAACCTGAAGCGTCTGTAACCCGAGGTACCACTGTACTAGTTGCTGATAATCACAGGCGAGGAGAGCGCTGTTGCGGGCGTCCTATGGGCACCCAGCTGGCCACCGTGAGAATGGAGTACTAGAGGAACTCCTCTGGCCTGACCCAACAAGGTTCTCCTTATTTTCACACTCCTTCCCCACTCCTCCCCTTGCCTCCTACCTTCGTTAGCACTTAAGTTCCCGGTTTAATGAAACCACAGTTTACGGTTACACCAAGAAGGTGAATAAAGGCAGACTTCCAATCACCCCAAAGTTAGCAAATCCAGCAGAGTGTGCTTCCTCTGGGGAGTATGGTTGCTATCTCCAAAGGCACTGGTGGTGATGTAGACAAGCTTTCTAGGTAAAGGTAAAGGGACCCCTGACCATTAGGTCCAGTCGTGGCCGACTCTGGGGTTGCGGCGCTCATCTCGCTTTATTGGCCGAGGGAGCCGGCATACAGCTTCCGGGTCATGTGGCCAGCATGACTAAGCCGCTTCTGGCGAACCAGAGCAGCGCATGGAAATGCTGTTTACCTTCCCACCGGAGTGGTACCTATTTACCGTATTTTTTGCTTTATAAGACTCACTTTTTCCCTCCTAAAAAGTAAGGGAAAATGTGTGTGCGTCTTATGGAGCAAATGCTGGCTGCGCAGCTATCCCAGAAGCCAGAACAGCAAGAGGGATCACTGCTTTCGCTGCGCAGCGATCCCTCTTGTTGTTCTGGCTTCTGAGATTCAGAATATTTTTTTCTTGTTTTTCTCCTCCAAAAACTAGGTGCATCTTATGGTCTGGTGCGTCTTATATAGCGAAAAATACGGTATCTACTTGCACTTTGACGTGCTTTTGAACTGCTAGGTTGGCAGGAGCAGGGACCGAG